TCTAACAGTTCTACCCTATTTAGCTAGCTTCTATACGCCTTTCGGATCCGACGTAATCTTATCTACTGCGCGGCGCTATGCTTTTATACTCTCTTTATATATAGCCCTCTTCTTTCTATTATACTATACTCTGTATAAAATCTAGTCCTCTACTATTCTTAATAAGCACCAGGTTCTATAGGCCCGCCTCGTCTCCTGTACTTCCTTAGTGCACTCTATTAACTACGCAGGTAATACTTATTTTAACAGCTTTGCAAGTGGTATAGTTTTATCTATTATAGCTTGTATGCACTTATATAGGCGGTATGCAAATATATTAAGATTTTCCTCCGTCTCCTGCGGGTTGTTCCGAGTTTCTAGCTTATCTAGCCGTATTGCTAGGTTCTTTTATACTTCTTTCCATGCTATATCCTTCTACAGCCTACGCTGCGGGGGTTCGGCTGCCTTTAGTGGTGAGATATTAAACTCCGTGTATATAGGCCGGTAATTAGAGTTGCAGTTCTATTCCTCTTGTACTGTGGAGGAAATTATTTGTTCTGTTAGCCACCCTGTTGTAAATGTAAGGTTAATTATAGACTATAATGTTCCTTTTGCCTATGTCTCTAGCCCTTCCTCCGTGGCTAGGTTTATGCCTGCTTCGCGCGTGATGCGGAGGAGCTCCTCTGCTTGCTCCTTAATTTGCACAACTTAAACTCCTCCCTATAGCGGATAGTATAGGTTTATATCTCCGATAAGAATATATTCCGCTTCGGTATTGTTTAGCAGTAGGGGTAGTTCCTGTATAATACTGTTGGGGTTCGGGTTGTAGATGTTGTAAATATAGATCCTCTCTCCCCCTGCGCAAAGGGAGAGGGTGTTAAGATCTGGTAAGTAGTGCACAACCGACCACTTATTAATATCTAGTTATTTATTAACGTATATGCAGGCTCTTATGTATTCCTCTCCTGCGTGCAGTAGATAGTATAACTTTGTTATATGCGTTGTATGCACTATATGCCCCTGCCCCTGCCCGCGTGGGTTCCTCTACGGTTCTTATATAGCTAGTACTATAGGTTGCGGGCTAGCGTTCTCCGCCTTTTTAAGGAACTCCTTCTGGGTTATTAAGTTCTTATAGACGTTATACTATATAATAGTGAGGTTGTTTAGTTATTCTAATATTAGCTTATCTCGGTGTCCTCTTGTTGTTTCTTGGCTTGCCCGTTGTCTACCTGGGTCCTTTACTTAGTGTAGATCTATTAGTTGGCTAGGTTGTTTTATAACAATAGTATTTAAACCTCTCCGCTTAATATTAGCCAATCGCCTCCGCCGTACGTGGTTTATGTAGCTAGCTGTAATAATGCTTCCGGCAGCGTAGCTAATCGGTTGGGTCGCGTAAATTGGGCGGGCTGCGTTCCACTTCCGATTCCAAATGCCTTGTTGATGGCGGGCTGGTCCTTGTCCGCTGTGAGCACCTTCTTCGGCCGCCCAGGTCCGGGTCTCTTCGAGGGTGCAGGTATAGTGGAAGCTGTGGATGCTATAGAGTCTATAGAGGAGGGCTCCTCTGCTTGTGTCTTGAACTCCCCTGTATGTCGCACCCTCTTCTTTAGAGCTATCTTCCTTGCGTGCTGTTGTTTGTTGTGTAACTGCGCTTGGAACATATATAGTTTGTTGCGCTCTGCGGCGTATTGGCGTAGTGTTGTTTATTTCTTGTTAAGGGCCCTTTGCTGGGCCCCCTTTCGAATAGTGCATTCGGCACTGTATAACGGGTGGTTTCTGTTGCAGTTTGCGCATTTCTTGATGGTCTTGTCCGGGCACACTCTTGTGTCGTGCTCGCCTGCGCATACTGCGTATTTGACGTTCTTTTTGCAGTACCTCGCGACGTGCCTGTAGCCCTGGCAGTTGAAGCACTGCGTGGCTGCAAATCCTGCCTCGTACCTTGAGGCGTCGAGTACATAGCCTCCCCAAGCGATGCCGTTGTTGATGGCGTTGTTCGCTATTGCTTCTGTTCGTACGCCTACGATGGCCGAGCTTGCACGCTGTGCTGGGTTTGCCCGCGCCGCGGTAATAGCTGCCTTGTTCTTCTATGTGATCTTGTTGATTGTAAGTCCTGGGTTATGGGTTGCGTTGTTTTCTATTATATTCTTCCGTAGACTCGGGTTGTCGAGGTCCATCTCCTTAGGCACGCCGTGTACTTCGATGAGCACCGTAGGCGTGCGTATAGTGGCGGAGGAGCCTAGGACAAGAACCTAATCCTTCTTCTTTAGGAGGGCGTTTTTTAATAGCTTATCCGCGACAATTGCCTTAATATCACCACTTTGTAGCTTCCTGATGCCACTAATCTTTGTGGTTTCCGGCTCTCCCGCTGCTTGTAGGCTTTTTATGATATAGTTGTTCGTGTGTGTCGCGTTAGCCGCTCGCTGGGCGTCGTTTTCGATGTGGATGTTGATTTTGTGGAGGTTGTTTGTTGCATCCTGTCCGATTCTCGCGTCCTGTCCAATTTGTATAGCTTGCCCGATTTGCATTGCCATCGGGGCCTTCGCTGCTGCAGCTGCGTATGTCTTTTTTCCTTGAGCTTTCAGCTCGCTAATGCTCTTCCTTGTGTCCTTCATCTCCTTTATTAGTTCCTCCCATGGCGCGTCCTTCCGTTCGTCCATGGTTCTTTGTATACGGTGGAGTCCTTCCTTGGCCTCCGTGAGTCCGAAGAACGCGTTGTTGATGCACGCGACTATAGCCTGGAGGAAATCCATGCTAATGGCATTAAGGGGCTGACTCCGTAGGGCGCTTTGTATTTGTTGTACTTTGTTGAGTGCGCTTACAACGCTTCCGTACGTGTCGAGGAGGGGCTTTTGGTTGTATTGTTGTTGTGGGTGTTGTTGTTGTTGTTGTTGTTGCGAGTGCAATCTAAGGTTAGGGGTCGCGGGAAAGATTTGGCCTACTGCGACACCACCACCACTGCCCGGAGGGCTTTGTGATTGCGTACGATTGCTCTGAGTGCCTTGAGGAGCCCATTGGGACTCCCTTTGGCTTCGATTTCCAACGGCTTGTTGGGACGACTGCATCGTGTTTTTTTTTACCTATATATATATTAGAACTGGACGCTATATATATATATTAAGAACTTTAAGCAATTATTAGGGGTTCCAGCCGCGATCTATAGCCCTCTTCTAAATATCCTAAATTGTGCGCTCTAATATGCCAGTAATAGCAGTAATTTAGTTAGAAGGAACATTTATAACCTTAAGCGTAAGGGTTTGCGCCCTTATAGTGTTGTTGTATATAGTTTATTAGCATAGTAGTAATAAGAATTAAATTGCTATCTATAGAAAGTGGAGTGTAAAGGTAATAGAGGGGTTTCTTAGCATTAATATAGCGGATTTTCGTTAGCGCTAGGCCTGTATAGGAAGGGGCTAGACAGTTTATAGCGTAGGCTAACGTCTAGCGTGCGCCATAGCGTTTTTAGCGCAGCAGAAACTTTTAAAGGGAACCTCTATAACCACCACTAAAGCCGATAATCGCCCCTCTACCAACAATAAAGCTAAAAGGCCTAAGAAATTTCAACTTCCTGCGCTCGCCCCCACGCTTACTAGTACTATCTACTTTATAAGAGAATCTTAAATAGCAGGTATTACACTCAAAGGTATGCCCTCTATTTTCTAAGGAGAATTCTTCTATCCGCTTGAACAGGTCCACGCTATATAGACCCTTTATAAAGGTATTTTCAAGCCAAAGAATAGCAGGGACAGCTTATAGATTCACGTATAGTCGGCCGGTCTAATAAAGGAAAGGGTAGGTAGGGTTTTAAAAAATGCCTAGTTAAAGGTGATAAGCTAAGAGCAGGTAATAAAGGCAGGCTATATAGAAAGGCTTTAGATAGGCTAATAAGAGTAGAAAGAAAAGGGCGAGGAGAGCGATAGAAAATAATAGCAAAAGGGGGCCTTTTATAATAGCTATTAAGGCTAATTATAGGGTTAGGTATAGTGCAAAAACCGTAAGTAAGGCGCGGATTACCTAAATAGGGTGCATCTATTACCTTATATAGGCTTAATATTAGAATCTTTACTAAGTATAATATATAATATTATAAAAGTAGGACTTAATTATATAAGTAATTATACAAGTAAGTTACTTATATAATAATATATATATTTAATAACTTAACGTAATAAATTAACCTATAACCCAGATTAGCCTATAACCCACTGCGACCCACTAAATTTTTAGTGCGATAAGAACCTTACCAACTATAAAATATTACAGGCCGCAACTTGGAACAAATTTAATAGTAACTATTTCAATATTATCTATCAATTTTTGGGGTCTCTTAAAGGCCCCATCTAGTCGCAGAAGAGTTTTAGCCCCTAAGACTAGGTAAGATTCACAATATAATAGAATTACACGTACTTATTGCTCTAACTCTCTACCTAGCAACTATAAAGGGCTAAATAATATATGCACTTATATAATTTCACTTAACATTTAGTAGTTAGTAAGATTCTCTATATATTAAAATGTCCACATCGCACCAAAAATTTAGTGGGCCGTAGTCTGGTCTAGGTTATAGGCTGTGCAACTATATTATAGATTTTAGCTATTAAATATTTTAAAGCGCTTTAAGTTATTACTAGCATATTAGCTTTTAATAGCTTAATCCTACTTACTACTTATTTATCTATCTATCTATCTATTTACTTGTCTATTTATATTTATATTTTTTTATTAAAGGTATAGAGTTAATACAGAGAGAGATAGAACAGAGTTGTATAGATAGATAGATAGAAGTGTATTGCTTAAGTTCTTCTTTACATCGACGGCAGCAGAGTTCCATATATATACATACGTATAGCATTGTAAAACGTTCTCTAACGCTTCTGTAACGTTATCTTACTTTTCCTGTTCCAAACGTTTACTATATCACGTTTAAACGTGCATAGTTTTAATTGTTTTAAGAGCTTTATGCATAGGGATATAACGCTTATGCTATTATAATCCTTACACTTTTTTAAATAGATTTTAATAAAGGAATCCTTATATACTTTCTTTATATAAAGTACTTCACTATGTATTAGACTTATTTATATGCATGGCTAGATGGCTTTAAGATATACATGCTGTGTTAAACTCCTTTTAAGAAACTTAGTAATGTTGAAATTATCCAAGAATTATTTCTTTCCATACTGGTCCTGGAAAATGCGCATGCTCTACAGCTGTCCGGTATATAAACCCCGATCCAACTCTCTCTGCCACTCCGTCGTCCTTCCATTGGATGCATAACACGCAATAGAGGTCGTCATGAAAAATCTCTTCCTCTGCAGAGTACCTTTCTCGGTTTGCGTTGCAAAGCGGACTTTCCTTCATTTCTTGTGATAGCAAGGATAGTCTTTCCATGACAGGGGTGCTCCAAATCACGTCTTTGCTAATATCATGACATGCCTTCGATAGGATAAGAAACTCCGCATGAACTGCTTCATTCCCTGGTGGCTCTTCGTCCAGCCTCACAATACCACAGAACTCCTGATCTTTATCAAAGAGTGGGAAATACTCGTCACAGTCCTTGTATTGGTTGAACGCGAGGTGGATCTTATAGTACGTCGAGATAGTCCAGAATTGTAGTAGATCGTAGGGTCTTTTTGATGATAGCAAACTATTCAGTGAAGGTGGGGTTTGGGAGGCGGGGTTGATGCTGGCAAATTCTGAAACGGAGAAATGGCACCGTTTTCGCTTCTCAACACCGTCTTTGAACCCTTGTGGAAATGACTCTTTGAGGTGATCCCCTAACATACTTAATTCTCCCGTTGGGTCTCTGCTAGTTCGCCCTCGGTACCCCGTCTTGCTTCCTATTTCTTGCAGGAGTACGGTGCTTTTTGTAGTATCCCATACCAAATCTGGGGCTCCTGAAGTCCTTTTATACCACACAATCCATGTGCATGATATTTTCCATTCCTTCAGGTTGGTTTTGTCAATAAAGTTAGGAATTTGGACTCCATGTTTCCATCCTAGCCAGGAATAACTTGGAAATTCGCTGCGGCGGCCCCCCATAGGTGCTCTGCGTCGGAAAAGCATGAACGTATCGAATATGGCCACTGGCATACCTTGAAGGAACGGGCTCTTGCAGAGTCTGGAATATCGATAACAAATCCCTTCCGCAGCCTTCAAGGCGTCGGTCTGGTATCTTGACTTCCTACGCTCTGAATATTTCTCCAAAAGCGTGGTGAGTGAGTAAAAGGGATTAGTCGAAATCTCCTCAAAATTTAGTTGAAGATGTAGAGACCATTTGCCATCGTCGTTGCATTGGCCACCTCCACAAACAAAGTAAATTCGGCCGCCGGCAAAAACAATTTTTCTGCGCGAGAGGTGAAATTCCTGGAACCTGAAAAGAGTATTAGTGGATGTTGACTATACACAAATTCTGAGCTTGTAGTTGAGGTATAACTCACGTCCATACCCTCTGGCTGTACTCAGAGTCTGTTATCATGTCACCGAAGTGAACAAAGCCCTCCAGAGGCCATGTTGCTACTTCCGTTGTATGTCTTTTTTCCCCGTGAGTATCGTCTTGGTGATCAGGAAGCCCATTATAAACACTACTACCATTTGCTGCAACAATGGTGAAGTGGGCTTGTTCATAGATCATGCCCATCAGAGGAATGCACGCATTCTTCTCGTCCTCGTCATCTTGAACAAGGCAGAGTGAGTCCACCCAAAGATACTGTATCTCCATGAGAGAGGCAAACTCAATTGCATGCCTTATAGTGAGCCCGATTCGAACCCGGTCAGCCTCGAGACCTCCAGGCTGCATCAGTTGGTCCTTGTTGCTCCGACTCAATGTATAGTGTTTTTCTCCCTTCAACGGATCACCCCAGACATAGCTCAAGGCTATATATTTATATCCATCATCTTGTTGAATTGAGCCTTCCACTATCGAGTTTTGCTTGACGTCGATGAACCGAAGGCCTGAGACGATTTCACTGGCCTCCAATTTTGAAGGAGCGCATTCAGCATGATGCGTCTTGCACGTGTAAAGACATCGCCGCATTAGTTCCCAAGGAAAGCCTTTAGTGTTGGCGATGGTTGCGTTTTGGTGAGCATCCTTCGCAGTGTCCGGTGCCAGCGATATCGATGGGGATGACATAGCTTCAATGGAAGTAGTCTGAATTGTATGTCGTGATTGGCGATATATCAGGGTCGCTACGCTCAAAAGCCTATTAGGCAAGTTGACTGGGAGTTTGAAAGGCTGCGTGACAGGCCGTAGGATCTGGCTGAACTCTTGTCAAAGACCTTAGCAACTGAGATGATTGTTAGCAGAGCTCTCTTCACTCTGCACTGCAGAGTCTACAGTGGAAATACCTTGACCAGATTTTAGTGCTGTAGAGTTTGGTGAACGTGATGGATGAGAAATGGAGAGATCTTAGTTGAAAGTGCTGCGCCGCATCCAGCAACGGGGCTGTGCAAGGCTGCATGAAACATGCAGGTTTACGATTCAATATGGATAGGCTGATATGGGAAAATTGACAATCAGGGGGCGTAAGGTAACAAGTCGTATTTGGGCATTGGAAGACGGCTGGCATTCTATAGCACAGCTCTTGCGTTTTGAAGTATACCAGCTCTCTGTGCAGCCGACCTTCCGGCCTTGCGTCCAAAGACGGCTCCAGAAGTCAGCCCACTTCCTCCTGGATAGTTTCCGTAGAAAAGCCCACCCACCATTTCGCCAACTGCATACAGGCCGGGTATAGGCTTTCCCGTCGATTCAGATATCACCGCTGACGATTCCGGAACTACCTTCAATCCCCCAAAAGTAAACGTAACCCCACAAGTCACCTTCACAGCAAGAAATGGAGCTTTTGCAATTGGCAGGGCCCAGTTTGTCTTATCGAGCTGCAACCCTCCCGCAGAAGATCGTGTAGATAGACCGTCTTTCTTTGATGGGTCGAATTTGAGCTCTGGGTTCTCTTTCCTGTGTGATTGAACGGCCTGGTTGTATTCGCGTATCGACTCGATGAGACTGGCGGAGTTCTTGAGTCCTTTTGTGATGAGCTTTATGGCCAATTCTTCTAGGGTGTCGGCTGATATTCTCTCGACGACATCGTCCGCATATTCTTCCTTTCGCAGCCAGCTGGCACTGTCTGCATCCCATAGCTGAAATGCCACTCCGTCATCTTGGGCAAGAATTGCTCGACCAAACTTCGCGTACGTGTAGTTGCGCAGGTCTAGCCCTTCATCTACAAATCGTCTTCCATTTACGTTGAACATAAGTCCTAGAGGGTATCCGCTTTTTGTGAACTGATTCGTAAGAGTTTGATCACCAGCGTCCGTCGGAGCATTAGCATCCCAGCAGGTAGAATGACACCCAGACCAATTCCCTACTGGCTTCGCTCTCAGCTCACCTATTGCCATCTCCAAACACTCGCCTGTGTTGTAAGGCGTGCCACGTACATATGCCAGATCCCACCCTGGACCCAAATACCGCGCCCGCATACTTGCATTCGCCTCAAATCCACCAGCACAAAGTACAACGCCACCGCGGGCCAGCACACCATACGTCTCCCCATTCTCCCTCTTGGCACTCACCCCCGTGACTTCGCCGCGGTCATTGCGGAGCAGACCCACCACGGGACTCTCATACCTCACCTCCACCCCTTTCCTCCTCGCATTCTCCTGATGCTGCCTCGTCAATCCCTTGCCCCCATCCTGCACCATCAGCACCATCCCACCCCAGAACTTCCACCGCCCCTCGATCTCATACGCCTGGCGATTGAAACTCAACTGGAACTTGATGCCGTTCTGCGCCAGCCATTTTGTCGTCGCCCTCGACTCGCTGACCAGCGTCGCCGCGAGCTGCGGGTCGCTGCGCCTGTTCGTCACGCGTTGCAGATCGTGCAGAAAGTCTGTTTCTGTATACGGCGCCATGTCGATCTTGGAGGCGAGGGATTGGGGCACGTTGTTCACGAGCGGCAGCACGTCGGCGAGACTGTGGAAGACCGTGCGATACGCCCCGGCTGTAAACGTGGAATTTCCTCCTGCCCACGCCAAGGGGGCTTTCTCGAGGAGGAGCACGCGGGATGCGCCGCTCTCAACTGCGGAGGCGGCGGCACAGAAGCCAGCATTGCCGCTGCCGACGACTATGACGTCGTAGACTACCTCAGACATGATGCAGGATGAGCAAGAGAGTAGTGGTTTATATAGAAGAGATTAAAAGGCTCAAGGTTTAGGACATCTGGGAGTGTTGACGTCGTGATGTCATCTAGCTGGGTCAAATCTGTTCGGCGGGACGTCGGACGCGTGCCGAAACCCCTGCAGGGTCCAAGGGGTAAATGGTAATGGGAACTCATAGAGATGAACTCACAGGGAGTGGTATTTGATTAGGGAGTAAGAAGACTAATACCGGAACGTATTGGAGAGCGAGCAGGCCCATACGAGCGACCAAAAATACCACCTACCTGTCCAGATACCCGCTAGGATGAGAGTTGTTCCTATTCTCGGCTGGTTCCGCCGTTGTGGTCCAGGGCCGAAACGTCTCCTCGTACCCAGACGCGTGTCCCAGGGTTCAGCAAACAGACCTCAAGGATGGACTGCATGGCTCGACCCTGGAGTGCGATGATGAAGTCAGGGTTCCAAGTGAGGAAGCCCTCATGCCAAGGGCGGGAGATCTGCCTGACCACCTTGGCTTTTGCCCAGCTGCTTGGCCCAGCACGTGGGCGCAATTGCTCATCTCCACGCCCCGATTCGTGCTCACGCCATTGCAAACTTCACTAACGTCGTATTGCGGCCCAGACGACATTACTATCGCTGTCCGCGTCACCGCTGTCCGCGTCACCGCTGTCCTCTGCCCTTGGCAGAACGCTGCGCCCCCGAAACGCCCAATTTTAACTCGCCGATCCAGCGTCCCCTGGCCAATCCTGCGTCCTTCACCCAGCCCCGCCCCGCCAACATCCATCCCTGCCTCCGCGCCTGATAAGCCTCAACTGCCGCTGTGCCCCCGTCTGTTTCTTGTTTGTCCGCCGTCTTTGTTGTCTTGTTCAACGCCAGAACGCCTCTGCGGCGTCGCAACTTCTTTCACCAACGTGTCTCGTCCTTCGCGTTTCTTCCTTTGTTGCCTTTGTTGGACACCTGTTCTCTTCCTGCCAAATATAGATATGGTGAAGTTCTAACCACTGCACCGTACTTAATCATGAAGCATTGCGTCAATTCTAGGTCACAATCGTCCATCCTTTCTGCTCATTCGGTCCCAGTTTCACGATAGAGCAGCTTTACCCTAGACCTCTACATCCTCAACTTTCTCCGTTTTCCTATTCCTCATTGCTCTCCCGTCTTCCCTTCCAGATTTATCATTTCCAATAGCTCCGAGCTTTTGCAAGGCTATGCGTTCACTCCTCCTTCTCGCGGCATTTGCAGTCTCCGGAGCACTCGGTGTAGACACTCTTGTTGATCTCGGGTATTCCAAATATAAGGGTGAAGAGCAAGACGATGGCATCACACACTGGCTCGGCCTGCGCTTCGCCGATCAGGTGACTGGTGCGAACGGCCTTCGGTTCGCCGCTCCTCAAGACCCTCCTTCTACTCACGGCATCGTCGATGCTACTAAGGTACTGTTTGGCTCTTCTTGAGACCAGGTGAGATAGCTAATATGTTCTCAGTACGGACCCGTCTGTCTCGGCACGTCATTCAATCTGACGGACAAAAACGCTGATAAAGAGTCTGAAGACTGTCTCTTTGCGAACGTATTCGCACCCACCAACGCATCGAGTTCAGACCTCTTACCTGTGTACGTCTTCATTCAAGGAGGCGGATTCAACGCAAACGCCAATTCGAATTACAATGGGTCTGAACTTATCCGAGCGGCAGACATGGGCATGGTATTCGTCAATTTCAACTACCGCGTCGGTCCATATGGATTTCTTGCAAGCCAGGAGATTGCCGGAAACAAATCTCTTAGTCTCAATAACGGGCTGAAAGACCAAAGGCAGTTGTTGAAGTGGGTCAAAGACCATATTAGTAAGGTATGTCTTATTTTCTTGTATCTCACATTGTGCTTTCTTCTCTGTTCCTCCTGATCACACTGCCACTATGCCCTTGAACATGCAATCTAACTAGCCAAATCTAGTTCGGGGGAGATCCCAACCACGTCGTTCTTGGAGGAGCTAGTGCTGGAGCAGGTTCGGTCGTTCTTCAGCTCACTGCATATGGAGGACGTGACGACAATCTATTCCATGCTACAGCAAGTGAATCGCAATCGTTTCCGGCACTGAGGGATGTAAACGACAGCGAGTTCATGTACAAAGAGCTCCTCAAGCAAGCTCATTGCAAAGATCTTGCCTGCCTTCTGACTTTGGACGCCCCGGCGTTCCAGCAGGCGGTCAAAAAGGTCAAAATAGAATTTCCTGGTGGCCGTCAACCTCCCATCTACTTCTGGGGACCCACTCTCGACTACGATTTCGTCAAGGACTACACCTACAACGAGGTTGCGAACGGCCATTTCGTCAGGCTGCCCACCATTTTCGGCGACGACACGAACGACGGGCTCAGCTTTACCCCTAACACGATAACCTCTCAAAAAGCTTCCGATGATTTCGTCAGATCTCAGTTCCCGTCCTTGACGAATAAAGACCTCGACAAGCTGCGCACAGTATTCACTGGAACAAATGGGTGGAGGGACCAGGCAGCTGATCTGTACGGGCACATTCGTTATATATGTCCTGGACTCAACATCACTAGTGCATACGCGAAAGCCAACCAAACTGCCTGGAACTATCGCTGGAATGTTGGTGCTGCGGGGCATGTATCCGAGATAGGCCCTCTTCTCTGGGGCGATCAGACAGTAATTGGAAAGACAGAGCCTGGACAGTATATTCACCAATACTGGGCTAGCTTCATCCGCACGTACAACCCAAACCACTACTCCGGATACATATTCAAGAATCAGAAGAAGCAGACCTTCACATGGGAACAATCGAAGGGTGCCTACGGGCAAAGAATCCTGTTCGATGATGCAGAGGTTAAGATGGAGGATGTGCCGGAAATTGAAAAGCAGAAGTGTGCCATGATCGACTCCCTTGGCATAACTCTGGTGCAGTAAGTCATCTCTTTTCCATTCTCTTCTTCCTTTCTCCTTTATCTATTCTGGCCATTTCCCTTTGTTCACCCTCACACCTTCCGCAATTACCCATTCGAATATCCTATCTATCTCTGCCAATATCTTGCTATCTGAAAATCATAATTAAGCTACACACTTTCGAGACTTTTCAGTCTCGTCTAATTCGTCCCATTTTCCACGTGACAACATGCGCTTCTAAATACTTCTTGATACTCATATGAATGACTCACTGACTTGTTATTCACAGAACCGCAACCGCGTCGCATTATCTGCACATGCCCTCCTGGTACACATTGTACTGCGTACCGATTGTTGCTTTTCTTTTGTCAATATGCATATGATTCAGCGGGTTGAGCTGTCAGCGTGGACTTTCTGGCATAGCGCTGCATTCGGTTCGGCGTTTGATGTGTACTGGTTGCTGTTTGGCTCCTAAAATTGAAGAGGGCTATAGTGTTACGGCTTGTGAATCCACTTCCAGCTTGTTTGCTGCTAATGATCAGCTCTCCCTACGTGAGTCAGACTATCGAGCCTCTTGCTCCTAAAACGGATTCGTTTCTTGTGAAATAACATCTCTAATTCAGTAAGCTACCATCACGTGATCGACATCCCTGCTAACAGCGAGGTCGCCTTTTCGCTTGGTCAATCACTCGTCCATCATACCTCCATGTACTGATCTACCCATCTACGGTTGAACTGTCTATGGATGTGAGAAAAGGGCTCTTTGCTTTCACAGATGTCTTAATCATAGTCTTTTCCAAATATGCAACGCTCTAGCTCGGCCTAGGACAACATCATGGATGATCTTCAGTGAGTCCTACTCTGCCTCAACAACTCCTTCCGATCATCTAGATATTTGGTTTCCAGACCCTCTTGTTAAAATCTCGAACTGCAAGCTCGACATTGAATTCCCACATTACCTCGGTCGACTTCAAAACCTTATAGCCTATCCAGGCCTTCCCAACACGTTCGCCTGGTACATGCATGGGACATACGCCTAATCACCATCCTGCCTGGGCAAAATGAAGAGACAGTTTTCACGATAGAGCCAATAAACGGTAACATGCCACCGGCCTATTGGGCCTTGTCTTACACATGGGAGGACCCGTCCATCAAGATACCTATCACTCTCAATGGACGACCATTTAGTGTCACCCGGAATTTGTACTTCGCTTTGAAGTATGTTCGGCACCCAGATGAGACAAAAACTGTTGGGTGGATGCTATCTGCATGTATTTCTACTAAACCGCAATCAACCATCTTTGAGTCTTGAGGTTTGCACCTCAATATTCTAAGGGTTTCGATGTTGCATTTTCGGCGAGTCGGATGTCGCGAAAGACCGTTCTGTGTTTTAAAAAAGATGTGCTAATCTATCTTCACGCTTTCTTTCCTCAGGTTACCTTTCCTTTTCTCCGTCTTCACATGACTGCGTGGCCTTACAACCCTCTGCAACATAATGGCGCAGTCCCGAGTCCCATATCACGACTCACTAGGCTGTGCTAAAGCAACTGCGCCTGCGCCGGAGGTTTCAGCCTTGATAACTTTCGCGATAGTCCGCTCAGCCCTCCATGAGACAAGCTTTGATGCCAAGCGAAACGGAGGAAGCTAGTTGCTTCCTGTGCCCATGATATGCGCCGCTTCTTGAAACCAATAGCATTCCTTTCGGCGGTTCTAATACCAACCATGATATTTTGCGTGTTCTCAAGGTGTTGTTGGATTCTGTGTGAGGTTTCTACCGTTGCCTGCATCCTACTGCTCGAGATCAGAATAAGATGGCCTCTTGCCCTGGAGCGCTTTCGCAGTGGTATAAGTATGCTGTAATGTGAACCTCAAGTGTTTATGATTCTTTCTCAGCGTCTAGATCAGTACCTTCTCTTTGACATCTTCCTATTTATATGTCGGTTCGAGTCTCGAGTTCATCATGATATCCTTCCTTTGTTCACCCTATAGCTACTGGCCCTACTCTTTTCTAGGTTCTACGTAAGGGCCGACGATGATTCGCTCAACATGAATGGCTACAATGTTGGTCCGGTCTGGGAGGACGATGAATTGGCTCCTTTCCCTCCGCTCACTGATGGCAAAGGGAAGAAAGTGATGCCCAAAGTCTGGTCAGAACGAGATTGTTCGGGTACAAAGGCTGTGGAAGATCGGAAAAGGCCATCATCAATGAAACCTTCACGGATTTTCAAAAGTTAGCTGCTACTTTTCATGACAGAGATCTATCAAACGGCATCACAAATCTGGTCGTCTCCGTGGGTACACCCCCTTGGCTTCCATGGAACCCAATGCATTCCCTCTGGATCGAAGGCCGTTGTAGTGGAGGGGATGGATCCGGTGATCCAGGAAACAAGTATGAGATGCGTCCAATAACCCAACTTTATGCCCTGTGCCATACAGTTGCAAAGTATTGCGAAATTCGTACGGAGACGGCTCATTCCCTCAACGCAATGGTCTGTAATAATTGATAGTGTTATGACAGTCTTTTCCCCCATCCACATTAGCTAATGTATATGTAGCTGACAGCTTTGCATGGTATGCCATGGCTATGTGGGCGAAGGACAAAATAGGCGGGTAAGTAGTTCGTGCTTCTTTGTGCCTCTAGAGCCAGGAAAAGATGATCCATACTAGTTACCCTCCCGGACCAGAGCCAGATACGAAGCCTCCGACTCAAAAACCGAGACACGGTAACAATCATCCGCGTGCGTCTGGTGGGGATACACCCGAAGACCCTGAGAGAGGCGCTAAAAAATACGACTATGTCCCTGACGATGGTTTTACCATTCTGGGTTGTCCAGACAAAGACATTGGCCATTCTTCTAGAGCCTCACTCGACCCACCAGCTCCTGATCTCGATAGTAGCATAGATGCAAGCAACATTCCTAGTTCCATATTCAGCTCTGATACTAACAAGGTCTACAAAACCTTTTGCAGTGCGGCATCGTTAATCACAACACGTTAAAGTAGAATTTCGACGTTTTCGGCAATCCAACGGGCAACGATGCACCAAAGCCCCGGGTGAGACGCGGACTTGGCTTCTTTCCCAAGAGGGGATATGGACCAGAACAGTATACGAATTAGCAGTTGAAGCTTGATTGGGCGCCAAAACAGAACTACGACCCCTAAAAAGATGAATGTCTCATAGATTGCTGGGAGGCATTTTCGACCTTGGCTATTTCAAACTGCGGGCAGAAAGGAGACGGTCATAACATGATGTCTCAATGGGAGCAGATCTACGTCGGCTGTGGATTCTATGGATACACTATTCATAGAGGGTATTGCCTTATCTTGAAGAACAGCGGCAGGGTCTCTTCTCGAAGCCGTAACTTTTCTCCCTCATATCAAAACTTTGGACACATGGGTTTCTCTTTAATACACACAGGGCGCTTTGCCTGTTTCAATTTAATAGATCCGTTCATCGAGACTAGTACCACGTTTTCTGAAGTGTGCCATGTTCCCCAGCCTCCTTCGTTGCCCAACTGTTGAACTCAGGTTGCAGCACTACAACCTAGGATCAACAACTCATATGCCAGAAAGCTACTCTCCGAACATCAGCTGTAGAGAACCCAGCTGAAATCTCAGCTGTAGAGAACCGAGCTGAAGCCTCAGCTGTGCAGGGCTCATCTGAACTTACTAGCGCGCCACCCTGGGGGTGGCCCCCTTCCTTCCCCTAGTATATATACAACTAGCTAGACGTCTATAGAAATCAGAGTTCACATCAATTTCAACCTGAGTGTTGATACATGCATTCCCCCGATATTCACTTACATCTCTGAATGTTTTACCCTGATACCTTTCAAGTAGCATTGCCGCTCTCTCGTCCATGCTGATACATAATCTTAATCTTGCAACATCATCTGGGACAAAATCATCCGTATCCTTACTAAAACCAGGGAGCGTCGTGTCATATTCCGACACTACAAGGCCACCGCTACTCGGCCACGCAACGCTCACCCAGAATCTCTCGTACACCGTCGGATCCGGCTTGGAGCCTTCGCGCGCAAGAGGAGTGAAAAGCGAGCCCTGGAGTCCCACCACTTTGCACCAAGGAGCAATAATCGCTGGTAGAACTCGTCCTCCTGATTCGGATTCTCGCATCGTTTCTCAGGCGGATTCAGGCGATCGAGACCGAGAAACTCAAAGTCCACTGTTCCAGCATCTTCAAGGATGATTTCACCGCCTCTAGTCGGCCAGCCATAGATGATGATATCTTGATCCGAGATGAAGAATCGGAATGTGACATCTTCACGAGGCTTGGGGGGGGGGTACACCGAGTCCCTGTCGAGGATGGGTCGACTTCTCGCTGGGCGGAGGTGAATTCATGACTTAGGCGGTGATTTTTTATAGATTCCGCGCCCCCTCCAAGGCATTTGGACAAAGAGGAACTCGTGGAGCCTGGGATATCGACGCTCGACGTAGATGAAGAACGAGAAACTGTGACACACTTTAGCTAAGCCGTGAAGCGGCCCGAATCCATTTTTTTGGTACTGACATTAGAAGTGAGACCGCGGTTGAGACAGACATGTATTGCGGCACAGAAGGTTGTAGACACCGTCATCGTAGCTATGATGAAAGAAAAGCCCAAACCTTGTGAACGACAAAAAGAGGTAATCCTTCTATAATGGCTACTAGGCTTCTCGAAGCATAAGCTCTAGTTCATATTGTCCATGAATCGATGGAATGGAACGATTTTGGTGCAGTTTCTGCCTCCGTTCACGAATGCCCACGACACTTCCAAAATCTCATCGCCGAACACGATCGAGCCCCGCAAGAAAGATTTGGTAATATTGGCGAAAGCTATGTTCATGGGTTGATGGATGGATAATTCCTGGAGATAATGACAGCAGAGGGGAGGATATTTCATCTTTTCCGTATCAGATGAGCCGATCCATAAAGACCTACCAGGCCATTACCTTGGGTACACGGGTACCACTTCTTGAGTATCGCTTTGGAAGCGAGGTATCGGCGCCAGGAGCAGCCTGCTTGCTAATGCTAAGAAGCCATCAAGTCAAAAGGCAGCTTGAATTCCCGCTGCAAGAAGTTTAGTATTACGCCTTGATTTTGGAAACACTACGAGGGCACCGCTAGCAGCGGCGGACGAGTGTGTATGACTTGCCACTGTGTTGTTATTCATGGCGAAGATCTCGAATAATGAAGGCTGCACAATGCTTTGTTTACGTTTCAACCCTAGACGACTAAACATCCCGAGATTACTCAAAAAGAATACGAAATCCACTATCCTCCTAGACTCCTCGGAGTAAAGCATTCTCTGTTGTCACCTTTAGAGATCTTATAACTCGAAGATTGGATAGCGCCTCCTCGATTAGGTGAGATCGAGAGATCTCCGGTAAGCTTCTTTTGAGATGCCCGGTCCTCTCTTTGTTCGGAGGTATCCACCTAGCACCAACGACGCAGATTTAGGTGCCTTGTTCCTTTGTGTCTCTTGTGATTGGAAGTACACTGCACAATATTTCTCCTTACTCACGTTATATGGCACTTCCAAATACCTTCATGCCCAAATATATCCGATCTAGGTATCCTTAGCTCATCAAATACAACCACAAATAATCCTATCCCTAGGTCGACACCTCAGCTCTCCCACTAAAATGAGCCATAAACCCCCAACCTACCTAACCCCTTCATACCAACTAGAATCATTCGCCCCCTCACCAACCTTCGAAATTATCACATTCCCCGGAAACGACAAATCACCACCACCCTACTCCGGTCCCCCTCCATCCCCATTCCCACCCCTCCCCTACCGTCCCTATATCCCCACCATCCCCGCTATCCACGCCCGCCGCCGCAAAGCCCACATCGCGCTCACCGTATTCCTCTTCCTCACTGTCATAACAATCACCAGCATTGCAGTTGGGCTGCTCACGAAGCACTCATCCAAACCCACACCTACACCTGCCTCAACTGCACCCTCAAATATAGCGATGATCACCACCACAACCAGAACGGCGATCTCAACGACGACAGCTCATCACCTGCCGCCCTCCGGCGACCCCGACCCGGGGTCCAGAATCGCGACTAGTAAAAGAGTTAGTGAGCTGCCGAGGAGTGTCTTCACGCCTGCACTTTCGGGCCGAGTAACGACGATTACCGTGATGGCGTCGGCGAAGGACGAAACGAAGGCACTGCCGCTGAGACAGACGATGGCGCAGTCGCTAACGCCTGTATTGCCGATGACGATGGTGTTGCCGGCGGCGGAGACGAGGGTTTTGCTGTAGATGTTGTTTGTGCGGTTGGCGTCGACGTCGGCGATGGAGGGGCATAGTATTAGGCCACACCTTTGGATACATGTGTGTTGTAGTGCTTGAGTTCGGCTATTGCTCGCTCGACACCACCGTCAGGATTAGCCCAGCTGCTAGGTAAGTATGGAGTCAAAAGGCGGCTCAATTTCTTAAATACTAAATTTTTACGTCGCATCTGGGATTTTCAAAGCTTATGGAGGCGTCTGAAGCAGCGCTAGACGAGTGTGCACAGGCTTGCGGCAAGGTATTGCAGAGGAGGAGGGCGATGGTGGCAAGGGGGGTTAGATTGGGACGTTGTGCTGGAGGGGGAAGGGAATAAATGAGGCAGGCTGTACAGAATTGGATTTTGTATTACGGGAATGCTTCCTTGAACGTTCATGTGATACCTGTCTCTCCGTCGGTCGGTTGGGTGTGTGGTGGTCGTCTCTAAGACTGAAGAGGGGTGGTACTTTGCATTTGGGGGGCTGGTAGACCTACATGGATGGATGGATGGATAACTGACCACAATAACATACGGGCGGCCGTTGAAGCAGTACAAGCATTAGGAAAACATTGGAGGCTTCCCTACGACGAGGTACTAGAGAGAGAAGCTACGAGAAAAGGAGGGTGATTTTTGCTTCGACGAGATTCAATTATTCTTCGGGGGGCCTGAATGGTGTAGCAAGAAAGTTTTCCCCAACAAACCCAACGGCTTTATTCCACATGTCAAGTAGCGTCTTCTCCACATCTTGCGCGTTGTAATGTGGTCGGATTGTGTTTGAGAAGTCGACTAAGTCGCGCCAGACATGACGAAACGCAGCCAACACGGTAAGACTCAGGTTGCAGCACTACAACCTAGGATCAACAACTCATATGCTAGAAAGCTATTCTCCGAACATCAGCTGTGCAGTGTTCAGCTGAACTTACTAGCGCTCCACCCAGGGGGTGGCCCCCCTCCCTTCCCCTAGTATATATACAACTAGCTAGACGTCTATAGAAATCAGAGTTCACATCATTTTCAACTTGAGTGTAAGCATGTTTCTGACCGCAACCCCCTGGACGTGACGCGCTTCGATGAGGTTGGGAAATGGCCGACCCAGGCCGTCGTCAATTTCGGCATTGATGCCATCCATTATAGAGTCCTGAAGCTTGTAGCTGCTTGGGAACAGTGTCCGTCGACAATTTGGGCAGGTATTTGTAGTGTTGGTGCTGGGATGGTTCACCCATTTTGTTAGGCACTCCCTCCCAAAGACATGACCACACACATCCAGCTCCACCGCGTCGTTCTCAGCGTGAATCTCATTACAAAAAGTGCACTTCGCGTCTTCGATCAGCGGGCCGTCGTATGTGCTCAAAAATTCGCGATATCGAGTTCCACCCCACCACGGTCTAGGTCAACGTCCCTGGGGTCCTTAACTAAGCTCGCAGCAGCCTCAGCAACAGCGTCGACGCTCTGCTGTATCTTTTTTAGTCTTTCGAGAGCGGTAGAGAGCCGACGCGCAGCTAATACGGCGAGGTACCGCATTTCATCGCGAAGCCATCTCCTCTCAGCGTCTTTGTTCGGATAGTCCACGTCTCGGGCACTGATAATCTTGTTGTCGAGCAACAGCGCGGCGACTGCGTCTTGGATACGCAGGCACTCTGTTTCGGGAGTATTCAGCTTGTACTTCTGCCAAAAAAACCAGGCACCAATTAAGGTGAAAGCATCCTTCTGATCGACGGTCCACTGATCGTAGGGCAAATATTGCAAGTGCTCGTACTGGCGCCAGTGATAAGGCCATGTCTCAGTAGGTTGGACCGAGTTATCGTTCAGTCGATCTTCAAGGACATGCATGCGGTGGTCCAGGTAATCTTGTCGCAGGTGCGTATATATTACACGCCGATGCTTCACGTTTTCGGGGGGCCAACGTTCTACCTCTGGCTCAGGCCCATGACGCTGTGAATCTCCACAGATTGGGAAGCCGCATGAGTCGAGGCCGAGGTGGAAGGAGGACTTCGCAGGTGAGATTTCTGCATTCTCTGTGCTTTCCAGCTGAAAATACGTTGGCTGGTCTTCCTCTGTGGACGAATCTGATTCTTCATCAGTGTCTATAGGCACTGCTTCGATGGCGCGTTTCAGATCGCTCATTATAAATGGCGATCGACGCTGGTAAATGATTGCGGGCAGGTCGTGGTAGCCAGATTCCGAGCATTGTCTTGGCCGCCTCAAGCTCTCGCCTCGTCGGCGCGGCGGCCATGTTGTGAAATGTGTGTTCGGGAATATGAAAAATAAATGTGAACGTGGTTATTTATGACGTTCAAAGGTTGTAGAGTGGTAAGGTTGTGATGACGAAGTAAACAAATGCGGGACAAGATCAGGTTGGCCACGTCAGGACTTCGAGAAGGCACACCTGCGAATACTATGATAAGAAGGAGCAGACTAGCTGCCAAAGAGACAGACAGGCTGATGAATGACTATGATTAGCCCAGACGCTTCTGCCGCTTTACGTAGTGCTTCGAAGTATGTCTAGGGAAGGTGACAGACTCGCTTCTAGTCAGTGCCGTCTGACGTGGCTGAGTAGGTGTAACGAGTGTTCATTATTTGTTTTCATCTTATCGAACCTTTTGAAGAAACGTCGAACTACCAGTGGTGCTGGCAAGGAGGCTTGTCCCGACCATTGACGCATCCCTGTATACCTAACTGGGAAGGGGTCTGTTCAATTCTGTACAAGTAGTAGCATTTTCAATTATGCGGGAAAGTACTGCCGCGAACATAATTTTGACGTCGCTTTGTGAGTTTGTGAGTTAGTGAGTTTGTGAGTCCACTCATGTCAAAAATGACTCTAGTTTGCACATACAAGAACAAAGCAGATTGGCGAACCTATCTAGAGAGTACACGCTTCGCCACTTCATGCGCAAGCTATCAAGTTTTCGAGGTATATATTTACAAAGTGTCCTTGAGCATCTTGTTCATTTTAGCCATCCTGGACGAAACACTCAGATCGATGGTTCGGTCGCCGATCTCGACGACAAGGCCACCGCGGATATCGGGGTTGACCTGGTGGAATTAGCGTCAGGGCGCCCAGTTTTTGAGGTGTAGACGTGGATGCATACCTTGGGAACAACCTTGAGCTTCTTGCCTTGTCCGACATATTGCGACTTGGAAATGGCGCTTTCCAACCGGGTGAGGGTTTTGTTGTCGAGAGGCTACGGTTCATGAGATTCGTTAGCAAAGTGCCCCTAAAAAGCCATAGGCCTCAATTCTCGATAGCTGGCCAGACTTACAGCAGCCGAAGTAACCGTGAGCTCAACCTCGCCCCTCGCAGCGCCCATCAGTACAGCAAACTTATCGGTAACAGACTCCAAAACGCCCAATCGGTTGTTGTCTGCAAGAGTCTTCAGGAAGTTCTTGACGATATCTCCTTTATCTACATTGCCGACATGCTTGGCCAGCTCGGCGACGATCTGGTCCTTGTCACTGGCGGTGAGCATGGGGGCGTGGAGCACCGTGTTGAGCTTCGGGTCCTTCTTGAAGACGGCGGCGAGCGTCTCGAGGGCTTTGGAGGTGCTGTCGAGGGCGGAGGTCTTTGCGGCCGCTGTGTACTGCGAGGGAAAAGCATATTAGCTCGGATATGCAATTGAAACGCGTGGGGATCGAGATGGTCAAGTCCGCCATCTCGAATGAGTCCAGAGAGCTGAGAAGCACATACCAGAGCGCTGGCATAGGTTCCGTCGATGCCGTAGATTGCAACCGGTGGTCTCGTCGACGCGGAAGCGGCAGCTTGGGCGTAGCATCGGAAGGCGGCCCGGGGAGCGATTGAAGCCTGGCCGGTGGCCGATCGCGCGGCCTGAGTGAGAGCCCGACCTGAGAGCATTTTTTGGAGGAGCGGAGAGGTATGTGGTGTCGGAATGGGATTTGGTTGGAGCTGCTCGTTGATGGCGAGCGTGAGGAAGTTCGACCGATTTTGAAGGTACGATGACTAAGCCTGAATGCTTGGCACTACAAGTCCTCCAAGGCTCACCACTTCTTGCAGACTTCGTCCATTACCCCAACGCCATCTTCATACATGTATCAATGGCTTTCAAAGTTCAAACTTTCCACTATGACTATAGGAGTGCAAGGGCAGACGTGCGGCTAGCGTTTTAGCGTTCAGTGAGTGCGAATACTCGCTTTTCCCTCGTCCGGAGCACTTCGCCAGTTTCCAATACAGCAATCTTTTTGAAGCTTCAGAACGCCATTGTTGGAAATATCGGACTGCTTACTGTCTAAGGTAGCAGCTGAGATTGCGAATATGGTAGTGAGAGAACTATTCGCTACTCCTAAGCCTAGTCTGGACATGTAGTCATTGAGTAAAACCTGCTCAGCTGCGTCTCTATCTGGCGTTCAAGTCTCGTGTAAGGTTTATCTAGATACCACTAGTATGAGCTTAAGTATCTTTAAGCCTATTCATTCTAGCTGGGCCCTTCCTATTCTACCACTCTGGAGCCCGCCTCCTTGTCCACCTGACTGGATCATCACTGGAAGCTGCATTCTCTAGGCAAATGGTACTCAGTCGATTATCCTAGGCGTATACTAGCATGTGTACCTGAATAGCAAAAGCTAAACCCCAAACCTCTTTCCATACGTTTCGGCAAGAAAAGAGGGCCATTCCTAAACTACATGGACATCTATAAAAGAAATTCTAACAAACACACAAAAAAAGAAATATGCGACACGAGCAGGATTCGAACCTATTGAAGGGTTAGTTTGACGTTCTGAACGAAGCGGTCATGGGTCACTTTCCTGCGATCCCGAAGGAACTGCCTCACAACCTTGTAGCAGGGCAGCGCTTTAACCACTCAGCCATCGTGCCATAATTTTGAGTGAGGCCGCACTTATTATATTGATATCCCTGCACTGTATGGTGGTACAGAGCATTTGATCGGTTTGCCACATCTCTGATCTCTCCGTACAATTCTACATCATGCTACTAGAGGAACAAACAAGAAAATCCTAGGTCGAACAAAGCGCCGCGTCGTCACGCTAGGCTTTGTGCATAGCGGCCTAGCATATGGTTGATTAGATTCAATGTGCTCTCCTCATCTTTCTAATAAGGGACAATCACGTGTAGAGTCACTCTATCTCTCCTGACGACCCCCAAGTAGCGCATTGTCTGAATATCACGGCAACAGATCTAAGATCTGGTCAACTTGATAATGATATTCGGACACACAGAGATTAAGAAAAGCGATGCGCTCTTCAACCACTACTCTCAGCTGGGTTCTATCCCAAGCCTCGGAGGGTTGCCTCTCAAGCACTCCTCCCAGTGCCTACTCTCCATTATTCAATTACGGGCTCGCGGCATATTAGACTTACCTTTAGGCACAATCATCTCGCCAGTCATAACCAATCTCAGGAACTACTCGCTATCTGATGCTTTCTGAAAGTTACCCCGTATAGCACTATAGACTCCTTTCTTCACCGACGCTGTCCTGGTCCCGATCCGGGTAACAACCCGATCAAGCTGGTTATGCATTGCCACTGTCACTTATAGATACGCGCGCCGTCAACCGCAAGGCTCTCATGTCTTCGTACAGTGCATGTCTTATCCAACGCTCTTGCGCAGGGACCTGTCCCCGGTTCTTCCGAAGTTGTAACGAAAGCCACTTTGCCAAGTACTCATCTTTTTCAAAAGGGCCTTCTCCCACAAGGGAGTTGAGATCGAATGGGGGATGGAGTCATTGAAATGTTTCTCCCTCCTTTTCTTACTATCGTCATCACTGCTTCTTTTTTTTGTCACCTCCTCGTTGCTTGAAAATATCCTCAGGCTTATTCGTCTTTTCCTTCTTGAACTCGCGCGTGTTCTGGCGCTCTTGCGCTTGGCTGGATTACACCGTCACAAATGCATACTCTATTAGATGAAAAGGCACGCCCCGCCTAAGATTAAGGGGACGGGAAAATAAGCGACATTATATACTTCCAACATACTTTCCCTTCTTCGCATCGCAGTCAGCCTCATCCGGCTCTCTCTTGCTAGCGTACGGGCGTGGACGGGCGGTTTGATTTGCGGTTCATCCGCGCAAAGGCTTTGTGCAAGTTTTTCCATACAAAATAGGCATGCTTACGCCGAAGAGCCCCATCGAGCTGTTGGCCTGATCCTCTACGAGTACGCGAATAGTGGGCGGCGAGCTGACTACGGTATTCGTTCAGTAATACGGAAAATGCGAATTTGTTTGGAACGGATTCTGAACACACTCTCATTGATGCCTGTGATGGAATCTGCTAAGTTATGGCCTACAGGCCTAAAGGGATGAATCTAAGTTTAGGATTAGCGACCAGTCACTAGCAAAGAAAGCCGGAAATCGGACGCGATAAGCTCTTGTAGCGTTCATCTTCTTGAAGTGGGCGTCTGGATAGTTCATACTATACGCAGTCTTGCCAGTGATGTTAGCAAGATACTCAATGCGGACACCAGCGTGGAGGTACTAGTTCTGCTATTGATGGCCTAGGTGAGGTTGGCGCTGCTACGCTTGTCGATGCAGCATGCTTCAAAGTAGGGCTGGCTGAAGGCACAAGCCTTCGCTACTTCGCAGAAGTTCGCAACATTCTCTAAACCGGCCTTGTGCTGTACAGAGTCTTTTACCCCTTGCACATCATGTTGAGATACTTGTTCTACCGCCCATGAAAGAGATGCTGGCATATCGGGGTATATAAGAGCTGAAGAACTCTGCTGAAGTGTTGAGGACTTGAGGAGCCACACGAGGTCCTGTCGTTCAAGTACGACGCACAGCACTGGGACATGAGTTTGAGTACTCTTATACGCCACTGCATGGGAAGCTCTTAAATGTCTCGGTAGTTCAAAATTCTGCTCAGATGTTCTTGGATCTTCCTGGAACTGACGTCCTGGGATGGCCAAGCGAGCTTGCAGACTGACTGTAACTTTGTATTGATGTAAAATGTCTCGTTTGGATTCAAGAAAGCATAAAAAAAGTAGCTTTACAGTGGTGGGTAAATGGCAAGATGATGGCGGTAATACAAGTGTGGATAAATCGACCCGGTCCTGGCACTCACGTTACACTCATTTTACCTAGCTACCCAGTAGAAGTAGGGGGCGAGTGGAGCCAAAAAAGTGTGTCCTCACTACTCCCAAACACAAAAGAATGGACAGCAGTGGGATTCGAACCCACGCAGGCAAAGCCCATGAGAATACTGCCTCTAGTAGAGGCAAGCTTTCGCTTTAAGTCACACGCCCTTGCGAATGTTAGGAGTGATCGACTAAAAATGAATGGTAAGAAGCTTACATAACCACTCGGCCCTGTTGCCAGTGTAATTAAATTTGGGGACCAGTAAATACACACCTCCTTTTTAGTAGTTCTACACCCCCTTCTAAGCAAGCATTCACACCCCGTATAATCTTATCCTCTTATTGGCATTAATGCTCGGGCTATTGCCCCTAGAGGTACATTCACTTACTTGCATTCTACTTCCGCGGTATATTAGTCGCTGTAGGTCTTTCCTAGAGCATTATCTTAGATGTAAGACTGTGCTAGAAGATATTCTAGGTACGCAAATATAAGTAGCCCTCTATGCGGCACTATACAGTCTATCAACTGTGCTAGAGCAGACATGTTGTGTGGTATAGTTAATATCGTGATATAGATTCACTATTACTCTAGGAGGAGTCGGCCCGGCTAAAGCAGCTAATAGAGAGATTGGATAATATAGGGGATGTGTGGCTACTAAAAGGGGGGTGTGTGTTTACTGGCCCCTTGAATTTACACAAGGATGAATTTTCAAGAAGCAAATAAGCAAGTAATCCCGATTTAATACTACCCGACGTGCCGACGTGCCAGGGGACACTCCAAAAGTGATGGAAATGCGTCATTTTCCAAAGCATTCAACTCCACAGAGAAGGATGCATAACCTAAAACGCCTAAAACATCTATTGTTTGCTCTCTTAACGTAGGCGAACTACTACTCTTAGGGTAATAAAGATCTCACTAAATTCTAATTTCCGATGTTGAACCTCAGGCTCATAGCGTTCCTTAAAGGTCTTTCTTCCTCTTTCAACGAGTACTTCGGCGAGCGCCAGTTTTCTTCTAGACCTGTATGCTAAACCTAGTCAGTTTACTATACTACCTAAGAGAGGCATGATGGAATCCATGCTTCTGCTAGTTCTAACGGAATCATACCGGACATTAGCATCTTCCGACGAGCAATGATATAATCAGTCGGTCGAAATACGATGGACGATTGAAGGCGATCGTAATCTGGCGGAGCTGCACGTATGAGGTCCTCCGGCGTTTCCGGAATATTATGGACAAGATGTAAAGTTTATAGCCTAGGAATCATACTAGCGCAGACTGCTGGAGCACACCCGCAGAACGTGCTAGCCCATTATATCGTAGTGCGTCACTCGGCCAATCAGCCATCAAGTCACCCTAGTGCTCTTTTTACTGACCTTATCCAAATCGAGCCGAATTTCTGAACCTTTTGCCCTTTCGGTCAAATGCTTCGCCATATTACAAATAGAGGTGACCTAATAGATTGAAATAGACGACGAAAAGTTATATAAGGAAGGCATCTCAGCTCTAGAATCAATACCAGCAAACATCATACCACCATATTTCCGCCAAACAAACCCGTCCTTCGAAGATCGCTTTGTACCTCTCAGTTTCAACTTCTATCTTCTTGAGTAGAATCCACAACCTTTAGATAAAATGGCAGCCCGAGCTATCCTTCTGCTCAAAAAACTCGACACGCTCACCGATGCGGAGTTCTACAAATAGTAAGAACAAGACATCTCTCTCGTCCCAATGATCCAAACTGATGTAACGATCTAGCATGGAAGGGACACACTCAGACTCTATCTTGAAGGTCCCCTATATCAAGGAGAAGAATATCACGTTCTCTTCGGTCCGTACGCCTGTTAGCCTCGACAAGGATCATGACCATCTAACATGTCTCTAGTTCCGTGTCGACAAGGTCCTCTCATCCAGCATCGGTTTTCCGATGTCAGAGTTCGATGGCGAATTCAATTTCTGGTGCTCTTCAATGGAGGATCTCATAGACGTAAGTAACCTCTGTTTTACAATCGGACAAATTGGCTGATATTCCCTAGCTGTTTAGTGATCCAGAGTGGCAGCGTATTGTTGTAGATGACGGAGCAAATTTCAACGAACAACAGGAGGGAAGAATGATGATTGGGTACGACACGGACTTACTTCCTGATAGGACTGGTAGGAAGCTTCTATAGAGGTTAATTTTACGTCTATGACACGCCTTGAGGTCATCACACGTGGTCCATATATCAGGATTCATCTGTCGTGCCGTGGACTGAAGGGGGTCAGGCGATTTGCTGAAGAGGTGTCGTCCTCCATTAGATCAGGCAGTCGTCCAGAGCTTTCATGAACTAATACGTCGAGGCTTCCAATTAAGGTAGTAGAGGAAAGTGGGCTTTCCGATATGCTAAATCAAAACACGCTGGCCTATTATGCTAAAGGTAATTGCGCTGAACGAACCCTAGACCGACGAGCTAGCGAGCAAGGTGCTTGAGAAACCCGAGCGTGGTCCGCGAAATGTTGGAGATGCTTGATGATAGGGCAAGTTCTATAATAAAGAGCCGATCCCAGCAATGCGTGCCATTTTCGGTCCTCCAGGAGGAACGCACAATCGGATCCGGGGTAATCTCGATGCTGGCCCACCAGACGACGACAAATACTGATTGAGAACAGAGTTTAGACCATCGTGAGGCCTTGGAATGTACCAGAAGAAAGAATTCGATTCTCGAACAGACGCCCGTAACTGTTAGCAAGAGCTGAGACTGCGTGATTCGCAGACATGTCTTGGATTGGTTGGATGAATATCTTTTTGGTGGTTTGGCACCATTCGTCGCTGTAATCATCTCCTGGCCATAGGCAAAGGCGCGGTCGTGGTCTGGAGCAATCTTCTAGCCCCTAACTCGTTGTAAAATTCCATCTTTCAATGTCGTTTCGTTAACAGCATCATCTGGTTTCTGACACGTGGCTCTCGAAGTTTCGGTCCTTCCGAGGCTTCAGACATAAGGACGAGGAGAAGGCAATTTCGTGAAACGAAAAGACGAAAATCAGCACAGCTAAGCAGCCACAGCAGGCCTGCGCCCGCCAGCTGGCCCGTCCATGCCGTCGCCCGGGGCTTTACCTCAGGTTTGCGCCCCATGAGATGAAGCATGAAGATCAAGCCGAGACGACATCAAGTCCTAGCAGGCCAGCGGCCCTGTTTACAGCTTGCATCCAGCGAAGGAGGGTGGTTGCGAGGTGATGCCAATTAGGTGGGTGGATGGAGGAGAGGGAGATGCTTATAGGTAGTGGAGAGGGAGGCGTGTTGAGGAAATCTGCTAACTCGATACAGATTGGACCTATTCCCAATTTCTCTACGGCCCGAAGCCACATCCGACCTCACCACTCTGCCATCGTTCGCCCCCTGCAGCCAAGCTGGCTCTTCATTGTGCACGTAAAAAGCTGATGGGTGCGATGATCGCGGCATGCTCATGCTGCTAGATGTGCATATTCGAATGCACCCGTACGCCGCGACGCGTAGTGAGTGTGTCTCTTATTCTTTTCCGATTCTCAGCATCGCCAAATCTTGCCTCTTTTTAGTCAACGTTCCACCTGTCCTGTGCCTTAGCCTTCCCTGTAATGCCCATTGGAGATCCGCGGCCCCGAGCCCAGGTCGTCCCATGCCCCTACAGCCGTCCTCGAGTTCGTCGACCCGGGAGAGGGAAAAGGATTCGTATTTCTCACCATCTGGTCGACCATGCCACGGCGCCTGCGCTGCGCGTACACGAAAGCCTGGTAGAACTACTCCCTCGATATCAGACCCGTTATCGCGTCTCTCGCCTCTAGAAAGTGTCATACGCAGCATGCAGGCCTCAATTCGCGCCATCAAGAAAGTGCTCGCGCCTTCTATCGAACCAGAGCTACCGTCGCACTCGATACTCGCCTTCTACGGCGAGAAGCGGGTATCAGTATCGCACAATATGATCCTCTTCTCACCATAGGATGGGAGCTCGAGAAACTTTTAATGGCCTAGGTCCTTACTAGCGTGGACATCATCGAGACGTATCTCGAACATATTGAATAACACAATCGTCGCGGTTGACAGCTTCGAGCATTCATATCAGTTGCACCTAAACACGAACTTCTGAAGGTCGCGAAGCAACTTGACGACGAGCGTGCAAATCGGAGGGCGAGGAGTCCGTTCCATGGCATTCCTATTATTCTGGAAGACAACATCATGACGGATATGAGTCTCGGTATGGACACCACTGTTGGATCCTACGCTTTTGTAGGGGCGATCCTGAAGAAGAACACGACAATAGTAGACCGTCTCCAAAAGAAAGGGATGATCATCCTTGGCAAGAGTAATATGACCGAATTCTGTGGTATGTCCAAACTACGGTGAAACCGTGTGGGTACTGGAGGAGAGCACTGATGAGCTGCTAGGGCTAAAAACCCCACTCATGCCTCCTGGATGGTAAATTCTAGTCTCATATTTTTCTTGGCTTCGCTCTTACATATTCTAGGTCATCAGTCGGAGGGCAGACATAGTCTCCTTTTGTCGCTAGACACATTGCGAAGAAGAAATTACATTGGGAATTATCGGCTCCAGGCGGGTAAGTTCTGTGTCGTTGAACTTCCATTGCTGAAGCCATTCGGTTGGCATCATCTTCCAGCTCGTCTACCGGATCGGCAGTCAGTGTAGCAGCTGGCTTTAGTACACTTGCAATCGAGACCGACACAATCGGATCATTGATAACACCAGCAAGTCGAGCGGCGCTCTACGCCTCAAGCCTACCGTTGGCGAGATCCCCGTGGACGGAGTTTTCACGCTGAGAAAGTCCAGTGTTCCAGTTTTTAACAATACTTGTCGGTAAATCGACGGCACCGCAAGTTGCAATCACTGAACTGTAACCTCCACTTTGAACATATACAGATGGAACTGCATCCTTTACGGACGGTATTTACTACAAGCGAAATATGTACAGACCCCAGACCCTAAAGATCTCTTTAAGCCCATTTGACACCTTTTACGTAGTCAGGACGGGTATTCCTACCCGCTTTAACGTTCTGGGCGGCATAATCTGCTTTAGCTAGGTGCCAGCCATCCTCATAGGCTAGAGAATGGCCAGGGGCTGGGTCTCCTCCCATTATGGCGTAGACGGCGGTCTCCCTTAATTTCTCGTATTGACCTCGGGAGCAACGGGGCCCAAGCTCATCACACTTGTATCTAGATCTCTCTAAACTTGCAGTGCTGCTTAAGGTGGGCTCTAGACCTAGGTAGAAGTAGTGGGAACGGCAGCAGAGGTAGGCGATGTGGGCTCGGCGGTAGACTCGGCAGTATTGGTAGACGAAGCGGAAGAGGTAGGTGCAGATTTAGTATAGGTAGACAATGCGGACTCAGACAATGCGGCCTTGGAGGAAGATATAAACGACGAAGAGGGCCCTAGAGGTGTGTTAATTTCCGTCTATACGGGCCGAGTAGGGAAGATATCCATAGGGAAGATATCTAACCTTATACCGGCCGAGAAAAATCATTTCCTAGTTGTCGGGGCACGAGACCTGCTATAACATTTCTCCCGATCAGGAACAATACTAGAGATATCATGAAACGCTCCCAAGCTTAAATACTGCTAGTTGGTATAGCGAAATCAGCAAAGGATCTCGATCATCTCATGGATGCCTTGATGCCTCCTTCGCGCCACGAATACGGTACCCGAGCTATAAGTAACTATTTTAGGATAAAGGAAGACTGGGGTATTCTTTAGAAAGGGTTCACGGAACCGCTAGTGTGAAAGGCTTGGCATAAAAACGGTCGGAACGATTTATGGTAAGTGATCCCAGCCTTGAAAAGTCAGGTGAATTTGCACGTGCCAGGCACGTGATAAATCCCCCTCTCCCTTTGAAATAATTCTAGTCCCCCTATTGTGCTTGATGGGTAACTCGAGAGCTGACAGCAAAAGGAGGCAAAAATATGAGAAAGTCGTCAGGTAGCTTATAAAGATGGACGTCGACGTGATCACACCGGTTGAGCTTCAAGCTCCGTCTGCCTTGAACCTTGAGGGCTGGAACTGCTTCGAACCGATAGTATATAAGTTATGGCATTTGAGAACAGCCTCTAGCAGATCTACACTGAATCCAAGCTAGGCCACGAGTTTAGAGAGACCCTTGGTTCCTTTATCAAAGATTTTAAGTCCGCAAAGGTCCACTCTCTAGCAGAGATTATGTATTTCAACCTCGAATATCCTAAGCTGTGTATAGTCTGTGATTCTATCCTGCGGCTTTATCCTCTCGCTGGGATATCCCCAGCCACCTATATTACCTAATTAAGACGACCTGATAGTAGTAGCGGGATTCAATAACGGGGTCTTGAAAGAGTCAGTTCAAGCAGCGAGGGAACACCTCCAGCACGGGGACGGATTGGAGAGACTATTCGAGGAGCATGAATGCGATGTCATATGCACTCCTGGTGATAGTGCCCTCTTCCCTCGTAGTTGCAGCCGGTGAGTTTTAAAGCCTTTTGAAGCTGTCCAATATAAAGTTTCAGACTTACCACCATTCAGGCTGGCCCACTGCCGTCGCGCCCCTCGGCGCTCTGAAGCTGAACGGCCAACGTTTCGGTTTCGTCCTCACCTCTCCACCCCAGACCGAACATCTCCTTCTCCACTTCTTGATAGCATACGAAGCCACCTTTCCTTCTCGCGCACAACCACTTCCTTTGCATACTGGTAAGTAAATCCGCGCTTCAAGAAAGCTTCATAAGTGTGGTTCAGTTAACTGACTGATTGACTTCAGTTCCCCTCATGTCTCCCGATGAGGAAATGCTCCCAGATAAACCCATGGTCGACATGATATCGCACGAATGGCACACGCGCCGCTTCAGCTGCTTCGCGGATGCGCTGGCAGATTGGTTGAATGCTCGTTGGCGGAAGTACGAAAATCCCCCTCTTGTGTCTCGAAAATGCTCTCCTAGCGCACTTTTATAGGTCGGGGTACGAGTTGAGTCCCGAGACAGTCTGCACGTGTTACGAGCCATGGTAAGATTGCGTTTACGGGACTAGGCGATGATGCTGAGGGTGCATTTGAGCGGTGACGTTCATGGGAATGAACTGAAATGCGCAGAATCTTGATGAAGACGTACAATTGTCGTGTGCTTCCCAAGGGTGCATTTGATCAATCTTCTCAAAAACCCACCACAAACAACCATTGATTATGGCATACGGCCCTATTCTACTCCCTCCCCTCTCCACATCTCAATTACTACAATACGTCTCATTAGGCCACGAGCACTGCCAATACCCCGCACAATACGGCAACTCCTCCCTCTCCTCCTCCCTCTCCGGCCCCGCATCGTTTAGCAACAACGCCGCAACCCCATGCGCCGGCAGCTCCAACGTCAGATTCCACAGCACCGTCCCCGTGTGCTTATGGCTCCACATGTCATACACACTATACACCCGCCCCGCCCGGATATCCCAGCTCTCGGTTAGGTTGAAGAACATCGTCGCCGGCACGTCCTCGGTATTCATGATCATGAAGACGGTGCCGTAGCTGCTTGGCCCACTCTAGTATTGCGCAGGGTGGGTTGAGTTGGAGACGTAGTCCGGCCCGATCCCCCACCGAAATGGCGATATAATCTCGCCAACATTGGGATCCTGGTTGATCTTAATCAAGTCCCTGTTCCCTAGGATCTCGACCGTTTGGCGTTTATGAGGTCGGTGCCGATGATCAAGGGGGACTTGAGTAGCGCCCAGGCCGTGAAGTGCGATTTCGCTTCTTTGTACGTCAGGCTGCCAATAGGGTTGCCTTGGCCCGTGTTCCCGACTTCCAGCATGTCGAGGTCGTTGTGGCCGTAGAAACCCGAAGCCCAGTATTAGAAGCTAGTAAGGTCGACGATAGCCGCGAGAGCAGCCCACCAGGGCTTGATGTCGCCGTTTATACGCCAGGATTGGCCGACTCTCTTGCTCCTGATCCAGGGTTGTTGCCAGCCTGTAGTGGTGGTGAGATTAATGGACGCTTACAGAAAGGTTTTGGGGACTGGAGCTTGGGGTTCGAGAACGATACGTACCCACTCGCAGAGACCGAGCCAAAACGGCGCGCTATGCGTCTTGACCGCACGATCCGCAATCGCGTCAGCCATGCGTTGGTACCGCTATTTCACGTTCTGCTGCGTCATGTTGTCGAAGGGTATGTAGCAGTTGTCGTACTTGACATAACCAAAACCCCATTCAGCCCATGTTGCTAGATCCTGTCCTTCGTGGCCATATGCTCCAGGATATCCAGCACATATTTGGTAACAAGACTGAATACGCAGCTCCGTTGATCCCGAGCTTGTTCAGTTGCTCGTTAAATGATTTGATGCCATCAGCGAAGTTGTCGGGGTCTTGGTAGTGTCAGAGGGTTGAGAAAGTTGAAGTTGGGGGTAATGCCTTCTACGAGTTTCCCGTTTTTGCTTCGGTTCTTGAGCGTGAAGCAGTCGTCTAGGATTATGTGCTTATACCCGGCATCTACGAGACCGTGCTTCTTCATCGCTTTTCAGCATCGTAGTCGCAAGCGAAGGCGTTCCAGGCTGTGAAACTGTTAAGACATGTTCTTTCAGATTTTAGGTGGACTCCTACTATCATAGCCTAGAAATAGAAGCTTGCCAACGCCATTGTTGAGAGCCGTCACCGAACCTGCTAATGCGGCAAGAATTGAGTACATGGCAGCAGTTTCACCTGAAGCTTGAACCGCTGACAGCTTGACAAATGGGGGAGCTGGAAAAATATAGGAAGCTCATTCTCCTTTGTAATTGACTAACCACAAACCCAGTCGGCCAGCAAAGCCGTAATAGTGGACAAAACATATGAAAATCCATCTCGCCTTGCAATTGACGAATAGCAATGCTTGTTTGAAGATCAAGGGTGGAGTTGAAAGACGTCACGGTCTCTTCCAAGGTTGCGTACAACCTCCGTGTCATTCTTGGTTAGCTATCCTATCCCACCCATGCGATCAGGGTACAAACGCGGAGGCGGTTCTAAGCGACTCGGAATCAGGCGTAGCACGCGGAAAACGATCGCCTGTTGAGCCTGGTACTTCGACGTCTTTGACGGTTGATCCTGGGATTTGGGGCGTGGCCCTGACATAGAATGCAAGATGGGTGACAAGCTCAGCATCAAGCCCGGGGAATGGACCAATTGAAGAGGGAGTATATATGAATTCTAGCCGGCGTGTTTAGCCGGCCAGTACTATGCGTTCGCGATCCTGTTCCTCCAGACGAGATACATTATGACCAGGAGATTAGATACAGAAGAGAGCGCGGAAAGGGGATTCGCGAGTATCTGGAGACGACTCTGATGGTGCTGTGGGCACGTGGACGAGGCCCCTGATTCCGGCATGGTTGAGCCTGGCTGTGGTGAGACGCAGATGTAGCAGAAGCGACTCAACTGGTGATGGTCCTCGAAACTCGATCTTCTTACAAGCTGTGTAAGTGAAGGAGGAGATATCCAGTCTAGCATATCGAGTTGCGGTCTGATTAGAATGCTTACCTGGCTCACACTTACCAATCCTTCGTGCGGCCGATGGCGCAGATAGCCCAGAAGATCGCGTGCTTCGCTGGGAGTATATAAGGCCGTTAGACTCCCCAGACGCGCTATGCCTATCGTTGAGCTTTCTGTCGCGCGTGATGCATCACCTGCGAGGGTCCGTCGATGGCATTACGAAGTGCTGTTGTTGTTGAATGCTGACCACAGCATCTCCCCCACAGAACTCGTACTTGGCCAAATCATCCCGGAGGCAGCCCTGAACGCGTAACAAATGCGATCTCTCTAGCTAGCTTCGCAATGAGGCCCGCAACCACAACCACCAGGCGAGAACAACAGCCATGACCCTCGGGATGGCTGATGGAGTTCCCCAATCCCGCCGTTTCCGATCTATGGCGTACGAAGTAGCGTGTATCGAACCGCGAGCACAGACGACAGACGACGTCTCCCGTCTCAGTTCGTCCGAGACTAGGAGCACGTTGTCTGGAAGCTTCTTTGGAATCTCAGTTTTCTTAAAAGCTGTAGCACTCCGCCAATCCTCCAACTAACCATCACAAAATTGCGTTTCCTTAAATCACAAGCCCAGCAGTCTCTGTCACACAAATACCTCAAAAATGGCCACCATCGAAGTCCCTAGAGAGTACGGGTACGTCAACCTCCTCAACCCAGTTCTAAATCCCTCAAAAATTAACATGCAAACCGCAGCTACGTCGTCCTCACAGCCATCTCCACCGTCTTCCTCGGCGTCTGGCACGGCCTCCGCGTCGGCACCTACCGCAAAGCCGCCTCGATCCCCTACCCCTACGAGTACGCCTCGTACGAGCAAGTCTCCACCGCGCCCCCGGCCAAGCAGCACGCCATGTACCTCTTCAACTGCGCCCAGCGCGCCCACCAGAACTACAACGAGAACCACCCGTCCGCGCTCGCCATGATCTTGATCGCGGGGATCAGGTACCCGCTGTCGACGACCGCGTTGGGGGTGATCTGGGCGGTCAACAGGACGATTTATGCGGTGGGGTATACGAACGCGGAAGAGCAAGGGGCACGCAAGGGCGGGAAGGGGCGGTATCGTGGAGTCGGGTGGTATGTGGGGCATATTGGGCTTGCGGGGTTGTGTATCAAGACGGGAATTGATATGGTGTTGTCATGAGTATGGGAGGGTTGTGGTATATGGGGTGGTTGGAAAGAGCTGTAGGTATAGTGCTGTAAGGAACTCATATATTGTTGCATTTATCTTCCAACTCGACTCTCCATTATTTTCTCTCAAATGAATACATGCGCCGAATCTTGGTACTAAAGATGTCCAGATCTGTGCCCTTATATGGCGCCAGGGCTTTAATGTTGGTCGAGTTTCATTGCCGCGTGGAAGGGCATGTAATTGAAATGCACATAAGGATTAGATGGCCAGCAGACCGTACTTCAAGCATGGCCCCAAAAATCTTAAAAGTAATCCTAAGAGTGGTTCAAACCACTCTTTAGTGCCTCGCCATATATATCCGTACACTTCCCTACCATTTTCTAAGGGCCTCCAACGTACTAATAGAAACTCGGGGCAGCGGATACACTTTTAATTTGCGTACGCCCTGTTAACGCTGAACATTCTGAACCATGAAGCCATGATCAACAATGCGAATGCCTGGGTCAGTGCGAATTAAGGTCGTGGACTGTATTCGAATATAGTTGCGCAGTGTATCTGTTAATGGAGTCAAGATAGTGGAAAGAGCGGTTCTTTTGCAAGTCTTGCCTTATATGTTCGCAATGCGCTTCTAACGTAGGACCACGATGTAGCAGAAAAATGTACTCGTCTTCAAGAGGCTCAACCCCTTCCGGACGATGATAGCGCGCTATAGCCAGAATCAGATGTCTGGGGTGGCCTGTCTACTTGTCCAAAATGCAGTACTTCTCTTTTTTTGCAATGCTGAAAATACTACGAAGCTCATGCAGCGGTAGACGTGTGTACGGATTTCTATAACCAGGCATTATAAAGACACCGTCAATGACCAGATGAGCTCGAGCGCACAGCTATAGTCTTCGGAGAAACATTAGAAAGCCCCTTCCATTTTCACAGGAGTTGAGAACCGCTAATTAGTTTCATTTCTATAGCAGCTAAAGCTTGAAACAACACTGCCCCGGAGTGCTTCAACTGGATGAGCCTAGATTCGAGACACACCCTTCGTTCAACCTCTCTGCCCGTAATTCCACAGCCGCACTACTTCCACGGAAATAGTACCGGCAGACTGATTGATGTTCGTACGAGCTTGTCCCTCCAATGAACAGCATCGACCCGAGTCCCTGATACCCGATACGACCTCGTTCGTGGATCCAATAGCCAAGTCCCTCATAAAACCCAACCGCCGGTTGTTGGATTTCCAGACATCGCACCACCTCATAGCCAATCTCGCCTCTCCATCCCCTCTATCCCCTCCGTATCAGACAGGAGTAATCATACATCACTCCCTTTCCTTTCCCCCATCTCCCCAATCCCATCTCCTCCCTAATCATCAAACAACCCACACCACCCACACTTCTCTCCACCACACCCCAAATTACTGCAAACCCCCTGCTCCCACACTGTCTGCGCCCCGCATTTACAGCACTGCCACCGCTTCCACGCCGTAACGAGAATGCCGCCCCTGACTAGCTGCCCGTGGGCATGTGGTCTCGGAAACCGCACCACAGTCGGAGACTCAGAGCGGGTGGCGAGCGACGTACAGGGCGCAGCACGGAGCGAGCCGCTACTCGATTGGGAGGGCGACGTCGTCAGCGTCTGCGCGAGGGTTGGAGCCGGCGACGCCGCAACAGGCGAGAGGTCGTGCGCATACTGATTATGTAGTGGACTAGCGGCATTGGAGAAGAGCGGCGGTGGAGCGAGCAGCGCGTTGTCGATGGCCGTTTGATTGAGCGTGGCCCAATCCGTCGTCCCCGCCGCGGCATCCGTGCTCTCGAGGAACTTGCTGACAGGTGACTTGCTTGCGGAGGACTTGCTCGGTGGTGTCGTCGGGCTGCTGGTGGATTTAGAGGAGGCGCGCGGTAGGTCCAGCGATTTTCGTCTCGATGACGCGTCGGTCTTCTCCTTGTCCTTTCCTCGTGAGCGCGGGCGCGCGTCGCTGGTTGGTGGCTGTAGCATGGAGGGTGAGGATTCGGGCTTGCCGCGAGAAGGCGGGCGGAGGGCGTCGGAGAGGGCGTCTGAGAGGGAGAATCGGTATTTCTCTTTCTCTTTCGTTGGGGTGTCGGTCGGTGTCGTGGTCGCGGTCGTGCTGGCGGGGGACGAGCTGCGGCTTCGAGATTTCTTGGGGGTGTTTTTGTCTGGGCTGTCGGAGCTCGACGACGAGGAGAAGGGGTTCAGGGCTTTCCTGAGCTTGGCCATCGTGGCGGTTGCGAGAGGGTGGCTGTGTTTGAGGCAGAAGGTGTGGTGTAGTGTGGGTGTGATAAGAGAGGACAGGAGAGAGCGGAGTTGTGGAAGAATGGCGAAAGTCATAGGCAACGGGAGCTGAGGAAGAAGTTTACCGAAATTTTACGGTTCTAAAGATTTCTATTCAGATATTCACCTTCACCTCCGAGTTCACGGATCATCAGAATTCCCGCCAAGTTTAATGTGACAACGCAGAACCTCCGGAAAGAGGTTCGCGGGATTCGGGGTCAGTATCTATCTACAGTACATGGACAAAAGTCTCTGCACTCCGCCGCTTTATGAAGGACTCAGAAATGATGTATTATCCTAGACGGCGCGAATTGGAGCGAGGTCAAAGGGTCTCAGTCACCCTATCTTGCCGTTGCCTGGGTGGCTCCGCATATCAGAAGAAATCTAGAAGAGTTTTCAAGAAAAAGTGTCCAGACTGGTGTCCTAGTATTCTAGAATGTAGTGAAGCTACCTTATTGATATACCCGTACGCTCGCGAGGATGAAAGAAGCGAAAGGCATACTGACAAAGAGCCTTTTCCAAGCGCACTGAAGCGCTAGTAGCCAAACGCCAGAGCTCCACGCCAGCGACTAGAATATACAGAAATACTACCTCACCGACTTCTCGTAAACTTCCCTCGCTTCATTTCCTGCTTTAAGCTTTCTTGTTGGCTAGGTAGAGGACCTCTCCGCCGAACACTCGCAGCACCGCCTCTGTTGCTTTCACCATTACCATTCTCAGGAGTGCCCTGCTGAGGGGGAAACGGGAGCATGGGCAGCCCTTGCGCTGCGTTGGGTAGAGGCGGTGGTACGAAGCCAGGTGGTGGTTGGAACCCAGGAGGTGGTTGAAAGCCAGGAGGAGGGTGAAAGCCAGGCGGAGGTTGGAAACCAGGCGGCGGCTGGAAACCAGGGGGAAGCATCCCAGGAGGTAACATCCCAGGAGGGGGTGGAGGAGGTAAGAACCCGGGCGGCACCTGGAATTGCCCCGGCGGTGCATTAGCAAGCATTTCAGCGAATTTGGCAAGATCTGGCATCTTGCTGGGATCCATTCCTGGGATATTGGGAAGGCCAGCAGAGAGAGGAGGGAAAGATGGAGGTAGCTGTGGCGCGCCGCCGATTCCTGGTAGATTTTGCGCACCCCCTACGCTTGTGCCGTCCGCAGATAGACCTGGGAGGCCAGACATGACGGGCTGTTTTGGTGGCATCTTTTGGTCTACGAGACCTTCAGCCTCATCCTCTGCTTCCTGCTCTTCCTCCTCGCGCAGCTGTCTGTGCCTGTCCCTCCTATCGTATGTGCCCTGTGCTTCCGCTTCCTTCTGTCCGATATGATAACGGTCATTAAAACACGCGCTGTCTCCGGGGCGAGGTCGTGTCCAGAACCGAGTCACGCGGTCGTTGGAACCAGATGCTAAGAGATGACCGAGCGGATGCCAATCCATGGCCCAAATGGTGAAGTCGTGTGCGTACTGTATGCTATGCGCTGGATATATGGTTTGCGCGGGTGCATTTGAAGGATCATTACTGTCGTATGGCGACAAGGTAGTTGCGACTCCGGGAGGAGGATTCTGTTCGTCCAAGAGGTAGTGGTTGAGGCTGCCATCGACACCGCCGGTCGACAACAGGTTTTTGTGGATTGGGTGCCATACCAAGGTGATGATGTCCTTTTCATGGCCCCGTAGAAGTAGTACGTCACGCATCATACGTAAATCAAAGATCCGCGCCGTGTGATCTCTAGCACACGTAGCCAGGAGGTCTCCCTGGTTGGGTTCAAAAGATGTCTTCGAGATTGTGTTCTTATGTCCATGAAGTGTGGTCAGACACCGCCCAGTCCGAGGATCCCACAGCTTGACTTGGTGGTCCTTTGAGCCCGACACGAGCAGTCCTTTCGTAGGATGCCAATCCACAGTCTTGGCCTCCCAACCGTGCCCAGTCAAAGTGGACTCTTCCGTACCTCCTGCAAAGTCGAAGATCTTCAGACTAGCATCGTCGGAACATGTAACAAATTTCGAGTCTGTAGGAGCGAATGCTAGGCCACGAATTGGCTCGCTATGTGCTTGTATCGCTTTGACGTTGTTGAAGTTGGGCTGCCAGTATTTTACGATACCATCTTGATCCGCTGATACTAGCCAGTCGTCACTGTGGGAGTACACCGCAGCTCTTATTGCCGCGTCATGCGCCTATCGTATATCAGCAATGCGTCTTCGCCTTCACATCCTTTGTTCCTGACCTGCATGATGGTCTCGAAGTTGAAACCCATTCCATTCCATAGTGTGAACTCGCCACTTGTAGAGCCTGTCAAAAGGCGCCGACCTTCTGGAGTCCATCGCACGACGTTTATTGGGTGCTTCACTTTGTTCAAGGAGGAATGGAGGGCTTTGGCGGGTATTGATTCGGCGGCATTCGAAAGTCTACCAAGGGGTGGGAGCATCTAGTGCACATCAGTACAGTGCTCGGGTGCCTTTCTGCGACGGCATACATCCACAATGTAGCTTGCACTGGGCCTCTCCATCTCTAGGGTTGAGCTGCCTTTGTACCGCGGGCGTCGATTGCGCATCCATTGCACCATGGTGGATCCATAGTCTGTGACAGGGCCTAGACGACGATAAGTTAGCTGTGACTTGACGGTTTTCAGTGCATCCACGACCTTTCCAGCTTCGTTCGCGTTTACTCAGTATTCCAAGTCCCGTCGGCTGGGTGACCATGTCGCGGGCTCAGTCGCAGGAGGTAGTGTTGATAGAGAGTAAAGACGTGACAAAGATGGAGGTTGAAGACATTGAGAAGTTGGAAGATACGTACGCTTTGGCCTTGTGCGCATGCCGTCGAAGGGCTGTGAATTAAAGTCGCGGTCCATTGTGGTGAACGGGCTGTCGCGCGGCCGCCCGAGTCACTGGCGGAGGGGCTTTTGCCTCAACCTCGATCAGACAGGACCAGTGTCGCAAGAGTGCTCAATCGTCTAGAGCATCCGGAGTCGGCAGGGCAATGGAGACGGGGGTCGTTCAGCTGCATGCGGGTGAAGCTGTTCGGAGCGCGACGAGATGGAATGCATCACCAGCCACTTGCGCCACACTTTTCTTCAACGGCCGGGCTGCACGCTGCACCTCACCCCCCGCTGCATGACGCTTTGGGGGCAGCTCCCAGATATCGCCCAACAACTGCCCGGAATGCCCAGCCTCCAGGCGCTGTCATGCCAATATCACCGTCCGGAAGCCGTCGATTGACCTGAGTGTGCCTTTCTATTTTCGCTACTCTCCATTCCTCCCCATTCCTCCCCTCCATCCAGCTCCGCGCGCCACCCTATTCATAAAGAAGCTCCATATTCTGCCCCGCCATCACCAATTGGCCCTGCAGCTCCATTACTCTCCCTTGCAGCCGTTACCATGGCCTCTCGCACGGATACCGCGACTACTACCAGCGCCGACGTATCCAATGGCTTGGAATCGAGATACAGCGATGGCACACGCCTGTCCACAGCCAATGGCACCAGTCCCTCCATATCCAGCGGCAAGCAGAAGAGGTGGGAGAGCAAATACAGACACGTCTTTGCGACCCATTCGGCCCAGAGGTCTTCATGCCTCAGCAGCGACAGCGGAGAGTCTCCCAGCTTCGTGGGTTTCCGCAATTTGATGGTCATTGTTTTAGGTGCGCATCCCCCGCAGACCTGGTGATAGCGTCCCATTTATATAGATCGCAGTCGTCTCAAACCTCCGATTGATGATTGAGAACTTCAGAAAGGTACCATCATTCCAAGTCCATTGCGAAGCCTATCTAACGAGTCCAGTACGGTGTTTTAATATGTATACGATGCCACGACTACCGCCGACAAGATGTCATCTACGGCTCCATCCTCTATCTCCTCGTCCCCTGCCACCTCCTGGTCGCGTACATCATAGAACTGGCTGCGTCCCAGCAGGCTAAGCGTGGCGTGGCCCGGATGGAGAAGGTCAAGGAGCAGCCAAATCCACAAGAACACCAGCAAGAGCTACGGCGGAGCTTCCTGGCCACATGGAGGTTGATTGCGACAGCACACGGCGTCAATGCGACCTTAAACCTGTGTATCGCAACCTGGGTTGTCTACTACCACATCCACCACCCTGGAATCGGCACTCTTTGCGAGCTACATGCTGTCATTGTCTGGCTGAAGGTCTGCTCGTATGCATTCACCAATCGAGACCTCCGGCGTGCCTATCTGTCACCAAAAGAGTCTGATCCTCTCCCTGAGATCTACAAAACATGTCCATATCCTCTGAACATCAATTGGAGGAATCTCTGCTACTTCTGGTGGGCTCCAACACTGGTGTATCAGCCAGTCTATCCTCGTACACCAAGCATCCGCTGGCCCTTCGTCTTCAAGCGACTAACAGAGACCGCTGGTCTTAGCATCGTCATCTGGATAGCATCGGCCCAGTATGCAGCACCTTTGCTTCAGAACTCTCTCGAAAAGATATCTACCCTCGATCTAGTCTCGATCTTGGAGCGAGTGATGAAGCTCTCAACAATATCCCTTTTCTGCTGGCTGTGTGGATTCTTTGCGCTATTCCAATCCTTCCTAAATGCCTTAGCGGAAGTAATGCGGTTTGCGGACCGCGAGTTCTACGCCGACTGGTGGAACGTATACAGTATCCGGACGTACTGGACTACATGGAACAAGCCAGTATCTCATTTCATGAAGCGACACATCTACTCGCCCCTCATCGGGCGAGGAGTGCCACCTCAAGTAGCTCAGATCATCGTCTTCATTCTTTCAGCAGCTTTGCATGAGCTACTGGTGGGTGTGCCTACGCACAACATCATAGGTGAGTACCATCAATGCTATCAAGCCTCCCAAGAGACTAATGACTACGCAGGTGTTGCTTTCGCGGGCATGATGCTACAAATCCCACTCATCTTCCTGACCGACCGAATTCAGAAAATTAAAGGTGTCAGCGGTAAAGTCGCCGGCAACGTCATCTTTTGGATCAGCTTCTGCCTAGTCGGCCAGCCTTTGGCTGCCTTGCTGTACTTCTTCGCTTGGCAAGCAAAATACGGGAGTGTCTCGAAACAGACTACCCAGTTCAGCTTCTTTCATCGGCGCTAACAGGGTAATGTAGGCATATGTACAGAGCCCGGAGGCTTCTGAATCACAAACATATTGGGCGGCGTCGATATCACTGGTTGATCAGGCGAGATCTGTAGGATTAGCCTTAATATACTTTCACTTTTGTGTTTCTCCCAGGCTCCACATTATGTGTCCTTTTGACATTCCCCTTTTTCTCAGTGAAAGATATAATATCTTTAGTTCCCTCTCCGTTTTGCATAACAACCTACAAGCTCCCTTCATACTGCAAGATTTGTACGCTATGCAGCTATACGCTCCGATCGGCATCTAGCTAGCATCCTATCCCTCCAAGGATTCTAATCCATGCTACGCATTAGTAATCACAGCCACGTTATCTATGCTCGCTCCGAAGGCTTTACATTTATTCCATCAATCACTCACTCTCTATCATAAAATCATAAGCTATATCGAACATGACAACCTCCACTCCTAGCCCCCGCAAATACTACTTCCTAAAAACGCGCTCCCTCCCCGGCGCCCACAAGTACGACAATTTCTACCTCCGCCTCCACGGCGACGGTGTCGAGGATATAGTTCTCACACCCGGTCGCCCTATCTATCTGCGCGCGTTTGATGAGCCAGCTCCTGCCGCCACTATTCCTTCCACTGAAGCCGGGGTTGGAACAAGTATTAAGTTCATCTCCACCAAAAGCGGCGATAGGCAATGGAGTTTGGCATTAGGTCAGCCGAGGGATTTTGTGGGATGGGAGCCTGTGCGAATTGTGGCCGCTGCTGAAGATGAAGAAGCAGAAGCGGGGGCACGCTGGGTTAGGAAAAGCGATCTCGCGGCGGGTGGGTTAAGGGAGGAGTTTGAGGCGCTGGAGTGGGATGCTGGAAGCTCTGAAGAGAACGGCAAGGGGGAGTGGAAGGGATGGATGGTTTGTGAGTGGGTACATGGACATCCGCAGCTCTTTTGGGTTACTGGGATGTCGGACTCGAGGGGGAAGGAGCTGAAGATGCCGACGTTTTGTGAGAGGGTTGAATTGGTGAAGGAGGCGGTGGGGGAGTCAGTGGATGTGGTGAGTGTTCCTGAAGTTCTTTGCCGTTAGGGTTTTACTAATCGACTAGCAGAGTGCGTGAGTATTTTCTGGAGGCCTCCGGGTCGCTGCTTAATGACCGTCTTTGTCGATTCTTTTTTCTCGGAATAGGTCTTTCTCAACCAAGAAAACATTGCACGAAAGGGAATAATAGCCTTGCGCAACGCTGTTTCCAGTGCCATCTTTGACAATGAGACACGACTTTGGTGTTTACGATTTTTACGAACAATTTCATCCGGCGCTTATATTTGGGTTCAGTCAAGCTTATAGATGAGAGGCTGTTGGGTTCGCGTTCCACCGACTGCAAGCTCTTGCAACTTCGCCGTACGTCTAGGGCCACACCTCATATCTGCAAAGTAATCGTTAACAGTCAGGAGTAAGTATAACTTTCTATCTACACAGTGCGGTCAATGTTTAGTGATACGGTATACACAAGACAAGTTGTTCATACACAAAACATCGCATTATACGGCATCAATGCCGACTGCACAATGCAAAAGCTTCTATGTAACTTACCCCAAGCCCAAATCGAGAAAAGCAAGAGCTCCTTTCTGAATTCGTTCTGATCATCTTCTTCGAAATCACTCCAGCAGAAAGCAGCCCCATCATCGCAAACCAAAACCAAGAAGACCGGCCTACTTATGCAATCATGGATTCGCTCAAAGACCTCGCAAGTTTCATGAACGCACAAAATGCAGCCAAGGCCATACAAATGGGCCAAATAGCTGGTTTCATAAGCGACACCTCCTACGACGATGGGCTCAATGCCAAAAAAATCATTGGTGAGGGCGGCTTCCTGTCGCCCCTCCAGAAGCGCATCGAGGCACGGACGGGGATAACAGTCCCTATAGTCCTAACAGTCCTCGCTGTTTACAATTCAGGAAAGCTTGGAGAGCTTGCTTCTGGGGCATTCGTGTCTTCCGAAGGTTTGGTACTTCATCTGTCTGGATAGATGTGCGTCACCCATTTGCAAAAGCGGTGGATAAATGGCTTATTAGCAATTGTGCCGGTAAGCCAACCCAGCATCTGGACGCTGAATACGGTGGTCAGGATGACGAGCAACGCGATTCTGTAGACTCCAAACTGGCTGTTTCCCGCAAATTAGGACTGGAGTGGTTCTGGTACAACGGCCGCTTCTTCATGTATGAGCATGGAAAGCAAAAGCGAAACGAGCACAACGGATACGGAGACAACGAGACTTTGACTCTCGTATGTTTGGGCCGTAGCACGACGCCGTTGACCAAGTTTCTGACTTTTTGTCAGAGCATGGCGAGCTCCGGGGTGAAGACCACCAAGGTGTTCACGTGGGACGAGAATAGGCGGAGGCCAAAGGCGATGGAAAAGCCGAGTCGCCCATTGGAGACGATTGACTAGATCCGGTTCACTACCTCGATATCCTGACCGACGCGGAAGCATATTTCGACAAGGAAACGCGAGCGTGGTACTTCGAAAATGGAACACCATACCGCCGGGGTTACCTTCTATACGGACCTCCTGGTACGGGAAAAACTTCGCTATCTCTTGCCTTAGCAGGGCGTTTTGATCTTGGCCTGTACGCGATCAACGCCAACGAAGCAGGTCTTGATGATGCTAAGCTTATCGACCGATTCAATCAGCTGCCAGATAGATGCGTAGTCCTCTTGGAGGACATAGATGCCGCTGGTATCATCATGGATCGCCATAATGCGTACGAGCCATTCAATGGGGATACAGAAGCAGATCAAGATAACGAGCCGTATTCCACTTCAGATCAATCCAACTGCTGCGAGGACGAGTGGGGTCAGTCAGAGACCAGGCCCCCGCCTGTATTAGGCTCGAGGAACTCTAAACTCCAACAGACTTCCCCGGGCGTAAGCCTCAGTGGTCTTTTAAATGGCATTGATGGTCCCACTTGGAGGGAAGGTCGTCTTCTTATTATGACAACTAACGCACCGAGAAGTCTTGACCCAGCTCTCTACCGCGCCGGTAGAGTTGACAAGAAGATTTACCTGGGCTACTCGACGAAGCGGACCGGTGCGATCACCTTTCGCCGCATATTTGCCAAGGATCCGCGCAATAAATACAGTATGGAGCGGATAATAGAGTTTTCGAGACAATTCGGAGCTAAGGTGCCGCTCGACACGTTCACCCCGGCAGAACTACAGAACTGCTGCATGGAGCATCGCGGGAAGCCTCAAGGGGCGATATCCGCATTCGATACCTACATCTCCCGGCGATTGAACGGGGAGGATAGGTTTGAATATGACATCGGTGACTGCGGTCGAAATGGCGGTGACGAGGGCCTCTCCGAAGATGAGGCTCTCGAAGATTTGCGGACGCTCGATTTTGCCTACCTGACGAAGGAAGGGATCGCAAAGTTTTGAGCGCAAAGTGGGGAAGATGCTTTTTCCGCAGACGGATCTTTTCAAGCAGCACTCGGGCTTGATGAAGAGGAGGTCTACGAGGCTGAACAACGCTTCGGAGACCACATCATCCGGACGACGTTCAGTGGACCTGCCGATGGGTCCACTGTCAGCTCCGATGAAAAATCGAAAGGCTGGACCCTCAGCGGCCTTCTCTCTCACCTCGAATATGATCCTGAGGAGGTATACGGGCTGGAGAAACAGGCCAGCGAAGATACGGACAGTGCGAGTAGCAAGGAAGAAGACAGTGAAGTTGTTCCCTTCTTCGCATATCTCAAGGACAAAATCTTATCTAACCTCACCCGTAGAAGTTCGCCCTCCGCCAGGTATCGGCCTAGACCGTGGCCTACCGTTGAGTTGCCCGGTGCCGAAGGCCCGCGTACTCGGGAAGAACTCGACCGTCTCGTCACGCCTCTCATGGTATCAAATCAAGATCGACAAGTCGTAGATCCGATGCCGGTGGTTGAAGAGGATGAACCCGAGCGCCTCATCACGCCTCTCATCGCATCAAACAAAGATTCACAAGTCTTAGATCCGATGCCAATGGTTGAAGAGGATGAATCCGAGCGCCCCATCGCGCCTGTCATTGCATCACATCAAGATCTACAAGTCGTAGATCCTATCCCGATGGCTGACGAGGATGAGCTCCAGCCCTAAATTGTCGACATGCTTCTCGTACCTTTTCCTAATTTTCTTCCTTAATAGACTCGCTGATTGAGCGACTAAGTAGTCGCTGAACTCAACACACAAAATTTCTTTCATAAGACGAATCATCTGCTGGAAGTGGCGCTACGTGATGTATGAAATGACTAGTGACCATTATGAACATACCCCTGAGGTGCCATTGTCTTTCATCATCTTAATGTTTTGACTTGAAGATTATGGCCGTGTCCGACCCTCCGTATTTGATGCTCAGTGACGTCGAGGGGAGCGCGAAGGACGTTGCTGAAATCATCACAAGTTCGAAGGCTTCTAATTTTGAAGTTCATATCCGATCTATGCCTCGTTATGGATAATGGCCTTGATCATTTAATGCTTTAACTGATATAGTTTGTTCTAGATGTTTACATCTATCTCTAGGGACTAAGATCTCCCGTAAGATCTTAGGTGTCTACTACTGGGCACTCAGTAGTACGTTACACGAAAGAATTGCCGGGATCTGCAGACTGCAGATTTCCCTAATGGATCGTTCCCCTTGCAAAAGCTCACTTAAAAGCCTGCACGTGATATGAGACTCAGTTGGGCATAGGAGCCTCTCGGGTATCAGTCCGTGTGACATATCCAATGAGGGCGAAGGTGGAGAATAATGGTAATATTGAGATTCAATTTTTTTCGTGACCGAAGCAGTTTCGGAGCTGTCTTTCTTTTGATCTCTAGAATCCGCCTCTTGCGAGTCTTTTGACGACTCTTCGTCTTGAAAGGTTGTGCAGCCAATCCCAGCGGAGTCTATATCCCCTAGGAGAGCCACGCATCGCTCAGGCAGATGTCCAAACCTAGTGAGTAGCCCATAGTCATCTAACGCGTATGCGAATCATCTTGACAAGATGCCGCCTAACGCAGCCATCGCTAGTAACAGTTGGAACTTGGAGGTTATTTGGCATCGTGATCATGATCTTTCAGGCACTCGACCTTCTTGTAGTCCTGGCTTGGGTTCCATCGTCCAGGAAGGGTTGGGTAGACCTTGTTTCAAAAAGGACTTTAGTGACCGGAAGAAGGATGAGCCTTTCAACCCACTTTGAGCAAGTTCTCTATGGTATTCATGGCTCTACTTCTTCTTTTATTCCTGGTAGTCCGTAGAGCTTTTGACGGTCCCTCTTTGATGGTCCATTCCGTTCTTGTTAAAGTCGAGCCGCGGAAGCGTTTAGACGATATACTGATGTTTTATTGATGGGTATAACGAACGAATTGTGGGAAGAATACGTACCTGGCTATGTGGTAGGTGAGAGAGGTCACATTTCTCTTTCATTGCCATGTTGAAGAAAATCTCGTGCAACAAACTAGTGGCACCTCAAAACAAAATATCTCCCTAGGGAATTTCATCGCATGTGATCGACAGTTTGAGCTTTGGCTCAAAAATTCACTGCATGAATCTCATTCACGGCAAACTCACCCATATTTCAAATGTACGGAGATGATGGAGAAGGTGAAGAAACCTTGAAATTGAAGAGATACTTCTCAGTATTCGCTGACGTCAATAGTCCAAAAGGAAGTTAGTATCCTGAATCATTAGTCTGAGACCAACGCTTGATCCAGAACAGTGTTCAGACCAAGAAGCTGGCAGTGATGGCAATCACACCAGCTACAGTACTAACGGAGAAGAAAGAAGGACATGATATAGGAATCGGGCCGGTCTCACAGGATACTTGACCAATTTCCGAACAGCCGTAGTCACAGACCAAAACAACTTGAGACATGCATTGACGAAGCTGTTCCATGTCCAACGTGTGTGAGACAAGATTATGTCTTATGGGAGTACCTCCTGGTTGGAGAAGGACTGGACATAGTATCCGGAAAGATAGCGTCGGACCTTGAACTTGAGGTTGGACTTGGAGTGAGGCTCCGCTTTACAGCGCCCCTCTTCGCTATTTGCATGAATTCACGCTCTCTGTCGGTTAGTTTGGTGGAGGTGTCCACTTGGAGGGCCTTCGGGCGTGGCTTCCTAGGAACCTTTCCCAAGATCTTGCGCTTGTCCTCCTTCAAGACTCCGTACAGCCACTGATGATCGGACCTTGTCAACACTGTGATAGGTATTACAACCGTCTCTGGCTTCTTGGTTCGCTTCGATTGATCAGAAGTAGAGCCCTCAAAACAATCATCATCCTGGTCGACCTCGACACAACTCTTTCCAACGACGATCACCTCGCCAAGGCGGACATCTTTCAATTCTCCGATTATCTCATAACCGGATCCCTTCGCCCAAATGCGTTTCGGCGTTCCATAATCTGTGTAGAGAGCAAATAATTGCGCTAAACCTTTCTCGGCTCGCTCCTTGGCCTCCTCGACATCACGGAGTGGACGGAGCACAGTCGCGTCGAGGACGGACAGCACGTCCGCATGAGTGCGGTTGTGCTCGGTCGCGAACTTATCGATGAGTAAGGAGGTCGCAATGGCGGTGGCCAGATCCTGATATTCGCTCCCACGCCAGGGCGTCCAGATGGGTGGCTTCAGTGAGAAAGCCAAAGGGTCCAAGGTTTCCTCTTCCGACTCCGAGATAATTATGGCAGTGCTGGGTGTCGGGGTACACGGCGTTGATGGCGCGTCATTGAATGAAGGCTTGAGAGGCGTTGGAGGTGGCGTAGCGAGCGCAATAGTCTTCGGAGGTTCAGTGAATCCAATACGAGCCGCCTTGACGGCGTGGGTCATCTTGCCAGGGCGGAAACCTGTACTTGAAGAAGCTTCTTGGACATTGTCATCAGCTTTGCGCTTTTGTGGGGCGGATCTCCGGTCCAGTTCTCCGGATGTCTTCGAAACTGTTGGAAAGATGCCTTGTATCTCTGGTGCCAATCCCTTGCTTCGTTCTGCACCCAGCACGCTCGAGATAAATCCTCCGGTTTTTTGCATGGTCATCAGGCTGAGGAGCGTGCGATCCCGTGGCAAGAGAGAGCCTGTTGTCAAGATCTTCGACCGATCGTTCTGTTGAGCTCTAATTTCGTGAGAGCGAAGCTCAGTATCAGAATCGCGGACCATGTGTTTGGATGGGGTCTTGCGCGGCTTGGGCGATGGAGTGTTCTTCGACAGAGGTGCTCTATCGTCTACGGTACTGAGAACTTGAGTCATGATGGAAGGTTGCTCTGCTTCCTTCGCCTCCCTCTTCTCTTCCGCATTCCTCGTATCATTCGCTTTCAGAAGATCTCGAAGGTCGGGGCCTCTGCTAGGGTTCGAAACGTGCATACGTCCATTCTCCGCGAGAGCTTGCAACGCCTGTCCGTCCATTTGATGACAAGCGTCCACTTCGTTCTTAAGAGTCCCTCCAAATTGAGCCGTCAGGGATGGCTCTTCCTCATCATCTCCGCATAGATTGACATACTCGACGTCGTTGCCAAAAACGCTCTTAGTAGAGAACACATTGAAATAGGTCGGTTTTGGAATTGGAGCGCCGCGTGCTGACTGGGTCGATTGCGTAATGTTAGTGTTGATCGTGCTACTGGCCATCGTTTGGGCGCCATGGGCCGATACCTCCTTTGTCGTCGCCTCCTCCATCTCGACTCTCTCCCCAAAGACGTGATGGCGGAGATGGTGTTGAACAAAAGGAGGCGACAAGACAGGTGGAGAAGTGAGGTAGAAATATGGTTGCCTGCCGAGCCCTTCCTGGCGTGAAGGGTGAAGGTGAAGGTGATGGACCACGTGACATATCTCGCCGCATGACGCAACTGCAATAATCGGTGAACATATAGATGCGTTACCTTGCGCAGGCACCGAAGCGCAGATAGCGTGGTAATGAAAGCGTGTGCAAGCATGCTGGAGGCCGAAATACGGGCGATGGTGGTCGACGGTAGCACAATGATATTTCAACAAGATTGGAGCTGTGGCAACGAAATTAGAATGGTGAAGCAATGCAAAAAGAGTTGGTCTGGTCCAAGGACACATTGAGAACTGACTTTCATGTTGACAGATGCTGTAATGCCTCGCCATAGACCATTGCCCTGTCTTTCGCCACTGCGTATGGCGCTTCTATATGGCTTTCGTAGTCTGCGGTAGTCAAACGTGAAAGTCTGCCCACCACTATATGCCGGTATTTGACATGCCATAGCGAGCCTAGTGGCTATTAGAATTGATGTGCTAAAACCTCAATCAAAGTTTTGAGGTTATGTCAGGGTGCTTTGAGAAGTGGAAGGCGGCTGTACATAGGTCTATAGCGAAGTGGTGTATGCCCAGCGCAGTCCCTGTGAAATTGAGAGACTTTGGAGACAACGACGGCACCAAGGATTTCCTGCGCTAATGGAACTAGTAAAGTTTGGTAATGATGATTCGAAGAAACTGACCAGCTGAACGTGTCGCATCGCCGGGTCTCTGAGTTGTCCCTCGATAGTGAGCATCGAAGTGAACCGCTCGGCCATCGACAGAGGCTGCTCAATACGAAATTGAACACCTCACAAGCATACTGCTACATGTCTTGAACCGCCTCCATAACTTCTCTTCCGAATGAATCGCAGTTTTTGCTCACCTATCTTACTCTGCGCACCACTAGTAGTTAAGTGAGTCCAATTATCAAGCTGACATCTGCATTGAATAACCCCCAGTCTCCAGAGCCTGTATGTCAGTCGCGGTCCCACTACAAACACCCCCGACGGCTGCATAAGCCTTTACAGATAACTTCGAAATGGGCAGCGGCGAGTCGAAAGACTCGAAACGCCCCCAAGGTTCCAAGACGGGAAAGCGTCTAGTCAAATGTTCAGAATGCGATACACGGATTCCAGAAGGTCAGAAAATGCCTGAGTGGTCAAAGGAACAGCAGGTTGGTGTCTTGGGCAGCCTTCTAACGCAAAGCAAGCTATGCGGCATCGGGTATATCAAGAAGGAGAATTTCTTACAAGTCCTAGGTTCTAAGGGTAGGAGCAGCGCTGGTCGCACAAACCCGTAGTTCTTTGAAAGTCTGTTCTTCGTTCAAGTAGCCTTGTAGATCATAATTTAGAGTATTATTCTCTCTTCCAAATCAGCCTGTTTTCCCGTGGACAACAAAAGGGAGTTCCAGCCTACTTACATTCCTCACGGTCTAAGTTTAGAAATAGCGCTAGCGGCCGTATAGATACCGTTCTACATTCCAGAAGGATTGTGAGCCCTCTCCTCTAAATCTTTCGAATGTTAGAATACTCTTTGGCACGCGTTTCTTCACATGTCGTTGAAGGAATAAGTCCAGAACATTCACTTCCCAAGTATCAGTTCCAAGCCGATTTCAATGGTTGATCGACGAAGGAGATGATAAGGATGTGTGGCGTTCTCTGTGAGGCGGATATGCAAGGCCGTCGATTTGCGTGGAACTCGCTGCACATATTGTAGCAAGGCGCAGTTGCTTTCGGGACCGGTGTTCGAACGTCAGATGCCAGATTATCTAGGTATGTATTAGCGGCTCTCAATATTAAAGTGCGTATATCCAGGTTGCTGCGTAATTACTACGTTTATATGCGTAACAAACTCCCAGACTCGAACGGAACGCCCTCGCCGTGAAGTCAGAAGGTTCGCGCACGATTAACATCTGTAACGAACACTGCATCTTCTTCTGAATGCTCCATCAAAGGCACTCTGGTCCTGAAAGTCAGCAACCAAAAGCATTTTCGTAAGCTTCAGAAACCTACATTTCCAAAACCAGAAACCTACTGCTCCTCCAAGAAACCTACTGCTCCTCCAAGAAAGGTCCCCAGCCTAAAATAAAACTCTCCAAAATGACTCGCCGACCTTCCAAATCACCCTCTATACCAGCTCCACCTCCTTCCAAAGCCTACCCCCCTATGACGGTATCCCAAATCCCCGGTTCTACCGTGGGTCGCTTCCTTTGCGCAACGGAAAAGTGCGCTGGACGTGTCGATGATAAGGGGCAGACGTGTATGACTTGCATGGTACGTCAACTTCTAAGCAACCTATCTCTTACTTTTACTCGGGATAGACGGCTACGTTGGATGGATTTAAAGAGCTTACCGCGATGACTAACGCGAACATAACAGGCGGAGGGGAACTATAATTTCCCAGAGAGTAGGAAAGCGGCGGTCTAGCGGGGGTCAGGTCCTCGACTGACGTTGGCGCCTAGTGTGGCAGATTGCGGTTTCTTTTGGAGTCGACAGCCTTGGTCGTGCTGGATACTGGAAGACATATATTTAGGTCGGAGGTTCAACTCCGCCAGGAGGCCCTCACGGTGAAGGTAGAAGCTTCGTGAGCCAGCTTTTTCTACGTGTCTCGAGCTTTCTTCGTGACTCAACTTTTGACTTACTCATAGGTAGCTCTTTCTTAAATAGCACATGCAATGAACAACACCTCTCTTTTACATACCACAACATAGCCACGTCGGAATAGAAAGCTACAGTCTACTCTCATAATCATTAGCTCCTTGATTCGACGGATCCGTTGTCGTGGAATTCTTCCCATATCACTAGCAAAGTCACCTCCGCCAGCACCGATACCCTCGCTACCCAGTGTATTTACCAAGTGCAGACTCAAGGATGGGCTGCGGACCTTCTAAGCCTTCTTCCCGGTCTCCCATACCAACCCTCTCACCAGGCGCCCTCAACGACTTCCTAGGTCCCCGAAATAGTCGTGTTACTAGGAACACGATCCCGAACAATCCTCCCACCTTTCAGAATAGTAAACCAAGGCAGATAAAGCCAGAGCGAGTGGCGCCTGCGAGTACACGAACAGGATTGGGTATTGATAGCGGTAAATCTCCCTGGCCTACTCATTCTCCTTCTCAACGCTCTGGACTCATTGCCGCAGTCCAAGCCCAGCCATCATACGGGCTCAGTTATGGTCGTTTTCCATGCGTAAACGCTTCCAGCCAGAACAGCCTTCCCCACGGTCAGGTCGAGAAATTTGAGCATACATGCCATGACTGTGCGGTACGTGAGCCTTTCCTTGGTCCCGGTTCCTGTGGTGGTCCACAGTAGTTGAATTAGAGGTTGGAGAGCTTTGAACTAACAGTGCTGTTATAGGGCCGAGGATGCATGGGTTCAGATAAAGAGACAGATGGAGGATTTCGTTGATGTCGGCTGGTCCGAATCCTGGACGATGTTTTCCTATTTTCTTTTTACGGTACTGCATTATTTGTATTGTAGTTGAGGTTCCGAATGCTTGGAGGGTATTGGGGCTCGGCATATACCCAAATTAGGAAGCGTCCCATAGAACCAATCCACCTCTTCACCGACCCACAAACTTCCACAGCTCACCCAAGGCTACGTATTTTCATGATATAATCCCAAATTTACCTCCTCATTTTGCTCATACAACACTTACCATGATCACCATCGCAGAGCAACTCCCAAACATCCTTCATAATACCTACTGCCCTTTTCTCCTTAGCTTCAGGATATGTCCACCATCTGGAAACCGACTCCGATATCTCTGCAGGGATAACTCACATGTTCACCCCAAATACCACCCACCCCCGCGTACTTCCTAACCTTGAAACCAAAAAGGGTAGCGCTTCTTCAGCTCTATGATCAAGTCCATCACCCTCTGCTCTAGGTTCGTCTAAACACGACTCCCATGAAGTACTAGAGGAGCTTTAGATTTTCGAAAGCTAAGAAAAGACTACGCTACTCGGCCCAGGACGCGATTCCGAAGTGTTGTACCGGACGGGTGGACGAGAAGCGGCAACTGTGCGATACATGTAGTACAATGGGTACGTGGATCTTGTAAGGAGATCAGCTCGGTCGGATACGTTGCGAGACGCTGAGTCTATAGTTCGAAGAGAGCAGTTCCATTATAGCAATTTATACATCCTGCCTTATACTCTCGCCAACTCTTATAGCTTGAATAGAAAGGTCGTACGGCTACAGTAGTCGTAAGCCATTCAGCTAGGGTGCACACGTCACCAGCACGTTTCAGCGGCTCGGCGACAAGCTTTTGCTTAGATCGTGGGCTTCTGCACAGACCCCTGACTACAGTCCATCTTCACGTCCGGTGGCAGGGGGTGGTCACCCTCTAATAACAAGCTATCAAATTAACGGTAGCAACTCTGGGCGCCTTTAGGAGCAAGTAGCAACAGTCCAGTAGACACGAGCCCCAAAGTGCACGATCTGTCTTCTGCACTGTCTGCTGCTGCTGAGCAAGTCACCGCGGCTCCCGTTCTGGCACCACGACATCCTCCGGTCAAAGATGATTGTGCATTGTATATCGCTCCATTCGCTGGATTCCCAAACCCAAAGTCGATCGGAGCTGCAGCCATCTACGCTCCTCTGAACTGTAACACACTTGATACCAATCTGCTGGTGGAGCTGTTCACGACCGGTCCTTTCGACACAAGAGTGTGCGCCCAGGCATGCAGTACCCACGCTACGCTCATCGCCATCTTCCCGCGACCGGTCCGCCAAAGACCTGCTAGTTATTCAACACGTACCGGATGTGGAAGGATGGCGTGTCTCAGGGTCAATATAGTGCCATGTACACCCAGAGCCAGTCGATAAGCCAGACTACTAACACTGGTCAGTGGAAGAGCGGCTCTCATTATACCATTACCGACAACTATATCTTCTACCAGCAAAAAGTGCTCGTCTACAATCAAACCGTCCTCGTCTATAATTAAAATGTCCTCTTCTACGATTAAATGTCCTCGTCCACGACTAAACCGTCATACTCAGGTTGCAGCACTACAACCTAGGATCAACAACTCATATGCCAGAAAGCTACTCTCCGAACATCAGCTGTAGAGAACCCAGCTGAAATCTCAGCTGTAGAGAACCGAGCTGAAGCCTCAGCTGTGCAGGGCTCATCTGAACTTACTAGCGCGCCACCCTGGGGGTGGCCCCCTTCCTTCCCCTAGTATATATACAACTAGCTAGACGTCTATAGAAATCAGAGTTCACATCAATTTCAACCTGAGTGTCATCGCAAAGAGTTGAATCATCTCCATTTACGATCAAGAGCTCATCTACAGCTAAGCCAAGCTCGACTACATTTCAATCGTCATCATCCATAATCGCTCCGTCCACATCTACAGCCACTTCGTTCTTGTCTGCAATTACTTCCTTGATTTTTTCGTCTGTGTACTCGGCCCCTTCTACAAGCGTCTTGGCGACGTCTTCGTTTGTATCCGTAGTGTACAACAAACGCGACGTTTCCACCCCGTCAGCTCTCGCCACTTTCGCATCAGACATTGTAACTTCCGCCTGCGAAGCGGAGGCTGTCCTAGTCTTGACGACGGTTACCGTCTCCTCGGTCACTACTGAAACAGACTTCATTACAGACTACACCATTGTCCTGACGGCGACTGATGTCGAGACTTCCACCACGGTCGAGGTCAGCTTCGCCACAGCCACCACTTACATGTATCCCGCCTGCGGGGACACCGTTTGCCCTGCTAACAACGGCCGCATTTGCTCAACTTCTGATGGACACACTTACCAAGAAACTTGCAACGTCAGATGGGTTAGTGGTACTACAGCAGGCTTTTCCGTAATCTCGGACCTGCCACTATACCATAACTACAACATTATGCCAGGAAAGCTTATTCGTCACATGCGCGGCAAAATGCGCCGTTGTGGCTGCCTGCGACTCGTTTACGCTGTACCAGGATCTCACATCGCAGTGCGCCTATTGTTATCTATTCAACAGCCCGACGAGATCGATCGCTGAGAGTACTATTCGGAGATTTAGGAGCGCTGTCATGCTTTCTTAAAGGATAGACTAACGTGACACGCGGGGCACGAGAAATGTGAAATTCTAGATCTAGAACAAGCTGACGTGAGTGTGCGCGTGTCTGCCGCTGCTTGGGGTGCTTTAATGCATTTTCAGGTACATGAACGAGATAGAAGCTCTTGACTTTGGTCTATGTGGGAACTTGTTGAAGTACTTTAAGCAGTGGTAGACAGTTAGATACACGAGGAGGAGTGCTTGATGAGTGTGCTACATTTTCGCACCAATCTTCCGTGATTGGGGTTTTCTTGTTATGCTACAATATAGGCAAGCTCAACATTTAATCAAGTCTATTCCTACATGTCCTGGCAACTCTAGAGTGATTGACTGATGGTTTGGCGCCTTCCCTCCTTGTGTGTTCTCGACCTTCCGCTGCCGTTGCGCCTTCGTGTCACTATCCGCGGGCTGAAGAGCCGGCTGCGCGTTGACGACTACATTCTTATAAAGAAGCGACTATGTCCTTATAGAAAAAGACAGATTGCAGCCTTTAGAATGAGAGGATTTAATATAGATAGCATAGTCTTTCCACGACAGATATGGAAGTTGTCGCAGTGCAATCTTAAGATAGACCTAACTATGAGGTCCTGATACTCTTACTGTTTTTTACTAACAACCCGGTAAAATAGTTATAAATACTTGATTATATACTACTCAAGCTTTCTTATAGTAATGCTTACTGGAAGTAGTATTATGTATGAATGATAAGTATATTGTTCAGACGCTACGGCCTGCAAATTTAACTGAGTTGATATCTGAAGTGAACGCATTTCTAAGCATTTGTCTGGAGAAGTTGAATAACGATTGGAGTGAATGCGGGAGGGGGAAAGATTTTCTATTATTCGTCTGGAGATCTGAATTTTTCTCATACGAAGCTGGAGCAGATCCCAGAGCGACAACGAGAAAGAACTTATCGAGAACAGCAACCTTAGCTATGAAAGGTTTCTTATTGATGGTAAGAGATTGACCGAATGATCATCAACTGAACAGCCTCGCCAAGCAAAGCGCGGGGCTCGCTCCGATTTGCGGCGGCGGACCCGCGGCAGGGACGAGAGTAAAACGTGAGGCTAATATTTCTCGATACAAAGACTCATCATCCATCCCAGCCTTGCATGTGAGGCGTGAGTCAAGCTGCCAGTGACTCCTACGTATCTTCCTCTATATCCGCCCTCCTGCTCTTCAATCGATTCCTCAGGCACAACACATCCCAATTAACATCCACGTCATTGTTCTTACACCATGGAGGGCATCAAGCAAACGTTTGCGCAATGCAAGAAAGAGGGCCGGGTATGCTTCAACCAGCTTGAACTTGAGTCTATGGCCCTAATAGATGCTGCAGTCGGCCTTGGTCACCTATGTGACCGCTGGCTTCCCAACTGTCCAAGAGACACCAGACATCTTGCTGGGTATGGAGGCGGGTGGCGCTGGTAAGCTACTCCACTACCTTTGAGTCAATTGCAATTAAATTGCTTAGAATGAACTAACACGGAATATACAGACCTCATCGAGCTCGGCATGCCATTCACGGACCCAATTGGCGACGGGCCCACGATACAGAAGTCCAACACCGTACGATGACTCCCACGCCACCCAAGACCCAAACCCTCGAGAACCTAGTAGACTGACGTTTGGACAACTCAGATAGCTCTCCGAAACGGAGTGACAACGGAAACATGCCTCCAGATAGTACGCGATGCACGGAAACGGGGCCTAAAAGCACCGGTGTTGTTGATGGGATACTACAATCCTCTCCTCAGCTACGGCGAGGAGAAGATGCTGAAGGACGCGCGGGAAGCAGGCGTCAATGGCTTCATAATAGTCGATCTACCCCCAGAGGAAGCTGTGAGGTTCCGAAATTACTGCACCAAAGCTGGGTAAGTTTCAACATGCTGAAGCAGTATGTCGTCACTCTATGATTGAGTGCTAACAGGTTTGAATATTCAGTCTATCCTACGTCCCACTCATCGCTCCGGCGACCTCCGAAAAGCGTATGAAGATGCTCTGCAAGATTGCCGATTCGTTCATATACGTGGTGTCAAGAATGGGCGTGACAGGTGCTACGGGAACAATGAACGCTGCTTTACCGGAGTTGCTCGAGCGAGTGCGGAAATGGTCGGGGAACAAATACGCTGCCGTAGGATTCGGTGTCAGCACAAGAGATCACTACCGCAGCGTGGGAAAAATCGCTGACGGTGTGGTCATTGGAAGCCAGATCGTCACCGAGATCGGCAAAGCCCCGGCTGGACAAGGCGCGAAGGCTGTGGAGGAATACTGCTCCAAGATCACAGGTCAACAAGCGGGCCAGAATGGAACAACGCGGGAGGTCGGCATCATCGAGACCCTTGCAGAAGCAAAGGAGCCCACTGGCGTTACTGTAGACAAAGTCATCACAGACGCCGACACACCAGATGGACCAGGACTCGTGGATCAGATTGATGCTTTGAATTCAAATGGGACCGCCGATCCCGCTGCAACACCCTCCCGATTTGGCGAATTCGGTGGACAGTACGTGCCGGAGGCTCTTATGGATTGCCTTACTGAGCTCGAGGCCGCCTTCTATGAAGCCAAGAATGATCCTAAGTTTTGGGAAGAGTATCGATCATACTACCCCTTCATGGGTCGGCCTGGACAGCTCCATGAGGCGGAAAGACTCACAGAGCATGCAGGCGGTGCTAGAATTTGGTTAAAGCGAGAAGACTTGAACCACACCGGAAGCCACAAGATTAACAATGCTATTGGGCAAATACTTCTCGCCCGTCGCTTGGGTAAAACCGAGATCATCGCCGAGACTGGAGCCGGCCAGCATGGTGTTGCCACGGCCACCGTCTGCGCCAAATTCGGTATGAAATGCACAATCTACATGGGCGCGGAAGATGTTCGACGACAGGCTCTCAACGTTTTTCGAATCAAGCTCCTTGGCGCTCAGGTCATTGCTGTGGAGGCCGGCTCCCAGACTCTTCGTGATGCTGTCAATGAAGCGCTGCGAGCCTGGGTTGTCAACCTCTCCACGACGCACTACATCATTGGCTCAGCAATTGGCCCTCACCCATTCCCTACCATCGTGCGCACCTTCCAATCCATCATCGGGAATGAAACGAAGGAGCAGATGCAAGCGAAGAAAGGCAAGCTTCCAGATGCTGTCGTCGCCTGTGTTGGAGGTGGAAGCAACGCTGTCGGCATGTTCTACCCCTTCGCCAACGACCCTAGCGTCAAACTCCTCGGTGTTGAAGCCGGCGGTGACGGTCTTGACACGGATCGACATAGTGCCACTCTGACCGGAGGCTCTAAGGGAGTGCTACATGGCGTCCGAACGTACGTTCTCCAGAATAAACACGGTCAGATCACCGACACGCACTCTGTCTCTGCTGGTCTCGACTATCCCGGTGTTGGTCCCGAACTCTCATCTTGGAAAGATTCTGAGCGCGCTAAGTTCATCGCCGCGACTGACGCCGAAGCCTTCCTCGGGTTCCGACTCCTCTCCCAACTCGAAGGCATCATCCCCGCCTTGGAAACTGCTCACGCCGTTTTCGGTGCTATCGAGCTAGCCAAGACGATGCGGAAAGACCAGGACGTAGTCATCTGTGTAAGTGGACGTGGTGACAAGGACGTCCAGAGCGTTGCAGATGAGCTACCGAAGCTGGGGCCTAAGATTGGCTGGGATTTGAGATGTAAGTCTCCTTGTGCTTGAAGCGATTTGTGATTTTGCTATATACTGACATTTGATAGTTTGAGTGTGCTGCCCGAATGAATTGGAGGCTGGTAATGCTGCTACGATACTCAAGGAAAATAGACGAAAACGTTTTACAGGAATTTGAGATATCAAGATGTGCCAGAAGTATGACGGCAGATCTGGACCTTGAATGATGCTTGTGCACAGACCTGATAACTGATATCACGTGACCTCGGATGGGATGCTTCGTGAATGTTGTCCTGACTTCACCGGTTTGCTCACTTTACTCGATTTTACACAGACGATGCATCCACTTAACTTGAAATTACACGCTGGGCTAGCTAGGAACCTACTTGAGCTCTCCCCGTGCCTCTCGGCACCTCCTGCTGGTGTCGTCGGGCACGAGGCCTCCTTGACGCTTCCTAAGGCTATCTAGGTAGAATCGCCTGCTGGCACCAGCATCGCTTGCGAACACGGCCAGCGGGTCCTGCAGCACCCGGCAGCATTCTGACCCCGTGTAGCAATCTCCGAGCACGCTGAAGCTTTTACGATGCCGCTGAAGCATCCCCGACGTTGGTGAAGGTTCCCGACGCGTTTTGAGCCGGTCGACGCCAGCTGGTTGCGAAATGACTTTCAGAAATGGCAGAGCTATCCTAGAGCATCCTGAATATCGGGCAATGTCCCCGAGCGATTCCCGACGACCAGGCTGCGGGGTGACGTTTCTGTGTTTCGTTTCAACGTGGGTCTGTTTCGCTCATGAGGATACCGTGATATCCAATATTGGCGCTGCAGCGCTTTCAAAAGACATGATTTGAGCAGCAGAGACGAGCTGCTTCGCCAACAAGCCGGCGGCAGCTGAAGCAGAGGAGGAGAGGCATGGGTGAGGCACAGCAATCCGGCTGCCTCCCAAACCAGGACCTTGGCGGCTAGGATGCAGCCCTCACGCTCTCTCACCACTCACGGCGCAGCCTCTCCAGCTGTTGGCCAGTTCCTTGAAACGGGGGGTGTTGGGGCAGGCGGAGACGTCGCCCGTGTTGGGGCCTTCCTGGATAGCCGGAATCTGCAGGTGGGTGGTCACGATACGAGGTGGTGAAGTACAGCAGCTGCTGGGCGAGGCTAGAAAACGGCTGCGTCGTTTATGCCAGACAGTTCGCCGGCTCGGGGGACCGCCGGGCGGTGCAGGTGTCGAGGGATATATTGCATGGGGCAGTGCTCAGTGCTCAGTCCTCATGCCTCCCTCCGCTCGGCCCTGCCCGCGGCGGTCGCCTGGTGAGAGAGCGCACAAGCGTGAGGGTTTTGGCCATGGCCTCTGCTGCCGGCGCGACTGAAACGACACCAGCGTCTCAGCTCCCTGCCCGTGCCCGTGATTGGCCAGCGCGTCGAGTGAGCAGCTCCACTCCACGCTGGCGGCCAAGAGGCTCTCAGCGGCTCCCTATTCACTCTGATTGACAATGCCATTCTCCTCGCTGCCTCCTTGACTGCTGCGACGGCTGCTTGGTTCTTCTCCTCGCTCGCCGCTTGCCGCCCGCCTTTGACCGCCAGCCTCTGTCTCGCCATAAAGGCCCAACCCAAGCCACAACCACACGCTGAAAGCGACAACGACAAGACCCGACTCGCCCACCCCCAGCCCAGCTCGTGTTTGTCACCGTGCCCGTTTCAACCGCCGAAACCTCGATATAACTGTCCTGACCTCTCCACCACGCGGGCAGCGATTCGACCTCGCCTGCCCACCACGCCTCCACGCCTCCCGCCGCCGCAGGACTCCCCGGCGGATAGCTGCTGAGCCTCCGCCGCCGCCGTGTCACGGAGCCATCTGCCACTCTCCGCTGCTCGAGGACTCGCGACCTTCTCCTGTCTCACAGACTGCTCCTTTAGCACCCACCGCCCGCGAAGCCGTCCACGAACGTCGACTGCTGCATCTCACGGTCCCGCCCCGTCGGTCCCAATACTCTCGACTACGCCCATCGCCCTACTGTCCACCCACCATGCCGTTCTGACGACATTGTCCCGCACTCGACCGTAAACGAACTCAGTCTCTCCGCCGAATACACCCACATATACTGGTAGCATTCCCGGTGACTTGACCGAGCAAGTCATTCGTCATGGCCATGCTGGCGTCCAAGTCGCCCTACCCGACCCCTTCTCTGGGAGGCTCGGGCTCGTCGCAGTATCCTTCAAATGTGTCGAGTTACCGCGTGCAGGCTGCGTCGAGGTCTGATCATGCCTTCTTCGCATCGCCCACCGAGTCGGAGTTCTCGGAAAGCTACGATACGCCTGATTCCGTGAGGTAGGTAGATTCGAGATGTAAGATTTGAAAAGTGCTGACTATTGCAGGCATTGGGACGAAGACAAGGTCGCTGACTGGCTTCAACGGATCAACTGCTCCCAGTACATTGACCTCTTCAAAAGTGAGTTTCACGCGTCTTGGAAACATGCCACGTGCTGACGACGACAGAAAACCACATCAACGGCGAGAACCTGATGGAGATGGACCAGACCCATCTAAAGGACATGGGCATCAAGAAGATTGGCGACCGTGTGCGTATTGGAACCCAGGCAAAGCTGTTCAGGAATCGCGAGTACAAACGGGGATCAAAGCGGAGCTCGAATAGGGTACGACAGCACCATACTGCTTCAATCTCAGCTGTTAACATATAGTAGCAATCTCTCGCCGTTCTCGACCAAGCTGCAGCCTTCGTCACTCCCCCGTCTTCAGGCTCCCCTCGCCCTATCCATTCCAGTCGATCAATCCCCGCCAGCTCCCGCTCCGACAAACGCATGTCCCGACAACTCACCGGCGCTGACTTTAGCTATGCCGCCGCCCTCCCTTTCTCCAAGGCCCCCTCTCGACCGGGCTCTCCCCTCGTCGACCAGGAAAACCGCAGCATTCGATCTCAGCACTACACAGGCATGAGCAGCCCAAAGAATACCGGAAAAAAGGATATACCACAGTACTTTGGCTACCCCCTCAGCGCAGGGCTAAACAGCGCACGTGCTCCGGAGGGCATTCAAACTGCTCGCTATGTGACGCAGACTCGAACAACCCCAACCGAGACACCTCAAACCGCCCGTTTTGCCCACCACGTTCGGGCGAGTCCCAGCTTGGATAATGCCACAAATAGCGCTATTCTTCCTCCCGACAAAGCCCTGATCCGGGTCATCTTTGACAACGGCCGCTCCTCCGTTGTTAGCATCGAAAATTGCAAGACAGCAGAGGACATTATGTTGAAGACACTGCGCAAGGGCTACCTGAACGAAGCCCATGTAAAGAACTATTGCTTCTATGTACTCGATGGCCCCGAACCTACGCCAGCACAGTGTCGGCGACTCAGTGAAATAGAGTTGATCCGCATCTGCAACGATCGAGCACGTCTGGAAAAAGGCAGACTCATCCTCCGCAAGATCCACACCGGCGAACCCGAAGACGACCAGCTCAAGACTGCTGCAGGTATCTATCAGCAGCAGCAACTACAACAGGTGCAGAACGTTATACTACCCACGAATAATCGAAGCCAGTTGAAGGTTGAGAAGATCACTGGGGAATCGCTTGCCGCCGTCAGCTACCCGTTATCTCCAGCATCCGCCCGCGAGCGTGAACGACACATTAACTCGACGGCCCAGGATCTTGAAAGAGCTGATAGCTTTCAATCAACGACCAGCGCTCGCGCTCGAAAACTGAAGCAGTTCTACGGAGCTCGGCCACCCAGCGAGCTGATTACTTCTGATCTGACCTCCTACTTCCCAGACGTGGAGAAAGAGGAGATTGACAAGACCATCCGCATGTCTGTCCGCAGGTCACGTCGCATTAGCCGTGCTACAAGCCGCCTCAGCATGGCCTCCAACTTCAGCGTCGCTTCCTCTCTTCGGGATGCACCTCCACTTCCCTCAATCGCTGATGCTTGGCTACAAGGCGCTGGTCAAGCCCGTCCACTCCGGCCACTCTCGGTCATGCGTCTTGGTCTTCAATCTCAGTCTGGTTACCGCGATTCCATGGCCTCGTCAGTACTCGAACCACTGGAGGAGGAGTCACCACTGGAGCCCGACCGCAAATCGTACGTGTCCTTCGCTGGAGATGACAACGGATCGGAGACTGTTTCAGTCACCGACCCTGAAGGCCGCACGAATACTTTGAGCTCCTACTTTGATGATGGCGGTAGTAGTCTCGCAGGTAGCAGCAGCGTTGGCACTGAGAACGGCGACTCTCTCAACAAGCGTCTATCACAAGCCATTGCCGACGACGGAGAAGAATTCGACGAAGAGCTCACCGACTACCTCGAGCAGGACAGCTGGGAGAACGTCAAGTACATGAAAGGTGCTCTCATCGGTCAGGGTTCGTTCGGCAGCGTCTACCTCGCCCTACACGCAGTCACTGGCGAACTCATGGCCGTCAAGCAAGTCGAGATGCCTTCTAGCTCCGGCGCCTCCCAAATGGACCAGCGAAAAACCAACATGGTGGAAGCCCTCAAGCACGAAATCGGCCTCCTCCGCGACCTCAAGCACAAGAACATCGTGCAGTATCTCGGCTCCAACTCCGACGACACCCATCTCAACATTTTCCTTGAGTACGTCCCCGGTGGCTCAGTGGCGACTATGCTGGTCAACTACGGCCCCCTCGGGGAATCCCTCATCCAGAACTTCGTCCGCCAGATCCTCACTGGCCTCGGCTACCTCCACTCCTGCGACATAATCCATCGTGACATTAAAGGAGCCAACATCCTCGTGGACAATAAGGGATCCGTCAAGATCTCCGATTTCGGCATTTCCAAGCGTGTTGAAGCATCCACGCTTCTCTCCACACCCGGCTCTGGCAAGAAGGGCAACCAGCGTGTCTCCCTGCAGGGCTCTGTCTTCTGGATGGCGCCCGAGGTCGTCCGACAAACTGCCTACACCAGAAAGGCGGACATCTGGTCCCTGGGCTGTCTCATCGTCGAGATGTTCACTGGTAGCCACCCCCACCCGAACTGCACGCAGCTACAAGCTATCTTCAAGATCGGCGGTAGTGGGGATGCGAGCCCGACAGTGCCGGAGAACGCGGGCGAGGATGCCCGGGCGTTCTTGAAGCAAACCTTCATGATTGATCATGAGGCGCGGCCAACAGCGGACGAGCTTTTGGGCAGTCCATTTTGTAATCCGAAGGCGGGTTGAACGGTCCGAAATATCAGAATGTCGACGAAATTCAACAACATGATCGAGTGAGCGTTTCGTGCGACTCACTCTAAAAGGAAAGAGGCAGCGCCTCAAGGAATCTATCTTCGAGCTGGAGATGAATGTTTCTGCGAATCGTCTTCGCACCTCAAATGCATAATTGGAAGGATTAAGGGATTTGGGGGGGGGGGGGTAGATATCGGGTCCTTTTTTCTTTTAACTGGATTTCGAACGAAATTACGAAAGCATGTCGCATGGATTGCGGACAGAAAGGGGGTGGGGCATGATGCTTTGATGGGGATGAAAGGGGAGAATTCTTTTTATGCTTCTTACTCCTCTTCGCCGTCTTGGACTGTAAACTATACGGAATGGGTCGGATCGGGTTTTGGCCGGATGGGCCGAGGAGATGGGTGATGACGGAGGGGATGGGGGGACGAGGCGAATTGTATTGTAGGATGAAATGAGGATGTGGATCTTGTGCATGGTATACTTGTTGACTCGTTATTGTAATCGTGAATGTGATGCTACTCACTCGATATACTACGAGATCTCGGGTTTCCCGCCGCAGACTGGATTCGACTTCACGGTAGCAGTGCTACAGACAGGGCCTGATTTGAATGGTTATGCAATAGTATCTCACAAACAAGTCCAAATCGCGCGGAATGGCTCCCGTTTGTATTTCGGAACGGTGCCAAAATCTTACTTCCAAGCTCTGATTCGGAACCACATCCAATAGTATACCAAAAGCGAGTCCAAATCAAACGGACTGGCTCCCGTTTATACATCTCAACGGTGCCAAAATCACCCCAAATCCATGGTCTGATTCATGCATCCTGAATCGAAGTGAGAAATAGGCCCTATTCTTTATTAGTTTAACCTACACTTTACATTTCAGACTTGCTCCTGTTCATCCTTCTCAGCTACCTTAAATCCTTTCTACCTAGCCGTGAATAGGTCATGACAGATCTTACACAACCCTCCCCCTCAACGTCCCCGCGTTCATTTCTTCGAATACGGACGTGAGAGCCTCCATCTTCTCGACGCGGTAGTGCGTCTTCACGATTCCACGTGCCTGTAACCCGTTAGCCCCCTTCCTTACGATCTCAACCTCTTCTCCATCCCAACGCCTCCCCTCTCCGCTCCGTACTTTGTCCTCTCCTCCCCCCACAAACTGCCCACTCCTCTTCTTTAAACCAAAAAAACCTCTCTTACCCGGGCCCAACAATAAAACAAATGGAAATTGCAAAACTCACAGCAAATTCCAAAACCTCCCCCGCCTCTTTCCGATTCCCCACAGCCACACCCACGATACTCAGCGCTTTCGCGATGAGCACCTGCGGCGCCACGGATGTGATAGGCAGTGCCTCGCCCTCCGGGATCCCGACGCAGACGACGCGCCCCCCGAAGCGCAGGAGAGAGACAGATGAGGCGTAGGCGGCGTTGGCGGCAGACACTGTATCTCCGCGTTAGCAGTGCTTCCATAGACGGACTCTCTCTCCTAGGGGAGGCAATAGTCGGGGTTGAGATGCTGGGCCCTGCCACACGACTCCATCCCAGCCTCAAAAAACCCCAACGCTTAACGGTGAAGGTAGGAGTACGAAAACAAGTCACGTACGAACTAACACAGCATGCACGCCCAGCCCCCCCGTCAGCGCAAGCACTCACTCAGTCACCGACGGCGCATCCTTCGCATCCTGGAGCAGCGGCACAAAATGCTCAGCGCCAGACTCAATCACCAAGTCTTCTTTCGACGCGTGGTCGATGCCGATGACCCTATGGTTCATCCCGCGCGAGGAGAGCTGCACAGCGATATTCCCAAGACCGCCGCCGGCACCTATATCACATCATATCAGAACACTATCCCATCTCCTCCTTCCCTTCACGTAAACGCTAAACCGGGAGGACGGGAGAATAGAGCGGTCGTCCACATACCCAGCACAACAACCCACTCCCCACTTAACGCGCCAGACCTCCGCAACGCCGCATACGTCGTGATGCCCGCACACAGCATCGGCGAGGCCTCGGCGCTGCCGAGGCTCGCGGGGATCGGGGTCACGTAGTTGGCGGGCGCGAGGACTACTGCTGGAACGTCCCCGGGGCGTAGTAGCCGCTGATTTTCTGGTGGAAGCAGACGCCGTCGTGGCCGGTGAGCCAGGCCGGGCAGGAGGTGCAGGTTGCGGAGATCCATTTGACTGGGAAGATAACATAAGATTAGCAGCCGTCCGTGTATAGAACAGAGGTGGGGGAGAGGTTGGATCTCTTCGAGCTAAAGGGAAGCTTGTAGAAAAGGGAGCGGTGTTTGTAGAGCAAAAGGGCGTACTCCCAACCCTATCCCCAGCCTTCACCGGACTCGTCGCCGCACTCGCCGCCGGCCCTATCGCCATAATCGTCCCCACGCCCTCGTGGCCCCTATCTGGCCCTGCTGGGTTGGGAATGGTAAAGAAACCCAATTGGACATAATAACGCCGATGTCTGAATGGCAGACGCCAGAGTGAGTTCTGCGTATGTGGAGTTAGCATGACTCTCGACTAAACGCGGTCTTTACAGTCCAAAGAACGAGAGATAACTGAATGGGAGGGAGAGGAGCGTGACAGGAACTTTAGGATAGTAACCGCAGCATACAAATTCACAAGCACCTCCCCCGGCCCCGGCGTCGGCGTCTCCACCATCTCGATCTTCGTCGAGATGGTGCCGGGCGCGTCGTAAACGGCTGCTTTGTGCGTTTTGGGGATCTGGATATCCGTCATAGCTGCGACTACTTGACTCCGGCTCAATCGAACGCTTCAAGTCACAAAGCCGGAGAGGGAGGGAGATGGAAGGCTAAGAGAGTACTTTGAAAGATAGACGGTAAACAAGCGACGCAAGTGATTACACGCGAAGAAAGCAATTCTGTAGGACGTACGGAACAGAGTCGAAGAAACAGAGTCGAGCAAAGACGCCAGATTACTACCCTAGACCTGTACTTTATACGTTTCCCTGCAAGCTGCCCACCTACGCACGCACGCGTGTGAATACGCCGTCATAGTAAAGCTAGCTAGCTCCCTGCGTTGGTCTGCCCGTCTATACCTCGATGCGGGGAAGGGCGGTTGGGAGATGTGCCACTCAGAAGTCTGACTCCTTGCATGGTTTGTCTCTATGACCCATGGTGTGATGGCTCAAGGGTTCCTGGTGCCGCGGGGGACAAGCGTGACGTATACGGGAATTGCGGGGGAAGTGCAGTGTCTGGGGGTGGAGATCGAGGTGGAGGTGGGCGTAAGTGTGGCTAGTGCCTGTGGCTGAAGTGATAGAGCTTGGAACGAAGTAGAATGGAGAGTTGAGTTGAACGGATGGACCTGCTCAAGAAACTCTCAACGTACTAATAGAGACCGGGGGCAGTGCATACACTTCTAATTTGCGTACTCCCTGCTGACGCTGTCTGAGGTAGCCTCGCGAGTTTACCAATTGTCCAAAATGCCGAACTTTTCTCTTGTTCGAAACACTGAAAATACTATGAGGTACCACAAGCAGCGGTGAACGAGTGTACGGATATCTATGACGATGCACTGTATTCAACTCGTCACCGCTCAACTAAGTCACAATCAATGTTGGCTACGGAAGTGTTACTGTCACTCCATGTCAGACGTGTTTGGTATTGCATTCTTAAATTCAAATATCATTCGAAGTAATTTCTAGACTGTGGCTTACTGTGCGTACTCTGTGGCATAATCCGTGATCCGTATATCGTGTAGTCCCAGCTACGTACGTGTGCGCTGTATTATAACGCAGTTGAAAGGAGATGCCCAGATAAATGAGCCCAAGATGCCAGCAGGTATCCCATACACGTCTCAAGGGCCATCAATTGACCAGCCGATTCCGTCTCCGTTATGCCATAACCGTCATGATTGATATGGTCGCAGTGCTGCGTTCAAGCTACAACGTGTACCATCTTTCCCAGCGCCATATTGACATCAACACCCCACTCTCCAAACTGCTCAATCGCGTCCTGAGCCTTAGGGACACCAATCAGCACGATACCAGCCGGCACGATGATATCCTCAATGCCGAAGCAGCTGAACGCGACCAGCTTCTTTAGCTTCGGGCATGACTTGAAGATGCCAGCAACAACGATAGTATCGACGGTCGTGCAGAACGAGACGTTGAGCTCCTCGAGACATGGATACTTCTTCTTGCCGTCGAAGACAGTCGAGAAGGTCGCGAAGCTGATGTGGCGGCAGCTTGCAATGTCGAGAGTGTGGAGCTTGGAACCAGAGTGCTCCATCATTGCGACGAAGCCCGCATCTCCGAGACCAATAACCTCCTCGGGACCTTCAGGGTTGCCGTTGTCGATGTCGCGGTTGCTGTTGACGTCGATGAAGCATAGGGGTGGGTTCGCCCAGCCGGTGAAGAGGGCAGCGAAGGCCGCGTCGGTGGCGTAATCGTTCTCTGTGAAGCGCAGCTTGGAGAGGCTACGGCACTGGTCGTGGATTGCGTCAAGGACGTCGTCGCCTGCGTCGAGGAAGCGCTCGAGCGAGAGAGTCTGCAAGTTGGCGCCGACGTTGCCGATGAGGTTGACGATGCGTTCGCCAGCGACTTCCTGGGAGATCTGGAGTGAGAGATGCTGGAGGTTGGTAAGGTGGGCAATGGCATCGATGGCTGCGATACCGAGCTGGCGGCAGCGCTTGAATTTGAGGCGGGACATGTTAGGGCAGTATCCGACCATCGCAGCAACGGCATCATCATCGAATGCCGCATCGAGCCATTCGAGCTTCAGGGTCTCAAGCTGCTTACCCAAAACACTGAAGGTCTTGATCCACACATCGTTGGTGACGAGGTTCGCGGCGTAGAGCTGGATGTGCTTCAACCTGGGAGCCTTCTCGAGCATGTATTCGACGCATCGGTCTTTGAACTGACAGCAGTTGCGGAGAGCAAGCTTCTCGATGTGTGGAACGAAGGCAAAAATGTGTTCGTAGTCCTCGCATTCGAGATATGCGCACTCGTGGATAGCAACGGTCTTCAAGTCTGCGCGCAAGAACAACTTCAACGTCTGAGGAGTGAGAACTCTCTTCTTCGAGAAGATTTCGCAGAGCCGGTTGATGATGGAATCTGGCAGCTCGCCAAACTCCTCTACGTCTTGATGATGTTGGACGATTTTCTCAATGCAGAGCTGCTGCAGTGACTTGGCTCCGTGGGTGGCGATACCATCTAGACGGTTGCTCTCCAACTTGCGACGGGTCTTTCGGACAGCCGGTTTGTTGGCCTTCTCGGTGGCCTTTGATTCCTTCGCCAGCTCCTTGCCGCAGGGTGTGCATACTAGTCCACCCTCTGGGCCAGTCTTGCTATATGGGGTAACTGTGAAGCGCTTGCTGCAGATCTCGCAGTTCTCCAGCTGGCCGGGCAGCGGCTTCGACTTCTTGTACATGTTACCTAGAGCATCGTCGTAGTCTTCGTCCAAATCCTCGTCGTCAGAGTCGCGCTTCTTCTTGGCCGCAGCCTTCTTCTTGTCCTGCTTGCCCTTCTTCACTTTGGCGATAGCATCTTCCTGATTCCTCTTTCGCTTTCGCGATCTCTCAACAGCCTCGGCGACAGCATTCTCTTCAGCTTCCTGCTCTTCAGCCGTCGGCACCTGATTGCTTGAACCTTCGCCATTGTCTGGGGCTGCCTCGTCGCCTTCTTGACCACCTTGCTGCTCAGCTTGCTGTACTCGCTGGAGGTAGGAATCACGGATTTGTGCTGCGGAGATATTGTTCGCCTATGGAACGGCACGAGTTAGCCTGGGTTCAGCGATACTGAGATGGGTTTGCTAGTCTTCAGAAGGCTAGGAGGAACTTGCAGCAAGGAAGTCGGTCAAAGCCGAATGACTGCACCACCATCAGCTCAGCTCATATATGCGATAGCTGATGAAGACTTACGGTCCACGGATACCGCCGGTGCCACGGTTGGCGCCATTGTTGCGTGCGCGACGATTCGACCTGTTTGACGGTTCATCAGTGCGACATTCTCTAGAGCGATCAGGGAGCCTTACATTCTATCGCGAACCAAGGAAGATCAAAGCAAATCGATCAAAGTGAATCAATCAAAGTAGAGGGAGATCAGGTGGAGAGTCGGATGTTGTAGGAAGTCTGGTGGTTGAGGTTGAGGTTGACGGAAGTGAAGAGCGACAAGGAGCTGGCGGGTGGGCGGGGGCTTTTTCAAACGCGTCGCGCGGTCAGGTGTGGCAATTAAGGCAGAGAATTTCAAAAGGGTTTAGCGCTTTATGGCATCCCCCTTTCTGCCAACGGCTTTCACATCACACAATGCCATGGAACATATCATATTCACGACTTTTCAATGTGCTCGCATGAAGTTTCTGGTAACCCAGTTGGGGATTTCTCTACGCCCTATGATTCATGGCCTATAATGCACCCCAAAAGGCAGCCGAACAGGTGTAGCCCCGATGAATGCCCGCAAGCAATGCCGAAGCCATGAACATGCCATGAATGAATGATGCATCCCGGATATAGAAGATGCAACACCAGGCTCCCCGTCATCGAGCTCCCCGTGCTGCTGAGAAGCCCCACCACTACAGAAGTGCCTCAGCCGTCTCACCGATTCCTAGAACCGTACATCGTCATCGCTATCACTGTGATCGCCTCCGTCGTCCTCGTCCTCGTCCTCGTCATCGGACTTCCAGACTTCGGGCTCTGGGGTGGGAGGTCTCTAGTAATTGATCAGTACAGCTCAACATCGCAGTCCACGCCAGACTCACATAGGCCTTGATCTTGGCGAACTTGCTTCCACCCGCATTGACGGTGCGCTGGGTGGCAGCGGAATGAACAGACCCAGCGACAGACGACCCGGTAGTTGAACCACGCCCAGCAGGGTGTCCGTATTTGGTGGGGTCGAATCCACCGGAGGAGAAGCCCGTCGAAGGAGTCTTGCTCCGCAAGGAAGAGGTGGCGCGAGAAGACTTTCCCTTAGCAATCTTCCACTCGTCCTCCTCCTCCTTCGCCGCCATGGGCATGCCAGCAACAGAGCTTCCAAGCCCAGTGTCTGAAGAGTCATATCCGACCCAAGGGTTGATAGGTCTAGCAGCAGCATATCCATCTTCCGTGGTGCCGGAGCGTGATGAAGCGAGCTTCAATTTCTCCAGTTCTTGGTCAAGGGCGACGCCTCCGCCATAAGATGTATCGCCCTATCCCACGTCAGTCTCTGTTGCGCATTATTCTGGTGTTGTATCAGGCCTATGTCACACTTACATTCTCGGAGGCTAGAGAGCTGCTACCATATGCACTGTCGTAGTACTCCAAGTTGGCCGCCTCTTCCGCGATTACCTTCGAGACCGGGGTGCTCTCTGGGGCTTCGTAGCGATCTTCGTCGATCGGGGTGAGAGCCAGATGCTTCTCCATGCACGCCATGCATTTCTAGGGAGACGACATGTTAGCCTCGCCACTTCAAGCGCTTGAAAGAATTTACTTACAGCACGGTCTGGGTTGGAGCGCTGGGCCTTTGCGAACTCCTCGAGCCCTTTAGTCTTGCCGCACTCAATGCAAGACAGCTCCACGACCTGGCCACCGGAGCAGACGCGGCAATTGACCGAGGGATTGCGATAGCCATCAAGGAGCTTGGCGCGATACTCAGCAAGCTGCTTGGACGAGAACTGCGGCTGGTGCTTATTCTTATTGCACCGACCACACTTCAGCCTGTTAGAAGTGATTAGCAGCTCGCACATGAAACCGAAGCCGTAGAGGTAATTGGCTCCAGTTGCGAACTTCAGTCCCGGAGCCTTGCCAGTCCGGAGAGGGAATCTGCAACTTCGCGAAGGTGTAGGAAAGTAAAGATAACTTACATCTCTGGGATCTTGACTTGCTTGAGCCTTTGTAGGGACTGTTAGCCACTCAAACTTCCCAGATATCGACCGTTGAGCTGGTGACAACTTACTGTGCGGCACCGTAGCTTCCCCAGCCTCCAGTGCTCTGATTCCAACCACGATTCTTACCCATGGTTGGGGTGTGGTGAGTGATGGAGGTAGAGTGTTCTCAATGAGGGTAGGCGGTGGCCACAGGATGCTGATGTAAGTGGAAGTGAGGTGGAGCAGCGAAGTTCGAGAGATGGAGGCAGATGTTTATATATCTGCGGTTGGCTGATTGGCCGACAAGGTCAGGCGAATGACTAGCTACCGTCGCTGCAAAAGGCCGACGGCTTGCTGCCTTGTGCTCCGACTCTCGGCCTCAATCGGAAGATAAGGCGGTCTGGGTTGGTGAAGTGAAGAGGCAATTGAATAATGGATGGCTGGTGGGGTGGAGGAGAGAGAGGGGCGGTGACGTGAGGTTGAAGAACAGAGAGCGGAAGGCCCGTGAGGCAGCCGCGACCGGAAGGAGACACGGACCGACAAAAGAGACTCTCAAGAGAACCTCGTGGAATTGGCTCAAGATGAAGAAGCGTGAGGTTGGAACCATATTTATCACCTAATACATCCCCAGGCATCGTTCCCTTCGTAACCAACGAGGAATCATCTACCAGAGGTTATGGTACTATTAAAAGTCTTACGCATATTGCTGCCGGACACGACAAAAGCCTTGGGGAAGACTACGAGAGCTATGTCGTCTCTAACAGAAGCGCTGGAAAGGCCGATCTCGACTCCAACTGTCATTTGGATGCCCTCCGCCAGCCTCCCTTATCAAGCGCGAGAACCGTGTCTTGCCCCTTCATCGCAGAACCAACTCTTTCCAAAATTCCAAGGTAGCCCGAAAAGACCTAGGCAAGCAACTGCAACTTCATGCGGGTGTTTCATCTCATACTTGAGATGCGCGTACCCGCGGTCCTAGATCGCGTCTTTTCAACGAAGTGTCACATCAATCTGCCATGAAGAACGTTGTCTAGTACGTACACGGTAGTTTAGGAAATCTAGGAACGTCGGACAGATGAGAAGGATGGGATATGAAGGAAACAGGCATGGTGGATTGGATGAAGTTGGCGAATCTCAAGAGCTACTCAAAGCTCAGACCATCCCAAGATATTTTACTCATCACAATGGTAGACTAAAGAGGTCATTCGCTCAAAGCACACCTATATCGATCTAGTAGTCCAAGCATACTTCATTTGGGATTAAGCATGGGTTGACGCTGTCACCCGCTTCAAGATTTCCTGTTGAAGATGACAATGCGTATCCGTTACCAGCGTTTCAAAGAGCCAAAGGATACCAAAATCGCCAACAACATCGTTTAGCATCGGCCACTCACTTCAACGCCTCTTTGGGGAGAACTTTATACCATAACCTTGTTTAAGAAAGCCAGAAGTAAGGCGGCGTCAACTTCCCGCTGACCACATCGTCGTTTATAATCTATAGCAACTTCAAACCCGTTTCGCATTCCTCGTCCCTTAATCTGTCAACGGTTGAATTAGCAATGTTCCCAATAGAAAGAAGACATGTGTGTACTTACATAAATAGCAGAAGACACAAGCCACCATCCTTCGCTATCGCAGCAGGGGACTTTCACCACCTCCCGGTATCTCCATATCCTTAATCGCCTCCAAGTCATCCTGAACCCCTCTGAGCCATCCTTAACCCCTTTCAAGCCATCCTTCACCACATTCAAGTCTTCCTTAACCTCCTTCAAGCCTTCCTTATCCCTTCCGTATTCCTTTCAAGCTTCCTCCACCCCATCCAAGCCATCCTTAATCCCACTCAGGCCATCCTCTACCTCCTTCGTCTTCCTTTACCCCTTCGTATCCCTTCACCTTCTTCGTCTTCCTTAAACCGTCCTCTTATCACCATTCCCCTCCAAGCTAAGGACGAAAGTCAGGGGCAGACGAGATTATATAGCGCGCGCCAAACCGTACAATATAGGACACATAGGTGGCCAGACAGCTATTCTCAGTACGAGCCATGGACCACAGTACTGACTCTCCCTCATCCTTGCAAGCTCTACCATTCAGGATTATGATCCCCCATCTACTATCGGACCCATCGGTATATATAATCCGGCATCCATCCACTATTAAGTTTGACTCACTGTCGCCCATCTCGCCCAAATACGAACTCGAGTACAGAAACCAACTGAGGCGACGTTTTCCAATGAATGCAAGCAAGCACTCCGCCAACCGGCCGAAGTTCCGCTCTGGCGGAGGTGGGTCCCGTGGGTACGAAGGTATTCTAGCCCACGTCGCGTGCAGTCATGAACAAACGAGACTTTTTATGCCTTGGAAATCAGAAATCTCCAAACAGCCTGGAAACACGAGAAAGTGCGGGCTTTCGGTCTTATGCATGGTTTCCTGCGTATATCCGCGCATAGTAATACGAATTCCTTACTTTTACTCTATGACTGGAAGAGAAGCCACTGACATTCCGATCTGCCGCAGAAATCATTATTTAGCGCTTATGCAGTACTTAAGGGGGTTTGATGGGGGTTAGAAGATGAGAGGGATAGATTGTGATAAAGATGGGCGATGGTGGATCAGATGAAGTTGGCCATTCTCCACAACCTCTCGACGCTTGGGCCAACATCGTCTCATCTCTAAGATAAGTTCTCCACATTACACATCTATCCTTCTACACGCCGCTTTCATTTCAACGTCTAGCACAAGAGTATAGCAGCGCATTGCTTGATCAAGTACACAGCAAACTATTCACGACTCATTACTCCTAGGCCGCCCGCAAAGATATTGCTTTCCTACCTCGCCGAGCACGAAAAGAAAGACCTCCTTTCCCCATCTCGTGAATGTGGAGCAGCTCGTCCAATCAGACGTCGAGTCTTAAGGGCAAAAGCAGTCCGGGTGAGCTCAAACCTTGGGACGTCGGTGGGTTGGGTCTCTTTTCGGTGCTCGACACCTTTCAAAGGCCAAGACCTGCCTGTCCAGGAGATTGTCTTTGATGACGTGCTGAATTCCTTCGTCTGCGTACACGCCACTCTATCATTACTTAGATGCAAGATGGAAATTTAATGATCGATATCTATGCTTCAAGATCGTCTTTTAGCTCTAAGAGGCAATATTTGCGCCGAAGTTGAGGTTTGAAGCATGAAAGGCTAGTATCTCGTGAATTCCATTCGCAGAGCCCAGCCATTTTCAATCATTTCTAGCAAATAACTCCTAGAAGAACACCCCCGGATATCTTTCCCATAACCATCTCAAAACCCTCCAGCTCCCCTGACCCTCTCAATCGCCCCCACAATACCCGTCGCCCATGCAAACTTCCCAGGGTTCTTGCCAATAGCGCCCTCCGCCTCCTTGCCATTCTCATCTCTCCACACACCATCCTCTTGCGACACCGCGCCGTAGAGATGCGTATTCTGGTTCCTCCGAATGCCATCGAGCCACGCTTTGCAGATCGTCGGGGAGTCGATCATGATATTCGCTTCTTGCGAATGATACCAGGATTGCGTGTCCTGGTTGCCGTTGCCTTGGATGCCGACGTACTCGTCCACAACCATCAGCTTGACTTTTGCAATGTTAGAATTATATATCTGAAAAGTGGAGGGGGATCTTACTATGACAACTCCGCTTCTTGAACTTATTATGAATCGGTTTCGTCTGGTCTTTACCAACATAGAAATGAACATGCAAGTTTTTCCTCTCGTCTTTCTCGAGGCCCGCATAGAGCTTGCTAGAAACCATCTCGTTCGTCCCGCCTTGGAAGGGCAGAAGCTCGCCAGCGTCGTTGTAGCCGAGACAGACGTAGTATACCACGGTTATGCCTCTCCGGCATGCGGCTAGGAGCTCTGGGAGGAGCGGCTCGGCGTTGAGATTGGGTGTCTGGATGAAGACGCTGGATTTGGCGTTCCGGATACATGATAGCCAGGCTTCGTTTTGCGGAGTGTTTACGCAGGCGTGATTTGGAGCGCCCCATGGTTTCCTGTTTACTAGAGCGATCGGGAACGGCTCGTGAGGTGCGTGTGGTATCAGCGGTGTCATGTCTTCTGCCGGATCGCACTCGGGAGCTGTCGCTTTCAGGTCTAGGTGGGTGGCTTCGTCTATGCGCGTCTGTTAGCTTTTGTTTTCTTCGCATGCCCAGATTACTTACTCAGATGTATCGCTACGCGATCCATCTTCTTCTCATTACCTCGTACTGACAACCCAGACTGTACTCGCGCGATCTCATCCGCAATGGAATCGTCCCAGTGCGGATCAGGACCCGTATGTGTCTTTTCTCGCTCTATATTCTGAGTCTCGGTGCCATCTGACTTCCGCACGTTGACGTTTCCATTCGCCGTGCGAACCTTACCTTCTGAATCGAACAAACTCAAGAAGCTCTCCAATTGGAACGTCGGATACTCTCCCTCGGTATTCGGCTTATTGTGCAGTGGTAACGGCGGGTCTAGCTTCTTATCCCACGAAATCAAGCAAAGATCGTAGAACGAGTCGACAATCGGCCCTTCCAAGTGCGTGGCCATCTCGCAATTGTCGTTACTCTGGATATTGTTCGAGCTGATGATTGCAATCTTCCGATCTACGACCATGAACTTGGAGTGGAAAGTTCCCAACATGGGCCGATGGTAGTTCATGACCTGCAAGTCGACGTTTGGGATCTCTAGCGGATGCGGCATATTGACCGCCTTGCTGCTATACGACTCTTCTGGTACTAGGGTGTGGTTGTCTACCAACTGTTTTACTGTCAGCTTCTTTTCTTCTACTTCCTCGTAGAAACGCCACTCACCTGTTTAATATGCCCCCGATCATAGATAATCTTCACCACCGCCTTAACCCCCCTCCCCCCCGCCCTCCGACTCAACTCCCTAACCGCATCACAAATGAGCAACGAACTCTCCGAGCTCAACCCTGCACACTATTAGCCCCATCCAACCCCCACTCGCTCCCACTCAACACACATACAAAAGTTCGTGGCCAGAAACACCTCTCTCTCCGCCCTTGCAATCAAATTACTCATATGCCGACAAACATCCACAATGCTCCCCACAATACTCAACGGAAGACACCCCCTGCTGCCCATCAAACTCGGGCTCACACACCCCATCAACGGATCGTGCTCCAGCGTCAGCAGCGCATCGTGGTACGCGCGGAGGAACAGCTCGCTGGGCCGCGTGTCCCCAAATCTGCCGCACTGGTACGCGCGCTCGAGGTCCTCGGGCGTCGCGGGCGCGCGGTCCTTGGACGCCTTGGGCTCGAGCACCGACACATTCCTGTCGCCCGTCGCACCACCAGGCCCGTAGAGCGTCGCTGCGATCTTCCCCGGCGGGGTGTCGGGCGCGCGGGCGTACGCGGCGGACACGGAGGCGCGGTCGGTGCAGTAGTTGTACACCTTCTCTGAGATGTGGGTCGCCATGGCGGCGCGGGGGACCCAGGGCTGGAGGTGCCAGATGTACAGCGCTGTAGATGCAGCGAGGGTGAAGAACGTGAGGACGGCAATCTTGGGGCTCGAGTGAAGGGGATTGGACGAGAACGTCTCGGGGAAACCGGGGAGGTGGGACATCTGTAAGCTTTCTCGCGGCGGTAAGCTCTGACTACCAGACCAGAGCAAATAAAGTGACTACTCTACACGCTTCCAGGTCTCAGGTACGCGCCGCCTACCGTTTCTAAGCGCGCAAAGGTGAGAAAGACAGCCTGTGTAAGCGGGCCCGACTGGCCGTGCTGTCAAGGGCCGCGCAATACACGTGGTGAGGACGTCATGGGCGGGCTCCCAATCAGGGCGGGCTCCCAATCAGGGCGGGCTCCCATTCAGTGCGGCCACACGGGTTATGACGCGCTTTGGCAGGAATCTGGATTTTGTGGAGAGTTGCAGGGCCTGGGGAAACAAGCAATGCCAAGGAAAATCAAGCCTTGGAGTGATCCGTGCTGGATGCGGAATTGACAAGGGCTCAGCTTGGCGTGCTTGGGAACGGTCCGGCCCACGCGTTATATCCGATCAGGGTTCAGAGGGGCACGGAAATACATGTTGGAATGGCTGCTACCATCGTTCGCACAGAACGGTATATGGCTAGCGGAACGGAGTATGCTATGCCAGATCAAAGACGGAACACATCTGGATCTATTCCGGGGTAAATTCCACCAATTTATGGTCTCCTCAAGTGTATGACATCTTCATAATGCGTGAAGCAGCTATCATCTCTCGTAATCGGAGCCCCCGGGAGCATCCGCAACCAGCCTAATTTATCAACAAGCGCCGAAAACACCCCTCCAATCAAACAAGACCCCTACTCTTGGAACGGCGCTGAAGACCTTGGCCAGACCCGTTTGTACAGCGAGCAAGCGACTGCATCCAGAGGATTGATCTTCCCATCGAAAGTGGCCTGTTTCAACATTAGTATAATTCAAGTTTGCCAACTGTTAGGAGCATGTCTTACCTTGAAGTACCCATGCGTACCCAGACTTTCACGAATAAAGCCGCTCCTACCCCTCTTCGTCCAAAGTTGCAGTGCTTTGAACCACGCCACGTCCTCCGAGTTGAAGAACATGTACCGCACAGTTACCAGCTTCTTGTGGATCTTGTATGGATGTCCAGTGAGAATGATCCGTTTGGTGACGACTCTGTTTGTGGATGGCGCGAGTGATGTTCCAGTCGCAACTAGGTTGAGTGATTGCGGTGTAACATCTTCTGGGTCTGATGGGACGACTCGCTCAAAGTATAGTGCAGGAACTGAACCCCATGTTAATGGCCCTATGAAAGAAGCAATGGCGTTCCGACCAGGATGGAGGTAGCGGTCGAATTTGTGGACGTCGTTGGGCGAGTTGCCCGCTGCTGAAAAGATGGGCTTGATGACCATTCTTCGTGGTCCACATTGGACTACGAACTCGGTTTTCGACTTGACCGGGACCGGGTAGCTGGAGCTTAGGGTTATGCTGTAGTTGATAGACTATAGAGGTATTGTTAGTGTCTACAACTGTAGAATGGAGATGTACTAAGGACCTACAGTGCGCTTATGCTCGTGTCGGAGAAGCGAGAACATTGACAGAATACGAGAAGGGTTGTACGAATGCTGGAATGACAGCGGTACATTTTTGAGATGAACATTGACACGAGTGCCAGGCGCCACACCTCCGACCAAGGTTTCTCGTAGCACCTTCTTTACAGCTCCTTTGAAGTCCTTCACCTCCAAGAGACGTGGCCATTCTGAGGGTTCATGCGGCTTGTCTTCATCAGTCTCCCAGTGACTGGTCCGCAAGCTCTAATTCAGATATTAGCATTTCCGAGGTCTGGCTTAGAAGATAATTAGGCTGGCAATGTACCTTCAATCCTCTGTACCTGGCCAGACGCTCTCTGGCAAGAACATTTGGAGGAAGTTCAATCTCGTCTGGGAACTCAAGATCCTCCTCAGCTTCATCTTTCCGCGTCCTTCGGTACTCGGCTAGCTGTTCAGCCTCATCCTCTGGAGAGGGATCTAAAAACATCTCCGACTGTGCATATGTTGTCGGAGCGCCTTCAGTAGGTTCTGGTCCATTGGGATCCATTCCCTCAACACCATCGGCGGGATTTGCTGTGCCCTCCATGTTGAAATCGCCTTCTTCATCTTCTTCGGCGTCCTCCAAATCTGACCCAGAGTCCGAAACATCATCCAAATACCAAGCTGATTGATATTTCGATGTTCCCTTTGGGAGTCGTTTCGGCTTCTGCCCATAGGCAATATCTTCATACTCGTCCGAGAAATAATGGTGATCGTCAAGTAAAACTCCTTTCTTCTCGGATGGTGCAATCGACATAGGGTAGTTCGATGCATCTTCCATTACCGCCTCTTCTGGTGCTAGCTCTTCTAGACCTTCTTGATCAGCTGTGGGCTCCTGTAGCAAAGCTGGTTCCGCATCCTCCATCTCCACCTCGCCGTTACGCTTTTTTGATGCCAGTGGTGCTGCAGTGATCTTATCGACCTGGAAATCACCCCAGTCTCCAACAGTCACTAATTTGTCTGCGTTCAGACCCCTCCCCCTTACTACGCCAGTCAGAACCACCTCTCCTGTTGCACCATCGGTCATAGCAGACTTTCCGCCTTGCCATTGAACATCCTCTACCATCATCCACGACCGTTGTTCCCTCCAACTAATTCCTTTCGGTATCGTGGTGCAGAGAGACCGTACTAGGTTGGCAGATTCTTGTCGAGAATCCAAGGAAAAGACCTTCTCTATCGCAGGTAGGAAATGATTGATATATGAAAGTAGCGAGGTAGCGATTTGTGTCCTCCGTTTTGGCGGTTCGACAGCATCTAACCCCTGAACTACCGTGAAACAATTCGACAATCCCTGACTCTCTATTGCCCTAAGAAGGTGCTCTCCTTCCGCATCCACCTCTTCCCCCGGCGAGAGCACAAAGACCACATAGTCTGCAATTCTGCAAGCGTCAAGAGCAGCTAGAAGATCCCTCTTCACCATTATGTATGCTACCTTCTGCTTGAATCGCTCGATGTTTGTCCGTACCCAGCCCTCCTCTGGCACCTCCACTTCTAAGTCTACGCCCAAGTTCAGACTTCGGACGGCGGCAGCCGACGAGAGGTTCGCGCACAGAGGTACGATCGCAACAATTCGGGGCGCACCATCTCGTCCGGAGAACACACCGGTGGCCTTGAGGTGTTCGCTATGGTTCGTGAGGCGCTTCTGCTTCGCTTGGTTCCGTCGGTCGAGTTTGGACATGACTTGTTGGTGTGGCGTCTTTCGTACGCCTTTCTCGGCCTCAATTTTACCTGTCGTCAGAGTCAATTAGCACAAGTTTCTACACGCTCATTGTACCCTCTGGGTTTCTTTCGACGAATGAGGAGAGGAACATCGAGCACGAACCTTTCGACCGATCCCTCAATGCACTTTTCGAGGCATGTCGAGACTTGAATCCCTTCTGGATCGCCTTCGTCGTGCTCCGGTGGTGGTGGTCAATAGGCGCCATGCTGCCACCGGCCTTGAATCTGAACGGTATACTCGCCAGGTTGGCTAGACTTTTGGGAGAGGATGGTCGTGTTGTTGAGTTTTGACAGCGGGCGGAAAAATCTCAGTGGGGGATGGATGAGCTTATCGATAAGCTCCCTTGAACAAAAAGTGGCAGTCTACGAACTCGTGGTCTTGATAAAAAATCTCCTATCCTTGATGAACACACTCTGTCTGTGCCTGTATACGCTTGCCTGGTGCTACTTGATGTTCTTAGGGACACTATCAAAACTTGTGAATAAATAGTTTGATAAAGCTCCAGGCTACCTCAAACCGTGCTGGACTGCCACTTTACGTTCCCGCCCGAGGGCAAGCCGACGCCAAATCAAAAAATTAAACCTCACGATTCTCAAGCTCCAACTTGCGCACCAGCAATCATGGACATAACGCCATCGGAGCCGCCAGCAGCTCCCCCCGCACGGCGGAAATCGAAGAGCATAAATCCCGCGGAGGCTGCAGAAAAAGAAGCGATCAAAAAGCACACCGAGGATGCCCAAAGCACGTATGGCCGCGGGAAAAATATTAGAACGCGCAGTGTAAAAGACAAGAAGCTGCGCGCAAACCTCAAATCCCTGGAGACCAAATACCGCGATGCGACCCTCCAAGCCAAGAATGCCGAAATCCTCCTCGAACACACCTCCGGATTCCTCGAGCCTGAACACGCTCTTGAACGAACCTACAAAGTACGGCAAGACGAGATACGGCAGGATGTCGCAATTGAAACGGCGAAGAAGGGCTTTGAGCTGAAGCTAGAAGGGTTGGGGCCTTATGATGTGTGCAACTATACGCGGAATGGGAGGGAGCTGTTGATTGCTAGCCGGAAAGGTCATGTTGCGACAATGGACTGGCGGAGCGGGAAGCTGGGCTGCGAACTACAACTTGGGGAGACTGTGAGGGATGCGAAGTGGCTGCATAACAACCAGTCTTTTGCGGTGGCACAGAAGAAGCATGTCTACATATACGCGCACGACGGTGTGGAGTTGCATAGGTTGGCCAAGCATATTGAGGTCACAAATATGGAATTTCTGCCCTATCATTTCCTTCTATGTACAGCTGTAAGCGCCATTCTTCTACTACCGGATTCCATTGGTCTTGGGCATTGCTAACAAGTTCCTCAGTCTAACTCAGGCGTCCTCCGCTATACCGACACATCAACCGGCCAAATGGTCACAGAACTCCCCACACATCTCGGTCCCACAACCGCCCTCTGCCAGAACCCTTGGAACGGAATCATGCACCTCGGTCACCAGAAAGGCGCCGTAACGCTCTGGTCCCCAAACTCTACCTCCCCACTCGTCAAACTCCTACCCAACCACGGCCCCGTGCGAGCCCTCGCAGTCGATCGATCCGGCCGATACATGGTCTCCACCGGCCAAGACCGCCGCATGTCCGTCTGGGACATTCGCATGTTCAAAGAAATCCACACGCACCACCTCCGCCAGCCCGGCTCCACTATCTCAATCAGCGACCGTGACCTCACCGCCGTCGGATGGGGCACCCAGGTCTCGATCTTCAAACCCGACCTCTTCACTAAAGCGCAAGATGACTTTGGGTTAGCACCTCGACCGAAAGTCCCTAGCCCGTACATGCAATGGGGCGGCGAAGGCCATGCGATCTCACGCGTTCAGTACTGTCCGTTTGAGGATGTGTTGGGGATATCGCATTCGTCTGGTTTCAGCAGTATCCTCGTCCCCGGTGCTGGTGAGCCGAACTACGACGCATTGGAATTCGGCACCAATCCCTACGAGACTGTCAAGCAGCGACAGGAGGGTGAGGTGCGCGCGCTGCTCAATAAGTTACAGCCGGAGATGATCTCTCTAGACCCGAGCTTCATCGGGAACGTCGATGTGGCGTCTGCCGAGCAGAAGAAGAAAGAGAAAGATCTGGATGCTAAGCCGGAGGATAAGATCACGAAGCTGAAGGAGCGAGGCCGGGGGAGAAATAGTGCGTTGAGGAAGCATTTGAGGAGGAGAGGACAGAAGAACGTCATCGATGAGCAGAAGGTTCGCGCGCAAGAGGCATTCGAATCACAAAAGGGTAGGGAAAAGGAGAGGGTTAAGCGCTTGGAAGTCGAGTATGGGCCTGCGCTTGCGAGGTTTGCGAGGAAAGGGACGATGTGATGAGGAAGTTGAAAAGAACACTAAGCATTTCTGTGGGTTATGGAGTCTAGCATGATGGTGTTTGGGACGGCGAAAAAGCGTCTTGTGCATTGATACCAGTAAGTGGGGATCCTGATAGCAAGGCGAACATGGTCAGATTAAGAACTTCTTTCCAAACCTTGTTCTCTATGTCATGCCTATTTATTGAAGTCGAACGAGGAAACACTTCGTAAACTGAAAGCTGGGAGCGTCAAAGAACTTGGATGGATCGAGATCAAGTTAACCCTAGTCCAAACTCTTAATCGCCAGATTTCGAGGGCCTAGCAGAAGGCAGATGATTTAGACCGAGACCCAGGAGCACGTTGTTTACAGGTCGAGAATCATGATATCACCGCCGTTAAAGTCATCGGGCGGACAATGGGGCGCTTTAACGAGGGAAGGTAAACGCTAAATCATACAAAACCAATTTCCACAACCAAATCTCACGCGTTTAAGCAAGCCCAGCATTTCCAGACTGCCTAAAAAAATAGTCACATCGCACAGTCTCACGAGGCAGAAAAAAGAAAACAGAAAAAGAATATCCAAGGAGCAAAACACCACCTCCTTCAGCTGGTGAAGGAGGTGTAGCTACCCCGAAGGGTTTCTCCGAAAACAATCCTGACAATGGCGGGGACTCGAACCCGGACCCAAGGCATTCATGTTTGGTGGTGGGGGCGGGGGTGGTGGAGGAGGAGGGTAGTAGGGGCGGTGCCATCGGGGCCATCTGTTGGTCAGTTGAGATGTGGTCAAAATAACTTAAAACATATACCTAGGCTCCCAGGTCGGAGGTCTGTGTTTGTTATGGTGAGGGCGACACACGTGATCGAGCAGAAAGAAAGCTCATTCCGTCATATATCTCAACGGCCATCCCTCACCACCACCTTCTCCCTCCCCGTCTCCTCCCCCAAACTACACCCCCAACCACCGCCGCCGCGGCCACTGCCCCACCCACAACCAGCGCCGTATTCCCCACCACCGTCTCCTCCCTCACCCTCCCCAGCCTCGTCTCCTTCTTCCCCCCCAACGTCACCCCACTCCCGCTCTTCCCCGTCTCCTCCCCAACCTGCTCGAAATCCCCCCAATCCACCTTCGACAACACCTCCTGATACTCCACCACCGTCCCGGACCAATTATTCGTAATCCTCCCCTCGCTATTCTTATACCAGCTCCGACACCGCTCATCCGCAAAACTGCTCCTCCCCAGCCTCTCCTGGATCTCCGCATTGAACTCCCTCACTCTCTCTTCCCTTGGGACGAGCGCGAGCGGCCGTCCTGCGCCGCGCGCGTCAAGCACGGTAGCGACGAGCGCCGCGAGGTACCGGCTCTGCGCCTCGATCATCAGCACGATGGAGTTATGCCCCAAGTTCGTGTTCGGGCCGTAGAAGACCCCGAAGTTCGGCAGCTGTGGGATTGTGGTGCCGTACAGCGCCGTCGCGCCGCCGCTCTCTTCCCAGATCTGCGAGAGCGCGCGGCCGTGAGCGCCGGTGATCGTGATCGGGGACAGGAACTCGGTGGTGCGGAAGCCGGTTGCTAGGACGATCAGATCCAACTCCTCTGTTCCGGAGGAGGTCCCGGGGGAGGGAGGAGGAGGTGCGGTGCCGCCGACCTCGATCCTGGTCTTCGTGATCCGGGCGATGGGGCGGGTTTCGAGATGGCAGTTTGGGGATGCGAGTGCGGGATAGTACTCGTCGCTGATGATCACCCGCTTGCACCCCGGCGCGTACTCAGGCGTCAGTTTCTTCCATACTTTCGGCTGGTTCGGGAACGCGGCACGCATCGCGTCGCTGCACCAGCCGCGGATCTGGTTCGAGATGTTAGAGTCCGAGTCCGTGACCGCGTAGAAGTCCTCGCGCATATCCATCTGCAGTGCGCGAGTGCGCCAGAGCAAGGGGGGCAGGTAGCGGAACGCGGTGCGGAGGAGGGAGGGGATAGGGGCGTCGAGGCGCGGCATGACCCAGTTGGGGGTGCGTTGGAAGAGAGTGATGGACGCGGCGGCTCTGGTGAGTTCGGGGAGGAGTTGGGCTGCGGTGGCGCCTGCAGATGTTGTGTTTACATTAGCTTTTGTGTTCTTCTTTTCAAAGCAGAGGAGATAGTATACATAGGAAATAGAAGAAGTCGGTGTATTTACCATTCCCAATGACCGCAATCCTCTTCCCCTCCAAATCGTAAGACCAGTCCCAACGCGCCGAATGCATGATCTTTCCCCCAAACTCGCCGAGACCCGGTATGTCTGGGTAAGCAGGTTGGTTCAGCTGTCCCACGGCTGAGATGAGAAAGTCGGATATGATGGTGTAGGCGTTGCTAAACTCGCTGTCTTTGTCCCCGGAGACCTTGACGTCGGTTTTCCATTTCAGCTCACTGTCGTCCCAACGGGCTTGCTCGACCGATGTGTTGAAGCGGATGTATTTATACAGCTTGTACTTTTGGGCGACTTGGATGAGGTAGTCCTGTTATATACCATCATCAGCTTAGAATCCATGTGGAAATGTATGTCTGGGACAATTCTCACAAGTATTTCTTCTTGTCCTGGGTAGACACGTGACCAGTCCGGGTTTTGCTCGAAAGAGTAGCTGTAGAGGTGGCTTGAAACTAATCAAGGTCAGGATAGTCAACTTTCTAATCTAGAAAAGGCAAAAGCTTACCATCACAGCAACATCCAGGATACTTGTTATCACTACGCACGAATCAGCTCGCCCATATCTCCCAAAGAGGACATCTGCAACTCACTGCCATGTGCCCCCCACCGCACTACTCTTCTCCAGAATGATAAAGTTGTGACATTTATTCCGTCTAATCAGGTCAATTGCCATACACATTCCTGTCGTACTCGTTAGCGTAGTCTCGTTCGAAGAGTATGCTTCTACATACCAGATATCCCAGCGCCTATAATGACAACTGCAGCGTTTGTGTGGTCTTTATTTCCCACTGATACCTGCGGCCACGGTTTTGAGCCACCCATTGCGGAAGAACTAGCAGGAGTAATTGCTATCGAGAGAGATGAAGAGGTTATCTGCGTCACGATCGAAACGAGGACTGGAAAGAGAAATATATACGCGTGCTATACGATACGCAATTGACCTCCAACGCAAAGCGAACACCTCTGAAAGTGCCCAAAAGACAAGAACGTAAGAAAAAGAAGACGACGAAGTCACCGATCAGAAGATCTATGCACAACCCACCCGACGTGCCGTTACAAACAAGTCATGTCGTAACCCACCCCCGAGCATCCGGAACCCCGTCCCTCATCCACCACTTCCTTTGCAGCTAGTCTGACACTCGTGCTCGATTGACACTTCCCATACCCTTTTTCCCGAAGTACAGCTCTGCCATTTGCCGAGCTCCGCACCTCATGATGCGCCCCTCCCCGCCCCACTCTGGGGAAACGTTGCTAGGGGTTAGGTTGTACATGTGTAGCCGCGGCACAAGCCTCGATGACTCGATACGCGCAGACATGCGGGTGCGGCCCGGGTGGCTAGTTCTGCATTAGAATCGCCGCATGTGCCAATTGCGCCGAATGCGGACATGTTGCGATCTGAGAGGTCAGTGAGAGATGTCGTTCGGTCAGTAATCCTGTTTCTAGGGGGCAACTCTCGTTACACTTGACGCCGGGAAGCTGCTGTCTGGGAGTCCGAGCACGAAAAAGAGCTCGGGGTGGACAACGGGGACGTTCAAGGTTGAGGATCTTAGGGTGACGTGAATATCCAGGGATGTAATTGGTGTTTAGCCGAGCGGGGTTTCGGGGCGAGGGAGATCGAGTCGCGGTGGGAGAGTCGAAGGTTGAGTTCGTGATGAATCGTGGTGAATGACTGTGAAATGCGAAGTCAAGTTGTTGAAGAAACCATGTGAGATTTATTAGTCAACTCGTGACGGCTGACATCGTCCATGCTTTGGAATTGATATAAGATGCCTATCCCAATACCGTCAACTCCGATGCTCCCTATGTCGTTTGCGCTATGCATGGTGCTCTATAACAAGAACCGCCAATCTCCGAGGCGTGCCCCGACGTACTTCACTAGTGGTCAGTCATACCATCATGCGGTCGGACCATATCTCAAAACACGACGGTGTTTTCGTCACCCCCTTGCCTCATTGCTGAAACACACCTCAAAGGGTGTTCTGCCAGTCCGAACCCACCACTGTCTCAAAACAACTAAACTTCTCCCCCATCCCTCGCTCTTCAACTCAATACCCCTGCTCTTTATGCCACTTCTCCTCCCATCCCGGAAACCATGGATACTCATCCAAACTCCCGACCTCCCAGTCCGCCAGCACAATCCCCCTCTCTACCTGCTCTTTCGCATACTCCTCTAAGCTCGGTATAACTACATGCTCCGTATGCCATGTGTTCTTATATTCCATCAGACTTTTCTTCCCCTCCTTCAATATCTTAAGCAGTAGAGCTGGGACGTAGGGCTCATCGCGGAATGTCTGTACAGGGGTGAAGATGGCTTTAAAGTTGAAGACAATACCCGAAGAGAGCGGCAGGCGGCGTAGGGTCTGCCAGTCGACACGCAGATTACAGCGTGTGATGTCGAGGTCGGCGTGTTGTACGTCGCGGTGTTTTTCGTGAGGGTGACCCGGGGGCATGTACAGGGGTTCGTCGACTTCGAGTCCCCAAGAGCCGCGTTGGATGGGTAAGTCGGTGGGCAGGACGGAGAAATATCTGCAGGGAAGGGTTAGTGGGGTTCAAAGAGATTGAAGGGAGGGGTAAGTACTTGTCCATGGAATTTCGCATGGTCTCATAATCGGGAATAGGGGCATGGATCTCGTGAAGCTGCATGCCCATTTTGGATCCCAGGTCCCAGCCGAGCGAACTACAGATCACGCCAGCGCGGAAGAAGTAGTAGCCTGTGTCTGGTTCTCGGAGCATGATGGCGAAGTCTTCTGGGATATTGTTGAGGATAACTTCTAGCGGATCCGTCGTTTTGAGGTGCGACTCGGTGTTCAAGATGGCATTGTGAAAGATCATCTTGTCCTTGTCCAAACGGAAGTAGTGAGGATAGCGGGCGACAAGAAACTGCAACGACATCTCCATCAACTCCTTGCACGCGAGCTCGGACCCAGGCAAGCTATCAAGAACATTTTTCCCGTGCTCTGCATAGAGATCTTGCCGTTGTTTGATTCGTAAACGGTAGTTGTTCTCTAATTCCAGCCACCAGTCAACCTGCATCTTTTTGTATGCTGCAATGTAAGTGATTAGCCCAGGATCATTAATCATCGAACAGCTGACATACACATAGTTTGATGATAGGCCCATCTTAAAGGCCGGTACGGTCTTGGAAGAGCTTTGTTGATATCAAATTGGTGGTATGGCTGAGGTAAGGGTACACCACTTAGTTTGGCATAGTCCGGGAAGTCACCCAACGCTTTGATTTCCTCGATCGAGAACTCCGCGGGGAGGTAGATGTCTGGCCCTGCGTCTAGGTAGGATGTTTTCATAGGCAGTGGTGTTTGGGATGCGGGGCGTTCAAGCGCTTCCGTCTTCCCGGGCTTCTCTCCACCAGTCAAGGTGAAGCGGCGAGATGGCGGGAAGCGTATCGTGAAGTCAATGATATCTTCTTTCTTCTCTTTCTTATCTGGGGATAGGGAGCGTGGCGGAGTATTTGAACCAGAATTGCGCCGACGTGAGATATGCAGACGACCTAGGACTACATCGCGGCGTTGTTTGTTCAGGGTAAGAATGACCAAAGCGACAACAACGGCAGCACCACCAAGAAGGGAGCTATAGAAGAGATCAAACATGGTGCATGAACGCAGGTAGGAAGAGAGACGAGGTTAAGGGGGGAAGAAGTGCGTGATATATAGAAGAGCGAAGTGATAGAAGTCAACAGTGATGTCGGGTGGCGGCTGCCGGCTGCGAGAATGCGGCGCTCCACAAGTTACACAGCAGGAGAAACAATGAAATGCGGATGAGGAGTGGGCAGACTTGACGCTGGTGGGAGACTGTGCCTTTATTGACTGCTCCGCGTCCCGCAACGAGTACCTGCGTGACGATAGAGGTTGAGCGGTCTTATCGGGGTCTGGAAAAGCGGGGAGGGGGTACAGCAGACAGCAGATAGGAAGAAGAAAGCATTCGACCACCGAAAGAGGAAAAGAGACTCGACGCAGAGGGCCGCGATTTAGCTGGGGATTTGGCGACAGGCTGGGCCAGCCAGCGCCGTCGCACAGCTACAAGTGCGAGTACATAGCGTGCCCTATCTGCGCCCAGAGGCTCTGCAGCAAATCACCGCTGGCGCCATCCCGGCTAGCGACAAGACGTGCTGCTTGTACGAAAGGGGCATACAAGTCCCTAGCTGCACCCAAATCACCACACACTCACCCAACCTGTCGTTTTTGTTGGCACCTTTGCCATGGGTTGACTGCAGACGCCTGGGGAGCGAATTGGAGTACAGGAGCACGAGAACCGAACTGCGCACCGAATTGCATCTTCGCTCGACTCTCCGGGGATTGCCACCCATGGCACAGCGTTATCCAGCTGCGTCCCCTGTTATTGCGCGTCTGTAGCCAGCAACCACCTTGTCGCCGCCGCATAGAAGTTTGGTATCGATTATCGATTGCCCTCTTGCGGCCAATTCTTCCCTCAAAGTGTGCTGATGAACGCCGGCTGTGGGGACGGAACCGTTGGCACGGATCGTCGTGATGCCATTCCACTCTGTACGCTGCTTGGTGTGTCGGAGGACTCCCCGGCGGGTGGCGCGGCTTGAAGAGCGCCGCTGTCGTGCATTGTGGAGTTGGAGTCGTGCTGTCTTCGGCTTGGAGCGATTGACGGCTTCTCGGGGATCACCTCCATTCCAGGCAGGTAGCCGAGGCATGTGTTTGCAGATGGGCTGCAATACGAGGTGTTAATATTCACAGGAGTGTCGCATTTGGCGTCCGGGCAGTCGAGGCTACTTGGGATTCCGTTCGGACTCGAGATGTTGGAAGAAGCAACAGGTGAGAATGTGTCTCTTAGTAAGCTGAAGATCTTCCTAGGGGTCGATAGAAGCAGTCAAAAACACGAGCAAGCTTTAAATTGACCGGTAGAATTTATGCTAGGCTACGAGAACGGCCCACACAGCGGAACCGGGCCGTACAGGAACATATAACTTCTTTCTCTCATCCACTAGGGGCTTCCCTCCAAGAAAACCTACAAACATGGCGTCCAATCAGTCTTCTTGATGTACTCCGCCATAGTCGTGCGAGGAACCTCGATACCAAGCTTCACAGAATCACGTCAGCACTCTATCTCCACATCGACTGGTGTTTTACGAGAAACTCACATCTTCGGGATAAACGACATCAGGATCGTTGCCGTCGTAGCCAAACTTGTCAATGTACTCGATCATATCAGCCAGCTCCTTGCCGACTGGGCCAGGAATGGCGTCCTCTAGCTCTGATCGCGGCGCCACTTCATAAGTGATCGTCTTGCCGTTGTGTTCGCCCCAGAGCGCCGCCCACTCCTTCCAGCTGAGCTTGCTCCCAGCGCCGATCAAGTTCTTGCCGGCCGGAACGTCCACCAGAGCTTTGGTGAAGCTGCCAACGTCGGCGCGGGGGTCTGTCATTGGGAACTTGACATCGCCAGACATGGAAACCCGGAGAATATACGTGCCATCCGGTTGCTGTGTCAAAATCAGTAAGTCGCTCTCTACTTCCCAAATCTTGGAGCAGCACATACCTTCCTCGGTGCCATCATTCCTCCACCCCTCCAGTTGGTCGCAAAGTACCCAACCTGCAAGAAGCTTGTCTTTTTCTCCAACTCGGGATACGTCGCCCTCAAATACTCGACCGCCTCCCACTTCGCATCGAAATGCAGGTTAAACGTAATCGCGCCCTTACTCCACTTCTTCGTACTGCTCAAAGTGCTCAACACGAACCGATCCAGCGTCTTGACGGTAGCCGCTGCCGCATCGACAATGTTCTTTCCTTGCTGCACCTCGATGTCGTACGCGACTTCATTGATGGTCCGGCCTTCTTGCGCGGCTTTGGCATGGTTGGCCGGGATCTTGACGCTCTGCCAGAAGTCGGTGACGCCGAAGGCAACGTTCGCGCCAGCGAAAGCTTTCTTCAGGGATTCGGCGTCGTTAAGGTCGGCGGCGACCATCTCAACGCCTTTGTCGGACCATTCTTTGGACGATCCTTTCGTCAGGTCACGTGAGATGCCACGGATTTTCCAGCCGGGGGTCTTGAGGAAGACGTCGGCGACAGAGGCACCCTGAGATGTTGTTAGCGGGGCGGTTCCAGCTTGAAGAGGAGGTGCGGGGTTGCTGGAATCCAGAATTCTAGAAGAGAGGAATGGAGACGGACCTGGTTGCCAGTGATGCCGACAATGACGATAAGTTTCTCAGACATGGTGGTGATATTCCGCTTGCTGAATAGATTGAAGGTTCTTGCTTTGGGGAGTATGCTTCCTCGAAATCTGGAGAGCATGTAACAGCCAGACAGATCAATAGGAGTAGTAGACTGTAGGACGATAGACGAGTTGATTGAAGACTGATGTTCTGATACCCTCAACCCATCCAGAGCAACCCCCTCTTTATACCTCCCCACCATCCTACCTTTGTCCCGCCAACTCTAACCTAACCTGCCGTTACCAACACGCGGCACCGACTTCACCGACCGACCGAGATGCTAGCCAAACCATGTTGCCAATGCGAAAACCATTACACTGGCATCGGGCCCTCTCTACAAAAGCGCAGGGCTGCTTATCTAAAGCAGCCCAAGCCGTATGTCAGCCAGACGTCCGAAAGCGCGTGACCAATCACACCGTCCAGATCCTACGAATAGCGCATCTGGCCCGCATCGCGCGAAGCTGGTTACGGTGTCAAAACACAATGGCGGCACAGCGGTTCCTGCTGTCAGCGTTTGTCGCGACCGGTTGGGGGCGCATTGCTGGTTAGGCTTGGAGGATCGCCTGCTAATCGCCTGTTAATTGGTTGTTGGTGGAGGAATGTTGGCACTTCTCGCACCGAAAAGCGATGAGGGTGGGATGTGCGTAGGGGCTTTGTCAGGGTTGAGTGGAGGATTTTCGGCGAGGCTGGTGGAAGAGCCGATGACGTTGTCAGCGGTTTGGTGGTGGCGCGAAGGCCGAGGCCGAGAGAGCGATGTTTAGCTAATGAGGTAATTATGAATTAACTAATGCCTTCGCCGTCTTTGCGGTGGCCGATTATTAGGAAAGGCATAGCTGCCGCGATGTGAACAATATTGTATTGGATAGCTTTCTGTATTTACTGAGAGTGCGTTCTGCTTCTGCTAATCTTGGATCTTTTCCTCGCTTGCCCTTCGATTTGTAAAGGTATATCGTTTAGGTAGAATATTGATACAACCCGCAGCTTTCAGTTTCAGCTGGGACAAATACATTTCACGTACTTCTTGCCTCCTCTAAACATACTGGAGCTGCCAGCTCGAATTCCATGTATCGACTTGCTCGTAAAGTTGGGAGTGAATGGCAATGCTGCTTCGCGTGATTATTCTTAATGAGGAATAATGATGCCATCAAAATCGAGCCGCGATACAGTTTCGGAGATCGAATGCCTATTCAGCAATTTCAAGGCAATCTATGAAGTTTATCCATCCCTCAGGCCTCCCGAGATCCTCAACACCAAAAACGCTCGGACTCCAACGCGTCTCCCCATCACGTCTCTCACCACCTCCCGCCTCACCACAAAACAGCCCTCATACCCCTCACCACAACCTCAAAATGTCCGACGACGACTCCACCCGCGACGAACGTCTCAAATCCGCCCTGTGGTACTCAATCGGCCAATTCGTCGACGAGCAATGCCTGCAGCAAAACCTCAACGCGACCCCGCAATTCATCGGCGCGCTGACCGAGCTCGTGTGGACGCAGATCGGTAACTGCCCTCTCCCCAAAAGTCCTCAAAGAACCCCCCTTCCTAGTGTCCGAACGCAAAACTTGAGGTATAAGGGCGAAGCTGACGCGTTGCAAAGCAAACACATCCCGCGACCTGGAGACCTTTGCGAAGCATGCTGGCCGGGAAGTTGTGCAGACGGAGGATGTGATGCTGCTTACGAGGCGGAATGAGGGGCTAGAGAGTGTGATGAAGACGTTTGTGGATGAGTTGAGGGCGAAGGAGGGAAGGCCAGCGGTGGGAGGGGTGAAGGGGAAGGGGAAGGGGAAGGGGAAGGTTGGGGCGAAGGGGAGGAGGTGATGATACTGTGGAGGCTCGGGAAAATTGGGGAGCTTTGGCTGGGTAGGCTTTGACTTGGAAGTCTTGAGGGCGTTGGGGGGGATACTGTTACACATTGGCTTGACATTGAAGGGTAGGAGTTCGGATGGCACATTTGCATGATATCCAAGGCAAAGGCGTTGCGACGGAGCTATTTAGGAGTATCATGCTCTCTCTGATGAGGGGTCGTAGATAGCCAGCTTCACGATAGAAACGCATAGATTGGTCAAATGACATGGTCTATGATATTACATCTGCTCTATGGAGAGCACATTCTGCACACAGGGTATCAAAACAACACTCAAGAGGCAGTGCTTCGAAATCGACGAACTGATATGCAGAAAGAAAACGCTGAATTCAGCAAAAGAGCGATGGTAGAGATAACGTATGAGGAAGAATTAGGTAACAATGATCTCAACGCTACGCCTGCAATGTCCAGAAACGCCGTAGGTACCTGCCGACAGCGTATCAAAACGATAGCTAACCAGCTTACCCACCAAGCCCATATACACAAGGTATATCTATGTGACGCCGAAAACTCCAAAAGTCTAATAATCCATCCGATCCGTTTACCGTTTTCCTTTAGGTCTCGCTCTTATTGTTCGTCTTACTTTGACTCTTCTGCCAATATGTCTTGCACTTGACATCCACTGTTCTCGTCTTTGCCACCTCCCCTTTCCGCCCAGCCTCTATCACCAACGCTGTCAGTCTTCCCCCAGCCACACACCCGCTATCCAACCCGAAGCTGTACTTGTGAATGTTTTTCCCTCGCTTCGAATCATGCCCGTACACGACCGACGACCGCTCCGCTGACTGTGGCGGCACATGGGACTGGTACTTATTCCACAGCTTCTCCCATGGCGTGCCCTCGCGATTCTCGCTCGGCAACCGGGTATCCAGATCGATTGTCCGCATATTCATAACGTGGTAGGGGTCTTGGCGCTCCAGCGGGATCCCAGGGACCAGTCCCGCATGTACAACCACCATTTCGCCCAGCCCAGCGATCTCTCCGACGCGCAGAATAACCGGGCATGCCTGCAGCCACTTAATTTGCTTGTCGTCGAACTCGCGCGCTAGTGAGCGGAAGGTATAGTCGCCGTGGGAGAAGCTCTCTTCGTCAAGCAAATCTTGTGCATCGGTAGGGTCTTCGGCTGGGCCGGGGAGGGCGGCGTGGTGTCCGCGCATGTCGGCGAGGGCGAGCAGCATGCGGTCTTCGTGGTTCCCGCGCACGCAGGAGGCGGAGAGGGAACGGGCGAGGGAGACGACGCCGGCGGAGTCGGGACCTTTGGAGATCATATCGCCTGTTAGGGTGAGGTGGTCGTGAGGAGCGCGGAATTTGACTTTATCGAGAAGGGCTTGTACTGTTTACCAATTAGCGGGTTCTCTCAAAGTGTGAAGTAATTGGGAGACATACGCTCGTCTTTACACCCGTGTACATCTCCTACTATGACGAGCCTTTGCTTGAAATTCTCGTCTGAGGGCAGCAACCTGGTATCCATCGACTTGATCTGGATCATATCTGAAAACTCCGGCCGCATATTCGACCCAAAGAACACCTTGTCTTCGTTCAGCGACTTCTCAATTGCACGATTGCTCTCCCAATCTGGTTGAAATATCCACTTCCAGCTGACCCATGCCGCTATGAGCAGTGTTGCATATATGACGAAGTATCGCTGCACTCTCCGCGGAACGTGGGAGAGGCGGCTCGCAGGAGCTGCGACAATGCGTTTCCATGGTGGGGGCATCTCCTCGTCTGAGTCGCGGCGGTAGTACTCGTCGTCGGAGTCGTCGTAGTCCGCGTGCTTCCAGTCACTGGTGGCCAAGTCAATGAGCGGGCGCTGGGATGCTTTGAAGGAAGAATAGAAGGTGTCGGAGGCGTGCTTCTCGGGATCGCGCTGGTTGTCAGCCATGAACTTGGCGTCAGCACGAAGGGCGGGCGAAGGCTGTGTGGAGGCCACCAGGGTTGCAGATGATGTGGTGCTAGAAAGGGATCGGCGTGGGGAGTGCTGCCGATGTGTTGGGGTGGACACGAGGGATGATGGTGGCGGTTGTTTGGGTTCGTAGGGCTGCAGCAGTGCTAACTCAGGGCTGGGGTTGTTCTTGTAGTGATTGCGGTCCAGGGCTAAGGGATGCTCAGTCTGGGCCGATCCAGGGTGGTCAGGATAGAGGTTTGGTGTTGAGAAGGGCGTGAAGGGGAGGGTTGTCGAACCCGAATCACGAGCAAGAGCCATCGTGCTTCTGCTTCGAGCCCAGCCGTGTCCGTAAAGAGGGCTGCCAAGTGCCTTGGGGCCTTGGCTCGGTGAAAATAGCAGTCAGGGCGGTGCTAGAGGAGTCGACATGGAACAGGAGGCGAGACGTGAAGCCGAGAGCGATGTCTACAACTGGCAGCATCAGGCAGACTCTGCCAGGGACCTGGAATCCTTCACAGCCCCGCCACACCGCGTAATCTTTGTGTATCTAGTCACATCGTCACTAAAATGACTCGGTCTTAGAACAGGACGGCCCGAGCCACAGGACCAGCTTACCGGGTCACCGGGTCATCCCCCGAAGCCTCAACACTACACCGTCTCATACTCAACTCCTTGGGCATCCATTACCCATTTGCTACTCGGAATTTTGACAGACTGACCAAAAACGACGTGTTTCAGCGTACATGGTCTCCACAAGTGGCTATAGAACTCTACAAGAATCCCTTGTCAGCAGGTGTAGGCCTGAGGGGATGCAGCTGGCCTGGACATCATCAACACATGCATTGGCTGCCATGGGCGTTTCTTACGGCAGCATACTAATGGCAAGGAGATACTACTATCATGTGAATCCAACTGCGCACAGCATGACAAGCTGGGCATGGAGGAACTAACTAGCTGGAGCTATAAGCACCAGCAGCTTAAATCGCACTGACAAATGCTACGTCTCTTCATGGGTTTTTCGGCATCCTGGAGCACCCCTGACAGCGAGCCGCGCTTCCGGAGACATTGCATCTATTTCTCGATATCGGCACTCTCTTGTGGCTCCTCTGACCATGTCGTGAAGATGTCGGAATTAGCGGCATGAACGTCACTTTCAGATTCTGCCATCTCGTCTTTCTATGTCCCTCTCGGGATCCTGGTAAACAAATATCGAACCACGGTTCCTCTACAGAGTCGCGCCCGAATAGCCATCACAGTTCCATGGATCGAGCTTTTTCGGTACTTCCCCACTACAATTCGAGTCATGAAGAGGAGGTGGCGAAGTTGTATATGAGAGTGGAGAAGAGAATATGTTGTGAAGGATGAAGGATGAGGGGTGAGAGAGGGAAGGAGAAGAAGAAGGGGAACACCTGAAGACAAGACACAATAAACACTACCCAAGTACGATAAGAAGTAGCAGCTGGTCAACGAAAGGCATGGGGAGGAATTTCCTATATTCAAGGTACCTCTCATTCCTTAACTCGACAGTCACTGCTCCAGTTAAGGTCAGAGGAAGTCACGATGCCACGCGAATGAACAGGCTGCATCAATTTGCGATGGAATCTCATAAGTATATTACTCCCAAAGGTAAGATCTGAAGAACTAGACTAAGACACGATGAAAATAGAAGTTTCCAAACCTAATGAAAGCCTCCTGATATCATTTTCAAGGGGCGTAGCGAAGGGCAAGAGATGGACTAACCACTGCTCAGCAGGCAGTAGTAGATGGTCACGATGGAAGGCGCCGTGTTTGGGGTTCCTTTTCGATGGAAGGTAAGTTCCCTTCCATCACGGAGCTCACTACTTCATTCACTTGGATAGGGGAAGTCACGATATATGCACAACTGGTTGGGGCCCTTCAATGCATCACGATAATCCCAAAACTGCGCGGGTCTCAAATGTGAGATTTGAAGAGCCGGAGCTGTGACATTGAGAGTGGAGGTTTTAAAACCTGTCGGAAGCGTCCTGACGCTGTCCAAAATCGGCAGACCTCGTAGGTGTTTTCCAGCTTCAATCAACAGCGCGTACAATCTATCACTCAATTTCAAATTCTGATTACCTCCTGAAGCACTTCTGGTGTCGCCAAGTTGAGCTCAAGCGTCACGCATCTCAAACGCTCAATTTGAAGACAGAAGAGATGGCATCAAGGTTAAATTTTGTTTTGGTTTGCTGAGGGACTTCCAACGTCGTCAAGCAAGTGTATACATTTTAAATTAGGATAGAAGAAAGTTTTTGACTCCCTCGGTTTCAAATTTTTACGGGTACCCAAGAGACTCCCGGCATCGTCAAGCCTGAGCTCAAGCCTTTCATCTCACAGGCATTCAATTTGAAGAGAAGAGAAAATACCAAACACCCCCGTAACCTTTAATAGCCCACTGTGGGCCTCCGCCATCGCCAAACCAGAGCTTCGTCGTCTCCAATGATGACGAAAGCATATGCATATGATCCAAGCTCAAGCTGTCAGGATCTTACTCAAGGGGTTGGATGACCGAAGAAGCTCCTGAAGTAGTCCGTATCCCAATCCCCACGCCATTCATCATTACCACCTGTACCGCCAACCTTACCACTAGCCTCACCACCAGTTTTACCATTCTCCATATCGGCCATCTTCCGCTTCTTCGATGCGCCCTCAAACGCCGCCTCAGCACCCTCCTCGAACCCGTCTAGATGCCACTTATCCTCCGGCTCCTCCGCCGCATTCGGGGTATCTTTTCGCTCACTATTCATCGACACTGTATATTGAGCCGCGTTTTGGCCCCTACCCTGCAGCGAGATGAGTGGCTCGGGGGTTTCATGGTGCTTCCGCTTCTGCCCCACTTTCGGACTCGGGGTCGTCTGATTGTGAGGCTGTTGCTGTTGGGAAGGAGAAAGCCCTAGGATACGTCCTGCCCTCTCTTGCTCGAACTGCTTCGCCTTTTTGACACGCTCTCGCCATCTCCTAAACTTAGCTTGCTTGCCTGTAGGAGTAGTAGGTGGGGAGCCTGCGCCGCTGCTCACCGTGGGGCTCTGGTGAGATGTTTCGGAAGATGGTGTCTTGATCTCTTGAGGAGCGGTGGTGTAGGTAGGCGGCGGCGGCGTGTCCTCCCTCAGTGGGCATAGCGGGAGCGTGCACGGGGTACGATGGAAGTATCCTGGCGGTGGCTGAACTGGGACGCCCGGGGTGATGGTATGAGAGAATGGGCATGCGCTGCCTCCTCTACCGCGGTGGCATGTGCCGTTATGGTACCAGAAGAAGCAAGTGCGTCGGTTAGATATGTCCGGATTCTCCGATTTGGGGCCTGTAGGTGTCTTAGGGCGAATCGCGAGCGGGTATTGCTGGCCCTGCGAGGGGACGATGAGAGAGGCGAGAAGATCCATCGCGACTGGTGGTGGCGCCGGTGGTGTGGGGTGGCTTGAGGCGCTATCAGTAAGGCCAGCGGGTTGGAAAGTGAGAGGGGTTTGTAGAGAGTTGGCGAGGAGGTGGTGGATGATGTCGATTCGGGCGTTCTTATAGCCCTGCATTGCGGCGGAAGTGGTGAATGCAGGTGATGAGATGAAGGTCTTTAGATGCCGCCGAAACGTGGTAATGAGAGCGTGAGGACCAGGTGCGCGTTGATGATGTTGTTGTGGGAACCAGTTCACCACAGGGTAGTGGCTTCAAGGAAGAAGGTTTCGAAGTAAGTGAGGTGAGACGAAGGCCATGTGTTCTAAGTTTGCTTCTTTTTCTGCGACTGTCTGAGGTCCTTCAACCTACTTTCAGAAATATAAGGGTGGTGGAATTTCGTACTCTCGAACAACCTTTTAAGCTCCCCAGGCCATTTCTGACGGCGCCCTCCTGCCTATTTCCTTCCCGTCTCCATGATAAGGACGGCTTTGAAGTAAGTGAGCCGAGCTGAAGGTGATGATTTCATGTCATTACACCGATTACTCTCCCGTTGCAGGCGTTAGTACGCGTTTTTGCCACCGTCTGAAGTGCCTCAACACACCCTCCAAAATCCCTAATGGTCGAGACTTCCTCCCTGCCGCGCTCAAGCGTGCGGGATACTGAGCTTAGCTGAGGTATGTTGCGTTATGCGTAGGTGATAATTTCGCGGCCTTTCTTCCATTGACTGCGAGTCATGGGTTTGTGTACACTTCCTGCTACTGCCTGAGGTGCCTCAACACAGCTTTCAACATTTAAAAGAGTTGGAAGCTTGCCGATTTGGGCGACCTGAAAATCTTCTGGACTGCCTGAGGTGCCTCAACACAGCTTTCAACATTTAAAAGAGTTGGAAGCTTGCCGATTTGGGCGACCTGAAAATCTTCTGGACTGCCTGAGCCAATGCTCCCCTAGTATAACGACTATCTGCTATACGCAAAGATGCAGAATGTTGTCTCTCTCCCGAAGCAAATCCAGAAGTGACATGCTCTCAGACTCCTCGTGCGTTCCCTCGTCATGAGCTTGTGTATATCGCTTTACTATCGTCTGAAATACCTCAGTGCACTTTCTTACGCCCAACCGAAATCGGCTCTCGCGGTCTTATCCGGTCTATCAGCTCTCCAGGCCACCTCTACCCTCATATAACCTGTCTCCGCCGCACGCACAGATATACGACACTACGACTCCTCCAAATCATGTTCAGGAGAAAGATCTCCTCCTTCCGTCTATCTACTAACTCGTTACGGGTTTGGAGTTTTGCGCGCTCCTTCACCACCGTAGTCCCTAAATATCTTTTCCTAACTGCCTAACATACCTAAACCTAACCATTATGAAAACCCACTAGGCTTACGAAACTACTTCAGACAGCGGCATTCCCCAAGAGCCTGCTCCCCATACCCAGCGATTCAACGTTCAAAACATCTGAGCGCCGCTCGCGTCCGCTGATCCGTTACCCATCTCCGCTTCACGTGCCGTCAAGATCCTTACTCATCACCGGTATATAAACATCTCTCCACGCTCTTGAGAACGACATGGAGGAGGAAAGGACAAGGTGGCGGAGTCATATTATTGGAGGAGATGGAACCGTAGGAGATTTGGTCCAGCAGCAAATGGAGGTGGAAGACGAACTTATGGCTGTGGGTGGGAGTGGTGCAAAATAGTATCTCTCACTCGCGATGTGGTGGGAGTGGTGCAAAAACACCATAGCAAGCACCTCCCTATGGGTGGGGTGTGGGGGAGTGGTTCAAAAGCGGCTTATGGAGACGATTATGGCTGGAGCGGAGGAGAGTAGTTGTCTTAAACGAGGTGATGATGCGGGCCTCCGGCAGGTAGCAATTATGGTGGTTGAGCTCTTCTGATTGGAATGATGTCCAGCTTCTATGGAGGACAGCGACGAGCAGGAGACAATAATAAGGAAGCTCAGTGATCTGAGAAGATGGTCATGATCATTATGTATGAGTCTTCGCTCGTCTTCAAGTAGAAGTGTCAAGCGATTCTTCCTCCCTCCTCGGCACTTGGCTCCCTTGACAGTCCCCTGGTTTGACACAATCGGCGGTAGCGTAGTACACTCGCCGCCGGACTCCCCCTCCCCTTTGCCACGAACCGAGTTCCTCGCTGCCGCCATCCCCATAGTCGAGAGAGAGCCTTACAATCAATCGGACTTACACAGCCAATCCCACTGCCGATCTGCAAAGCGCCGCGGTGGAGCATCGCAGGTACTAGTTTCCTCCGCCGATATGAGGGAAAGATTAGAGTGAAAGCAACAGTTAGGGGATATAGTTGGCGTGTGTAGGTAGCGAATCAGCCGCGTCTCTGGCGGCGCATCATGGCAAGTAGTATGACGATGGGGAGGGGGACAAGGACGACAAATAATGCAAGAGACAGGCTGTTGGAGGACTCGGGTGTGGATAAGATATTTGGGGAGCCTAGATAAAGAAGGAAAGGGGAGGTTCTGGCGAAGGTTTTGGGGAACCGTCGGCCATCCATAAAGGAGTTAATGACGTGTTACGTACAGGAACGAGAGTCTGGTAGGTGGCAATAGAGCAGTGTCTCTATATATACCGGAAGTGGCTGACCGAAAAACTGCAAAGACTCTGTGATATCACCCAAAAGCAAGATACACTTCCTCGTGACAACAGACATCGTAAAAGCAATGCTAACTCCTCGTGATCGCCACTTTTGTGCCCAAGACCGCATTCGTCGTTACTTACGCGCTCGCCGTCACCAGAATAGTCAGTCCAGGGCCGACTCCCTCATCAGTGCATAAACGAAACTGAATATATCTTCATCGTCGCTATACGAGAATTCCGTCGTGCTCATACATTTCGTCTGCTCGACACGCAAGTTGAGATCGCTGGAATTGCACCAGCATTTATCGTGGTTGCAGCCACTGAAACATACGCTATAGAAGTCGCAGCTCTGTACGCATGCGTTGAGGTCGAAAGAGGTGGTGGATGATCCCAGGAATGGTTATAGCCCTTAGCGAGGCTGCGGTGTTGAAGTACGGGAACAATAGAAGAGATCCGTAGATCTTGTTCAGAGGATGAGTGAAAGAGGAAGAGATTTTGAAAGGCGCAAGAAACGGGGAGGGAGAGTTCTAAGGTCTCGGGAATACGGAATATACCTATTCTTGAAAGGTCTGTCCCTGACTAATTGGTAGATGGTCTCTGACTCGAGAAGCTGCAGACGGGTGATAAGTATATAAAATATCTGGGCGCCATGATCTTGCGAGCGAGTGATAGTCACTTAAGCCTGGTCCCCTAGCAGTCCTGATCTGTGCGCATCGAATCTGCTTCAATACGTATGACATTCTGGTACAAGAGGGACAGCTATTCTCTTCACGAGGATGGCGTCAGTTGATACCTTCTCAGCGTTGTCTGAATGTCGATCTTCTACGTGTTAAATACACACAGGGAGTCTGGACAAGCAACTACAACTTGCAGGCCCAAAATGAGAAGTGTTTTTGCCGTCTTCATACGGTATGAAGACTCCAATTACTTTTCAGCTATGTATTCTTTTTCTTAACATATACACCATGTTCATCACAACTTTCCGCTGCAAATATGTCTCCTATCTTACAACTTCCCGCAGTAAACTCCCACCTACGCCCTGAAGTGCTGCACAAGCCCATGAATACGATCAATGACCACCGGCATAATCGCGTTACTACTCTCCTCTATCAACCGCTCAAAATACCTCATCGCCTCCTCCTCGGTTAGATCTAACGCTAATCTCTCCTGCACTTTCCACACCGCCTTGTCAGGCTCGAGCCTAATATCTGGGATGTTCGCTTCTCTCATCAAGGCGAACAGATTTAGAATCAAGTTCGCCTGCTTCCGTAATGTCGAGTATGCAGTAAAGCAGTACGACTTGAACTGCGCATAATGCGCGTGGCCGGTCCCGCCCATACCATCAATCATCTCGTGGCTGAGTTTCATGAGAGGCGCGAAGGGCTTCGGATCGCGGCCGAGGATGTAGCCGAAGTCGACGTGGAAGAAGTGGCCCGAGGGAGAGAGCAGGAGGTTGTCAAGATGGCGATCACCGACGCCGAGGAGGTAAGTGATGACACAGTATCCGGCGCAGGACTTGATATAAGTATCCATAGCTTCCTTGCGGACGCCGAGGGGTGCGGTGTCATCGGGGTTGTTGGCACGGAGGTAGGGGAGGATACCACGGTGCTTGGCGATGGCGGCGGCGAGGGAGAGGGAGGGCACAAATTGGACGGCGCCGGCAGAGGTGGAGGTGGCGAGGATGCGGTACGGAGAGAGTTTGAGGTCGAGGTTTTCTTTGCGGAGGAGGCGGTCCATTAGAGTTATGATCTGGACGACGAGTTGGTCCTGACGGAGGTCGTCGCCGGTTTTGAAGATGATGGGGTATTTAGTATTGGTGGTGGTGCGAAAGTTTAATTGAAGGGGGAAGAGACTTGATTTTAGGACGTTACAGTCGTCTGGGTATATGCCGGTGATGAGAATGGATGGGTCTAGGGGCAAGGGAAGAGGCGGATCAATATGAAGGAGATCGTTCTTTGGATCCGCGAGGTACTTCTTTAGCCGCTCGATCTTTCGAGTCCGGTCTTCCCGGGAAAAGCGGGCGTCTTTCGAAATTTTGGACAGCACAGTAATAAGCTCAGCTTGACGGAGGAAAGTCTTTCGTCGTGCGAGGCCATCTTCTGTCTTCTCTAGCTCGACCATGAAGTCGTACTCGACTTTGTGGAATAATTTCCGGAACTCTGGGCCTTGTTCCGGACTGTGGTCGTCGCATTCCACCATAAGATACCAATGGAGGAAGTTGCCTAGGATCAGGCTATCCTTTGCTCTGGAAATCAGAAAACGAGCTAGAGAGGAGCTCTGCGCTGGATCACTGTCAGCCATTTCGGGGGCTACAGTCTCATACTTGAGAGCCTGAACAAGCTGCAGGAGATATACGAGAAGCTCATCGTTATCGGCTTTCCGTAAACGGTCTACGGCATATGCTCGGACGATAGGACTAGTGAAAGAGGGTCCTAGTAGTTCTAGGGCATCATCGACGTCTATTTCTGCCCATTTCGCCAACATAGGGGCTGCATTTTGGGCTTCTCGTTGTTCGTGCCAAGACACCGACTTGACGAACTTAGTCAAGGCGCGCTTATCTCGACACAAGTAGTACCGGAAAGTCCAGAGGTGATCCCTTTCCGAGAGAGTCAAGGAGTGTGTTGGCCCGTAGTTCATGATGGCATTCAATTCATCTCTGATCCGCGCGTTCGGCTTCATGTCACGGTCTGCGAGTCCAGCATTTCGCCCGCGGACTAGCCGTCGGTGTTTGACCTCCACTGGATTCTCATTGAGACCTATTTCTGGGTCATAAATCCGGACCAGTCTTCCAGCGTAGGCATCCCCGTAGCCGTTACCGTCCACATTGATGCCAGGGCCAAAGGATACTTCGGGGGGAGGTTTCAGTCGAACTTCAGACATCATTGATGACTGCAGGTTTGATACTGGGGGCGGCGGATACTCCTGGTCGGCGAAGACGATGGGATGGTCAAAACGCGGAAGTTCGATATGTAGATAGAACAGCTCTTCATCTTGTTCGTCGTCAACTGATTCACTAGGTTGGTCTGAGATTTGTTTGTCCTTCTGAGTAGCTGGCGGGATCTTTAAGACGTCTTTTCGGAGCTTCATCATCTTGCGATAGACCATCTGGTCTAACCAGTGATTGGTGGGAAGCTCGTTCATCTCCTGCTTCTTCAACAGCGCCTCCAGTCTCTCCATCTCTGCGACTTTCTCGTCCACCACATCAACCGAGGTCTTGACATCCTTCCGACTCCTCCTAGATGGTTTCTTTATCCAGGGAGTTGTGGTCGAAGACAAGCCGTCTGCGGCCTTGTGGCGATGTAACCGACACCTTTGTCGTCCTTTGAGGAGAGTGTGGTCCTCATCAAATAGTGGTATAGTAGTCCCTCCAAATGGTATAGAATGCCCTTTTGCGCCTTCACCACCAGTCGGAGACAAATCCCATATCGTTATAGCTATTTGTGAGGTGAGGGGGAGGTCGTCGTAGCCGATGGGTAGCTCCAGCCACTCGTTCCATATTCGGCCGCTCTTGAAGGCCTTGTAGGTTGTTTGCATAGGCAGGGTAAGGGGCTTGCTGTCGGCCCATATCTGGGCAGTGGCATACAGCTCGGAGTTGGGACTGGTTCTGTGAGCTTCTTTCACCTCTCACTTGGAGCTTAGTCAGTCTCACTTTGCGATGGAGGCACGGTGTCTTAGGTCTGGTCTCTTGAGGAGCACCGAGTAGGGTAGGGGCTTCTGGTTGCCATCTAGCTGGTGGCTGGGAGCTTGTTAGGCACTGATACAGAGCTCTAATACAACGAACCCACATCTTAACGTTCACCTTGAGCTTGATAGAGGAGGAAGTTGCAAATGAAAATGTCTCCATGGCTACAGCCTGGACAAGGGAGAAGCACTGAAGTTAAGAGGAAGAGTGAACTTGAGTGTCATGGCGGGGTCTCACGATGACAGGAGGTCAGTGTCTCGATGCCCTGGATGATATTCGTGGGGCTGACGATGGATTCGGCTTAGTCACGCGCTTTGGCGCGCGAGCGGGCACACGGTCAACACCATCTGGCAGGGCAGCGCGTCTCAGTCGACGCCGGCCGCCCCTTGATCCATCCTTTCTTGACATACCCAGAACTATCTCTCATCGTCTGCGAGACCCCTCAATCCAGCGACCTCGCCCATCGCATTACGCGCCCGAGCTGCGCCGCCGCTACAAGCACAGCCTTGTCTCGCCGCCGCGTCAGGCTGCAACTCCTGAGCCTCACCAAATTCACCGTTCCATGACCTAGCGACCTACACAACCATGGCGCGCCTCAACCGCGATCCAGAAGACACTCCTGCTCCGAGTCGCGAATCATCGCTGTACCGCGATCCAACACCCGTCTCTCAAATCGGCACGCGACGACGACCGCAACGCGCATCCACACGCGAAACGACCTACTCAGTGCTCTCGCCCACTCCCGGCACCTCGTCCGATAAGGAAAACCGGCCAGACGACCGCGACGAGACACCTCGCCCAGTGTGGAATGGCAAAGAGCCGATGGGGCCCCCAACCCTTCCCACGCCCAGTTCCAATACCCAGCATGACAACAAGCGGCGAAGGCTCGGGGACTTCAACATCCCCCCGGCGAGCAAAGCCCCCCCGAATCCAGATACTCCGGTCGAAGAGTACGTACAGAAGCAGTTCTATGACCCGGACCAGGATCCAAAGGAGCGCCGGGAGGTGCGCATGCGCATGCGCGAGAACTTTCGGGATATGACTGGTGAGTGCAGCTTATCTGCTGCAAATGCTCCGTCTAATTTTATACAGATCGCAAGGACGAGCTGGTGCATCCTCAGAACAACGACTTGAAGGATCTCATCAAACAACAAAATAAGCATATGAAGAAGGTCAAACAAACGTCTGACGCAGTGGTGGACTCCAAATTCCTGGTACACGCCAGCGAGCTGGCACTGAAGAAGACTACGAACGGTGTTCTCGGAGACACGGCGGGCCAGATCGACGTGGACGAGTTCGTCTCGAAATGTATCAGGTTCATGCGGAACGGCGGCAACCAGGACGACGAATCAGACAGCGACGACCAGAGGCGTACATCCACTCAAGCCCGTCGCCGCCAACGAGCCGAGCCAGACAGCGATGACGACCAAGAAGAGAACGACGGCGACGGCTTTGACTGGGCTGTCCTAGGCCGACGCGCCTGCTTCCCCTCGAACAAGCGGCCACCGTGTCCCAACTTCCTCCTCGGCCCGCTCTCTGTCCAAAAGCGCGTCCGCGTAACCCAAGGCCGACGAGGCCGCCTGCAGACACAAGCCCGAGGACCCGTCACGCGCCCCAAGTCCATCGAGCGCGAAGACATCGAGGCAGCCACGAACACGACTCTGACGCACATGGTCTCCCAGATCAGATCGCAGCTAAAGGAGCACTGTAGGAAGGGCATGGACGCGGTCGACGCCGAAGTGGACGAAGACGCTAGCGAGGAAGACTACTACAAGGCCATGACCGCCCACCGCATCCGCGTGAACGCGGAAGGCGAGGCAGCCGTCGACTTCTTCGATCTAATCATCAACCCACACTCCTTTGGGCAGACGGTGGAAAACATGTTCTATGTTAGTTTCCTGATCAAAGAGGGGAACGCGAAGATGGGCAAGGATAGGCACGGTTTGCCTGTGCTGTGTGAGTACTGCCTCTAATTCGGAGATATCCATCAATGCTAATATCATACCAGCGTACTCTGAACCCCGCAAGATTGTCGAACAGCGCGAACAAAAGATATCAAGACATCAGGCTGTCCTCGCTCTCGACTACCCCATGTGGCGGGGCTATATCAAGGCGTACAACATCAAAGAACCGCTGATCCCGCACCGCACCGACGACGAAGGAAACACTGTCACGGTGAGGGGATGGTATGCGTAGGCGAGCGACGACAGTGGTGGCATGCTCGGTTTTCAATTCGGTCCAGTTAGGGTGTGACTTTTTGCGTTATCAGAATTGATTTAGAGCGCCGGCGAATTTTTCACAAGGCTATACCCACCGAGATCAGCAGGTATTTTGAGGTTCGGATTACGGTCAGAGGGGTTCAAGGAGTTTTACTGGGTCGACGCGTCTGTGGACCGATCGGGTCGGATATCAGACGGCATACTTTCATATACCTAGGCAGGCGCGAGAGCTTGCACGTAATGCTTCTAAAGTGGTTCTTCCAATGAGTGGTATTGATATTGACCTGGAGATACGTGAAGAAAGGGTATCGTAACATAGATCTCACCCATTCCACCTCCAGCGTATCCCTTACACGTAATCATCCCAGCTAAAGATAAACCATTCGATATCATACCTTCCGTCTCATCGCATCCATCTCATGTCAGCTTAGTTTGTCCTTGGCCGCACCCTTTACGTCCTTAACATCACCCAACCCCGACCAACATCCCGCTCTTCCCAACCTCATTGCCCTCCTCGTCCCTCCACCCCGGCGGCCTCCAATCAAACAAGTCACACGCCTCTGTGCTCCACGCTCCCACGTCGTGATCTATAGGTGGGGGCGGAGGAAGAATGGGCTCCCTTTCCTTCTCCACAACCGCCACTTTGAGTTTCTTCGCTCCAGTACCTACAGCAAGACTCTTGGAGCGCTGGAGCTTGCGTTTGGGTTTCGCAGGAGCCGGAATCGGGGGGTTGGAGATGAGGTCGGTTGCGGCCGCATTTAGTTCTTCCCACGCGCCTGCTGTCGAGGGGATTGGTACGTCGTTCTCGGAGACCACGCGGCGGAAGGGGCGGGCTGTGGGTGAGTCTTTAGTTGGGGAAGGTACTGCAGGTAGGGGCGGTGGGCCTTCTATCAGGTCAGGTTCAAGGTGTGTGTATTTTGGTGGCTTCGGAGGCTTTGCTGAGACTGCTGTTTTTGCTGATTTGGAAATAGGGGCGGGAGCTGGGGTGGGATCGGATGGCTTCGCTTTCGGCGTAGCTTTGGCGCGAGCGGCCTTGGGCTGTCGTGGCTCTTTCGGCGTTTTGGGAGTTGCACGTTTACGCTGGGCGGCTTTGGTAGGTTTCGCAGGAGGTGGCGGTCTGGAAACGCGGAGGCGCTCGTCCATACGACCGTGTACGATGTCCATTTCTTCGAAGAAGTCGGGGGAAGAAGTAGGCGCCTCGATCACGACTGGGCGAGGTGTCACCTTTGGGACGGCTTTAGCAACAAACTTATCTACAGGTGATTGAGGCGTCGTCTCGGGACCGAGTATTGTAGTAAGGTCGACAACAGGTGTTTGAGCTGCTGTCTTGGGAACGCGTTCAGTAAGAGAGTCGACCACAGAGGGACGAGGCACCATCTTGGACGCAGTTTTAACAAGAACAGAGTGCTCAAGTGCTGGAGCGGATATGGGTGTGTCGTTCCTTCTAGCAGGCCGTTGATCTGAATTCGTCTTCGCTGGTACAATGCTGCGTTTCTCGGGGGCAAATCGGGTTTTTTTATCTTTCACAGATGTTTGCTCCTCCGTCACAACGGCAGCCTCAGCGTCCAAAGAGTCCCAATCCAATCCCGAAAACAAGTCATCATCAACATCTTGAACAGGGGCAGGACTTGGGTTGCTCGTCGTTTTCGTTAGCCGTGAGGTGTTACTTTGGCACATTAATGTCGACCTTCCTCTGCCCTTGGACAACCGCAATGCCTTTGCTCGGGGATTGCGAGGAGGAGACAGAGGAGGGCGTTTCTCATCGGGCTTTTCGACGGTGTCAGACCGCGAGGCTTCAGCCACGTTGTTCACTCTGTTAGAAACGCTAACAGGCGGAGATGAAGGATATAAACGCGTTGGAGTGGCTACTGTCCGATGTCTTGATTGCGCTGATACGGGAGCGGGGTTTTCCCGTGGCTTCGAGGTCGGTATCGGACGTCGAGGCTTGACAAATCCAGGTGGCGTACTGGGGAGCGTCACATCTGAGAAGATGTTGTCTAGGTCGGAGTCTAGATCAATGATCTCCTGGACAACATGATCACTCAGTACAGGGGATGCGACTCTTGAGACTTCCGGTGCAGCTTTGGCGATTTGGGCTTTCCTTGCGTCTGCTGTCCTTGCCCATAGAGGCGGATCCTTATTGAAAGCAGCGCGAGGTCTTTGGACGGGTGTGACAGCATTACGCCCTGGCTGTGGCTCCACTATTCTTTGCCTTTTGGGTGACCTCCCCTCATCGATGCTGTTCTCGATGTCCCGTCTGTTCTCGATGTTTCGTCTGTCCTCGATACCTCGTCTAGCCTCAAAGGGAGACTTGCTAGGTAGCACAGCCTTCCCATAAGGCCCTCTAGGAGTTCCCAGCAAGGCGTTGAGAGATTTATGGCGAAGCTGAGAGGGGCCTTGTAGCATGTTGGTACGAGTGGCGGATATTGGGACCGCTGGCCTGACGCCTGACTTCGGTGATTCCTTAGTTCTCTTCTCAAACAGAGGCGTCAAATCAGTTTCCAGTATCCCAATGGCCTCTGCGACTTCTATCATAACGCCTTTGTCTAGTGTTATTTCATCGCCTTCTTGTATATCGACCTCCTCTTTCCAATGCGTGTCTCCGATGAAGTTCCGCGGTACGTCATAGACCATGACCCGCTTGTTGAATGTGTGAAACCGTAAGAAGCCATCTTGCCATCTCTTAGACTTCCGGCGGAGGTCGTGGGTGTATAGGCAGCGGAATTCGAGGACGGGCGCGGTGTTTTGGGTCGGCGGGATAGTGAGGCTCGGAGTGCTTCGTACAGCCGCCGCCATCGTACAAGCTCCTCAGTCGTAGGGTAGCGAGAGCGCTCAGGCATGGGCGTATATAGCTTCACTGGCGCGGGGTGAGGATGTTGGCGTGGAGTGACGCGTTGAGGATGGAGGACGTGAAGGGAAGCGGGCCAGAATTTTACACGCTGTCCCGTGACGTGCCGCGTACTACCAGCTGCAGGATTTCAGCCTCCAGGGATGCAACTGCTGCAGATTATCAACAGCATGTCAGCCGTTGCGTCCCTCTCCATAACAAACTCGCATTCCCACCCTTTGGCCCCAAATCGCGGGGGTCCGTCGTTGCTGGGTGCCGTACTACCGCGCAGCAGGCTGAGCCACTTTCACGAACACAGCACCTCAGACCACAACTTCTAACCTCCTTTTCTACCTCTTCCTATTCATTTCACTATTCCATCGTGCGAGGAGCGTTATCTCCTCCTACCGCCATCATGCAGCGAGTCCAGAGGAAGTTCACGAAAATCATGCCGGGCAGGAAACCTGAGACCGGCGACGTCGCTACCATGCTCCGCGAGTTTGAAGAGGCGGACCAGATGCTCGTCAAGGTCCGCAAGAGACCAGCCTACGCATTGAATATGTCTAATTCTGTATCAGATCGCAGACGCAGCCAAAATGTGGCGAGACGCTTGGTCGAACATCCTCACCCACCAGCTAGGCATGATTGAGGAAGTCCATATTCTCTACCTCCCATTAGGCACGAAGGAAGAATATGAGAGCGGCTATATACCGGTCGACGCCCCGAGAGCGACATTAGAGCGAGCGGCGAAGCTGAAAGAGGCATACCTGGAGCTCAAGGTGGACATGAACACGGAGGTCCAAGCAATTGACACGAGACTCATCGGGCCCGCAAAAACAGCTAGAGAGTCGCTAAAGCCCTTGAAGAAGACTATCAAGAATAGAGAGGACCGAAAGGTAGTTCGAACATCTCCCAATTACCTAGACAGTACCTAAACAACTACAGTTGGACTACGAAAGGTTTAAGGGCCGCGTGGAAGCACTGGAAAAGAAAGCTACACGATCTCCACGCGAGGAATCAGCCCTTGGGAAACATGAGGCCGACCTCGCGAAAGCATCCTACGAATACGAGTGTGCAGATGAGAGCCTTCGAGAGAAGCTCCCTGGCATAAACGCAGCCACCTTCTCCCTTCTCCCGCACCTACTGGCCAACCAGATATTGCTCCAGAACAATCTGCTTGGAAATCTATATACTGTCCTCCACCAATACTCCCAGGAGCAGGGATTCCCAAACCCGCCGCCAGAGCTAGAAGAGGTGATACCGGTTTGGGATGCCGAATTCACTCCTCTTCGCAAGGAAGCAGAAAGTGGTATAGAGCTGCTGGCGCGTGGCAAGGCAGTCCATCTTCCTATGAGGATGCCCGATCAGGGCAGCACACTCACTGGCCTTGGTCTGAGGAACAAGGTGGTTCCAGGGCGAAACTCGAGCGCTGCGAACCCGGACCAAGGCAGCACTCTAACTGGCATGGGTCTCAGAAACAAGGTCATTCCAGGACGTAAAGGGAGCAGTAACTCTTCGGTCCCAACTATGGGAACTGTACGCCACGCCACCTCTCCCAGGCCAAGTTACGACCATCAAGAAGTCAACGAGCCACCGCAATCTCTGAATCTCTCCAACAAGCCGTCTATGCACCATCTCAACGCTTCTAAGCCGAAAATTGGGAGTAGTTATTCTAACAATCTTAGCCCATCTTCTAGCCAAGAGCAATGGGGACGTCGTACTTCATCTCCTTCCGCAACCAATGGCCAAAACGACTATTTTGTAAAGCCGAGGATACCCTCAGCCAGTGCTGTCCGTCCTAGATCTCCAAATCCAGCGGCAGGAAAGAAGAAGCCTCCACCTCCGCCGCCTCCTAAGAAGATAGGATCGTATCAGGGCGAATACGTTACCGCGATGTATGATTTCGTAGCTTCAACTCAGGGTGACTTGGCTTTCCGCGAAGGCGATCGGATAAGGGTTACAAAGAAGACACAGAGCTCACAGGATTGGTGGGAAGGCGAACTCAATGGCCAGAAGGGTAGCTTTCCAGCGAACTATTGCAAATGAAGAGGCTCTGTGTGGTAGTTGATTGTTGAACTGCATCTCATGTCCTCATGGAGGGCTCTTGAGCGCTACGGCTTGGATTCATACACCAGAGCTTCAATAGGTGTCACGACGTGTCAATTGGTGACACATGCCGTAAAAAGTAAAGCCTCTGATCAAACAATAAAGAAATGCTGCGCGATACTCAATTTCATGATCAACGCAATGAATGTACATATGACTACTTACTGTCACCCACACAGTCACGTCTCAACAGCGCCTCGATTTGGACAGCGCCTGACTTAAAACTGAACATAACCCTGTGTAAATCGTACTCATAATTAGGCCTAAAATCTTGGCGATTGTGGCTTGCTGCACGTCTCACACATGCCTCCGATTCCGCCCCCGTAGACACGTCTACAACCTCGCGCAACGTCCACCTTGTCTTCAGTCCTCCTCTGCGGTCGGCCTTGCAAACTGGCATACCCCTGAAGAGTCGAGATATGGCAGAAGACAAGGTACCTTCGCTTGAGGATGCGCGTCAAGTGTCTGCTAACTCGCCTTAGGCTCCTCCTCTTCGACCTCCATTTACATTGCCAGTACTTACGCAAGCTGTAGATGCTGCGGCACCTCGTCATTCTCCCACCGCAATCCATGAGATACAGCTACACGACTCCCAGCAGAGTACTGCGCCAGGCTTGCAGGCCGCGCTCCAATCGCTGCCAGCTACATACGAACTGCGGACGCAACATGTAGTACATCTAGTGAACGATGATGTAGAGGGGTTCTTAGAGCAAGACTTGGATCTGGAGCGTCTCAATGTCATCCATCATCTACTATGGATGGCTGGAAGGCCTCTCAATGCCCGTCCTCTGCATAGACAGCAGATGATGGGCTTCGATGTACTGCAGACCGAACAGGCAGATCTCCACCTTCTCAAGTTCTCAAACCGCCTCTTCATCAAACCTCTACCGGCATTCTTACTGAACTGTGAGTTTTGGGAAAAGTATCTATGCGGACCTAAATCAAAAGCCTTGCATGAATCTGCGTGTGGCTTTTTGCTATCATACCTCTGGCTCGTCCGGTCACCTTTGGATCTGAAAGTAGCCCAAGAATTGGATCTCTTGCCTTTGCCCATCACATGGGTTTCTTGGAAACGATTTGTTACTGATTTCTGTTCACACGTCGACGTGAACTCGCTACATCAAGTCAACAAACGCTATCTATTCGGCGAGCTACGCCTCGGGAGGATCAACACCATCTACCGCATTCGCTTCTTCAGGACGCATTTTGTCCGCGGCTACCTCTACGGCTACAACCGCTACGTTGTCTTCTTTCAAAGGAACTTCGGCTGGGTTCTCATCGTCTTCGTGTTCTTCTCGCTGGTCTTCTCAGCCATGCAAGTCGGCGCGGGAACGCCTCAGCTCGCTGACAGCGCGACGTTTCAGAATGCGGCGTACGGGTTTACTGTCTTCTCCATCGTCGCAGTCGCAGCTTTACTAGGGTTCGTGGCGGTAACGTTCAGTTCGATGTTCATCTATAACATGATCTCTGCGATATCGCACGACAAAACGGAGAACGCGAAACGCAATTCCCGCGCTCAGAGGAGCCATGATAGAGGTGAAGCTGCTTAAGAATATCGAAACATTTTTATGGGGAAGAATGTCCGAACGAGAGACGCGACTAAACACTCAAAGCTCATCCTTAAGCTCCGCATGCCCCTTCTCCTTTCGCCCTCTCCAACTTCAATAGCGTCACCTCAATCATAACCTCCATCTCATTCATCCCCGTATTTCTATGGCTCACACTAGCCACCACGCCCCCATCCCTCGGCTCTCTTCCATAATTTTCCAAGTCCTCGAAAACCCCTACACACTCATAATCAGCACTGTCCTCTGTATCAAACGTACGCGCCTCAACCTACCCTCACAAACGCTCCCTCCGGCTCATTCACCCAAAGCAGCAACAACGGATACATCGCCCCCAGGCGCGAAAAACACCACATCCCCCTGCACACTGTACCTTCTCTGGAACTCGTGCGCTTTCAACCACGTCTGCATCCCCTCAGGGATATCGGCTAAATTCATCTTTAGCAGCTCGCGCTTGTCGCCGTGCAGATCGACCCCGTCCCAGGAGCCGGGGTACTCGACTTTGTTGTAGAAGACCTTGAGCTCCGGCGCCCAGGTTTTCAGGGTTGGGTACATCTCGGCTAGGGTGTAGATCTCGGCGGTGAAGGTGGAAGAGGCGCGGCAGGGGGTGGTGTAGGCGGAGAAGGAGGAGGCGGTCCAGAGGGAGGCCCAGGGGAAGGGGAGGATTCGGAGGCGAATTCGGAGGCGGGAGAGGGTGAGGGGTCTTCAGATGCTAGGGCTTTGGCTAGCAGTGCTGCTGTGGCGAAGAAGGTTGAGAGTTTCATGGTGTGTAATGCAATGTGTGTCGAAAAGAGCGATGTGAAATTATAGCGAAGCCACAAAGATGAAAATAAACGAACGGAAGTAGCGACAACATTTCTTTGGTAGCAGAGCATCAATAAATACACAGCTTGAAGGCACTCTTGAGTTCTGTCCTCTTGTCCTAAGGAAATGTAGCAGGGCGGTCTTAGATTAATTGCAGGTCCGGATATGTTTGCGAAGATGCCGGGCGTGAGGGTTAGATTAATAGAACACGTTTCCGAGGCAAATTATATGAGATAAGGTGAGAGGAGAGGATAGATAGCATAAAGCTATACCTCTTAAACTCACGTTTTTCAGAGAAACTGACTTCAAAAAATAGGGAGCGATGATGTTCGAGCGTACCTCAAGCATTTCAACACCGTCTGAGGTGGCCCGGTGAGCTATCAGAAATGCCAGAACTGGTATTCTACGAATAACAATAACATACTAGAAGACCTTAGTGTGTATACAGCTCACGGGTTTGTGGACTACCACGTTCTGTTAACATCCATCAACCACGCTGTCTTATGGGTGCACCTGTCTACCACTGCTTAAAAGTGCTTTAATAAATTTCCATATAGCGCAGAGTGAAGAGATTCTATCCCATCTAGATTTCTGAAGATGTATTGAAGCACCCCAAGCAGCGGCAGACAGGTGTACCCACGAGACAGCTTGTCCTGTAAGTATTCTAGAGTGCCACTTTTCTCATGCCCCGCGTGGGGCCGAAGGTTTCTCACCAGCCTCCACATTCTCTCCATCCTCTTCCTTGTTCAACGAATCCAACGAATGCATCACGGCACTCTATTCTGACCCTGCATTGACCCACAAATGCCAGAACACGTCTAGCCGCGGGCCGGATCGCTCACTGGGGCTCCACCCGCTTGGTGGCTGGCTGGCTGCAGACCGCATTTCGCTATCACAGCTTCTGGACTCATGGACGCGCATAGGTCTTGGCCTAATGCGCGAAGACGCATAGATCTAAAAGCTTCTTAAACTGTCTAGACCATGCATGTACGGCTGAAACTTGCCTTAACCTGCTCGTCTCAACGCCCGTCACACACGAACGCGCGTGGCAATCGCTACGAGAAGTAATTATAAGCTGATAACGATCTACAATGAGCATTTCCCCACTTTGAAGTGTCCAAATCACTTCGCTAATGACGGAAATGCCGAAAAGGCTTGCATGTGGGCAGGTCTGACAACCGCGTATGCTTCATTGTGGAGTCTGGCGTTGACTTTTGATATGCATGTTCAATAGTGTAGACGCCCCGGCTATCTTGATTGGACGTTTCAATTCACTGAAGCGCCTTCCAGCTCAAGCCACATTCAATTCTCGACGTTTCTTGACGTGGTAACGAGTCCAGACATGCCAGCGTAGAAGTGTAGCTGAATGAGTCGATCAGCTAGCGTTCAAATGTTGCGCGAACAACAGCATAAGTAGAAAGAATGCCCGTGAGAGTGCAGGTCATATTCCAAAGCATCATCTTCCGATTTCTCACTCAGGATGTCTACTCTTGTCAACCTTCCTCGTGCCGTGAGCACCACATCAGACCATGACCCATACAAGTACCAATGGGCTCGCTATGTCGCTCGAGCGAAACTGGACAAGAAGTTCACCCTCATCAATGAGAAGATCAGTGCACAGCAGAATCTCCCCCCGGCGAATACTATCTCGCAACTCATCGATCGCGTGCAGGGCCTGCTTCCAGGCGACAACAAACTGACTGGAGAAGCTCCCACCAACCGCAAGGAACTCCATGTCGGCATTGTTGGAGCAGGATGCGCGGGCCTCTTCACGGCTATGACGCTCGACTTCATCAATAAGCGCCTGAAAAGAGAAGATCTTGAAATCACGTATGATATCCTGGAAGCGGCTGATGAAAGTCGATTGGGCGGCAGGCTGTATACACATCACTTCAGCAAGGGCGACGTGCTCCCGCACGACTACTACGATGTCGGCGCCATGAGATTTCCAGAGAACGATGTGATGAACAGGTAGAATCCACCTCGCAGAGATTAGACTTCAATGCCAATGCTGAGTTTATTGCAGGACATTTCGCCTGTTCAAATATCTAGGCCTCACGAAGGAAAATGGTGGCCTGGTTCCGTATTACCTGGAAGACTACAAGAAAGTTTGCCCTACATACTTCAACGACATACGTTATGTTGGGGGGCCTCTCAATGGGGCGGAGGATCCCTATCGCGTCAATGCCGACTACAAAGACGATGATCCCGATGGGATTCCCAAAGAGTAAGTGTTCATTTGTATCAACTCTTCAGCATATGGGTTCCGCCTATTAATTGACCGCCAGACTCTTGACGCAGGATCCTGGGAAACTGGTTGAAACTGCCATCAAGCCATTCGTAGACGCTTTGAAGGAAGACATGGATGGTACTCGAAGTGATGAGGGTTGGAAGCTCCTAGAATCAGCCGACTACATGAGCACACGCCAATTCTTCCGCTCGTGAGTGCTTGTTCCGAAAGGGATCTACTTCGCAACGTTACTGACTCGTGCAATCTAGCACTGACATTGCGGACCTCCCACCGACTATCAAGCCGCCTATTAAGGGACCCGGCTACAACTTTAACACCACGGAGTGGCTTGAGACCTTTGCCTAGTAAGTAAGCTACGCGAGAGGTTTGTGGACACAGTTAACGTTCGGATTCTAGTGCAACCGGATGGTACAATCAGTCTCTCGCAGAAACAGTCCTCGAAGGACTTGACTTTGGCATCGAGGAGCCGACCTCCATAGACAATACCAAATGGCTCTGCGTCGAGGGCGGAACCCAAAAAGTAGCCCGGCTCATGGCTGACAAGTTGGTCAAGAAGCCCGAGTTGAACAGACAAGTGACGAAAATCTCGACAGACCCAAAGGGAACCATCACTTTGACAATCAAACACGCCGACGAACCATCTGCTCCGACCGAGACCCGTGACTACTTCGCAGTATTCAACTCGACTACTCTCGGGGCGCTCCAGCGCATGGACCTCAAGGACGCGGGATTGCGCTATGGCACCAAACAAGCCATTCGTTCGCTAGGCTATGGCGCTTCTTGCAAAGTTGGAATGAAGTTCAAGAAAGCTTGGTGGATGAAGGAACCTCACAACATTAACAAAGGCGGAATTGCAAAGACGGACCGCCCGACTCGTGTCTGCGTGTATCCATCTTACAATATAAACGACGACTACGACAAACCGGCCGTGCTACTTTGCAGCTACACCTGGGCCCAGGATGCGCAAAGAATCGGAACCTTGATATCCAATCCTACCAACTCCAAGCACGAAACAGAGCTGAAGGAGCTTCTGCTCAACGACCTCGCGCTTCTGCATTCCACTCCTGACACCTACAAAGCGTTACGAGCGGAACTCGAGGAACTCTACGATGATCACCACGCCTGGGACTGGTACAACGACCCCAACATGTCTGGCGCCTTCGCCTACTTCGGCCCCGGCCAGTTCTCTAACATGTGGCCCGAGATCATTCAGCAAAACGGCTGGCTCTTCCTCGTCGGGGAAGCTGCGTCTGCTCACCACGCATGGATTGTTGGTGCTCTGGAAAGTGCTATCAGAGGCGTGTACCAGATGCTCGATGCACTCTTACTCCAGAACCCGGAGTACGAGCCGTACAGGGATGCGATGAAGCTGCTGCAGGATCCCTACATAGAGGATGATCTGCCATTTGGGCCACTGCCGTTGGAGATTCCGAAAAGGCAGGCTGGTGAGGACAGGAAAGCGCCGAAGACGGATGTGCCGGAGAAGGGAGTGTCGCTTACCTTCACTTCGGCGCAGGTCTTACTTAGCTTCTTGGAGAAGACAGTAGAGGAGGCGGAGGCGAAGGTAGCTTGATTGCAAGTGCGCACGCTAGACGGGAAAAAAGTGGCACACTCAAGCATTTCAACACCGTCTGAGGTGGCCCGGTGAGCTATCAGAAATGCCAGGACTAGTATTCTACGAATAATAATAACATACTAGAGGACCTCAAGCGGTGCTAAACAAGCATACACAAGCATAGTAATAGTGTATATGTAGTTTATAGGTTTATAGACTACCACGTTCTGTTAACACTCACTAACCATGCTGTCTTATAGGTGCACCTGTCTACCACTGCTTAAAGTGCTTCAACAAGTTTCTATATGGCGGAGAGTGAAGAGTTTCTATCCTGTTTAGATTTCCGAAAATGTATTAAAGCACCCCAAGCAGTGGCAGACAGGTGTACCCACGAGACAGCTTGTCCTAGAGTTAGAGTGCCACCTTTCTCATGCCCGGTGTGGTGCGATGCGGTGTTCCATGGTGCAGTTCGCAGGTAATATGGTGAATTCTGTAGAGTTTACAGATGACAGGTGCAGTTGCATAGAGGCCTGGTAGTGCCTAATTTGGCTTCGCTTCTCCATGATAGTGATCCCCCGCTGTTACTGCTGCCTGCCCTACCCACCATCCTCTCCAACTCCTATCCTGTAAGTGTCCCTCCATACACTTGCCAACCAACCTAGTGGTAGCTTTTTAGCTACTCGACTCGTGCACATCCCCCTCACAACAATTTTCCTAGCTTGTCATTGTTGATAGTTCTCTCCACATGCGGTTTCTGTGCTGATCTCACGCGTCCTTTCAACCCAACCCTAGTTGGTATACTCAGTATACGACTAGCAGTCCTCGAAGAGTCTTCCGACTCTATCGGAACCCAACAGTTACGATGAACCCACTAGAGCGAATCGAGGATTTTGTTAGACCACACTGTTCACACTGCTGGTTCACCCCTTCGCCCATAGACAAGCCCGCAAATGTGTCAACTTGCCAAGGAATGCTCGCATCTTCCCTCAAGAGAAACCTCCCATCAGCAATATATCGGCCACTAGTCCCACAGCTCGAGGAATTTCGGCTGTTGAATTTACACCCATCTCCAGTCTTCTCTGCGCCCATCCAATGTAGCCTCAACCATACGGCCTTCGCAAACCACCCGCCATACGAGGCTCTTTCTTACGTCTGGGGTAATCCAAACAGCACAGCTCGTATCACTGTCAATGGAATGGGCCACGATGTCACCGTCAATCTAGCAGACGCATTGCGCCATCTCCGGAAGCCAGCACTGCCTTGTATCTTGTGGGTAGATGCCTTGTGTATATATTCCTATCGAACCGCAATTAAACACCTCATAACCTTGAGGTTCGATCCTCAGTTTTTTGAGGGTTTTCATTATACGGATTTGGCTAGTGTGATCGGGTAATATATTCTTTGTGTTCTTAAATCTGAAATCTATCACTACGCTTTCTATTTTCGCGTTGCCTTTCCTTTCCTTCCTGGAATGGCTGCGCATCCTTGCGTTTCCGCCGATAAGGGGGCGGCGCAGCACAAGATGCGAGCAGATTGGATGTTTGCGATCTCGGACCTTGGTTTTTATTGCATGGTACCGCACACGTCTGAGCCAGGAGAGTTGATTGCTGTGCTGCATGGGGGAAAAGTTCCAATGGTGATACGACCAGTCGTAGACTGTGATGGGAAATCATGTTATGTAGTTGTCGGTCCGGCTTATGTGCATGGATTCATGGACGGACAGGCGGCGCTTTGGGCAGATGTTGGAAAGGTCAATGTAATGAATTTTGTGTTGACCTGAGGTCGAAAAGCGTTGAAAATATAAAACCTCGTTTTGCAAACTGGAGCAGCCCAGTTCTACTCAACACGATGACGAGTTAAGGCTCTTTCCGACTACACCGCTCCTTTCTTCCCTCACGGGACTGCCCCTTTCCTAGCTGTCCTGTTTCTTTCCTCTAAAAAGAGGCTCTTGTTTTCCTGATTGGGTCATCAACTGTGTACACCGTTCTGGCGTTGTTTGAAGTGCCTTGATGGATTATCTGATCTCTAGACGAGACGTAAACTTGTCAATTTGAACAATTTGTAGACTGGCTCGCGCAAACTCAGCCGGCTCGTTTACCCTTCTAAGAGATACGTGGGCACAACCTTCCTCCAAACATAACATAGCGCACGAGTGCCTAGATCCTTCCGCCTAGATCATCAGCAGCTCTAGCAGCAATCTCCCAGCCTACGGAAGTAGCCTAGGATGCGCTTCAGGCATGTCCATAGAAGCACTCATTCTTAACACAACCTAACATGCATGAGGCACTTGACTATACCCTGCAGTGGGTTTTTGCAATACTTCTAAGACTTCTCCTGAAATGATTGGAGTAGTCTTGAGCCGTCCGCAGTGGTAGTCGTGAAGTTGAGCGCCCGATGTCCTCCTGCTTCCCTTCCCTCTCCTCCTACACCTTCCCTTTCGCACGCGGAAGCCGCCAACGTTCGGCCATGTCTTATATTTTCTTCCTTCTCTGCCCGACTTCTTCACTTCTTCCATCCATCAATCATCATCGTCCCACATCCGCTCCAGCTCTACACCACTATCCAGCATCGTAAGCCCACCCTCCATGCAATTGCTCTTGCTTCCCTCTCGTACATCTGGGAATATTTCAACCCTTTCCTCACGCCGCCAGCGCCGTCTCGGCAGACCCAATATAGCGGCCCTCTACATTCATCACCGCTCTCTGTTGATCCGTGTTGCCTTCAGGTACTACTCGCTATTTTCAACCAGCTGCTGCTAGCCACTCGCTATACTTCCAATTGCAACTCCATCGCTCAGCTACGTGGCTCTTCACACCATAATCGCTACTATGGGAGCATCGATCACAATGGAGATTACGCAGATCCCTCCCCCCGAATACGATCGTAGCATCACGGATCGAAGCTCGCTGGGCTCTACAGAAACCGCGGTCACTCAAGCAGTGCAGGACGCTCAACATGCACACGCACATCTCAAATCGACCAGTGCAATGCCAGCACAGCGTGACGAGCCCAAGCTCGGAGACGGGTTGCAAGAATCAGACACTAGCGACAGTTCATCGACTAACAGCTCTCAACTAATAATCGGGGTGGAACCCCTTAGCCTAGAACCACTTACACTCTTCGGCAGTAAGACGATCGTGTGTCAAGCAGGTAACGAGAATTACTCCCTCACAGCCGGTGTCTTCGCGGACCGCCACATGAGGTGCTCCAACAAGCTAACCTAGACGCAGAGTGCATTCCTCCCAATTCAAGGATTCGACGGTCTAAATCTGAAAGCAGCTCTATCGCTTTTACTCCAGATCTCGTTGTGCTCGATGACAGGGGCGACCTCTACGTCACCATGAACAATGGCTCTGTCGAAGCAGGCGATGTACCGAAGCGAGTCCGGGTGTCCTCTGATGCTCTACGACGAGTGAGCAGCGTGTGGCGTACGCAGCTCTCCTCACATCGGTTTCCCATGAAGATCAAACCCAGCTTGAAACGAAACAATAACCTCAACGGCGATCGGAAGTCACTGGAGCTAGTGCTCGAGCTCGCCCACGCTCAGTTCAAAAGGATACCCGCAAAGCTGTCTTATGAGGGCCTGGTTCAGCTTGCTTCTGTGTGCCTCGATTACGATACTACTGGCCTCGTTGTACCGTTCCTAGACGCGTGGATCAAACCTTACCGCGACCATATCACCCGCCCCGGTTACGAACAGTGGCTTCTCGTCGCATACGCCTTCGGATTTATTGACGACTTTGAAAACATTAGCAACCGCCTCGTCCTGAGCTGTACCTCGAAAGATGGCAAATGCCTTGATTCCAATGGATCAGCCCTCACTGGCCGATTCCCATCAAACATAATCGGTACGTATCCCAGAATCAGCTCTCTCGCCGTCACTTTTTCTGAGGCTTGTCATCACGGTGGCCCCCTCCGACGATGTCTCTCAGCCTGTCAACACCGCATTCTGACGTTGCGATTTAGATCTCATCCTCGCCAAGCGCAAGACGCTCATCCAAAGCATGCTCGCCGAGTGCTACCACACGGTCAACACGCTGATCACAAGCGGACACGCATGCTGCTTGGGCGGCTCGACTAAACGTCCAGCCGATCCCGACAGCGATGGTCCTCCGATGGTCCACCACTTAGAGCTCGACGACGGCTTCGGTGACGATGAACGGCGCAAATGCACCAACCATATTCTCGGCGCCCTGATACGCGAGCTGGACCACCTGAAGCTCTGGCCTCCTGTCGCTGACATTTCGAAGATCACCAGGAGTGTTCTGGACTTGGAGAAGGGGTTGACGCACATGAAGGATATTGTTCTGAAGGAGGCGGCGTGTTCCAACTGCAAGGTCTTGCCCCTTGACCGGCATCTGGCTTGCGATGCTGGTGACACTATCGCTCAAAAGGTGAAATACCTCCTGAGCAATGTGCAGAGTGTTGTCAGCCAGGAACAGCTGGAGCACATGAGGGTTCAGGGCCAGAAGTAAGGTGTCTGTTAATTTTTGCGACTGTCGGGGGATCTTCGAGGGGTCTCCTGGATGAGCATTGAGGCTGTGACTGTTGTCTGGACTGGGACCCGTGTTTCTCACATTTTATTCCCTTGTGCCATTACAGCATTGTTTGCATTGGAGCGGTACTTTTTGGCGTTTGGTAGTATCCAAATCAGATGGTACCTTCTTTGATTTCAACTCTCGTGACATGATCTTTGATAGAGTTGTGAGAAGTGATGACACCAGTTTGCCGCGGTCTGAAGTGCCTCCAAGCACTTTTAGAAGTCTGATTCACCGAGGAATTCGTCGTTTGGGGCGGTGTTCAAAGTCGCTAAGCCACCTCTGACGGGGTCAAGCCCAAATTTACTCACTTTCCAAGCAACGAAACAAGTCTTTGAACTAAGTCTCGTCCCATACCTTTGAGCGAAGTATGTACACTGGTTTGACGCTGTCGAGACTACCTCAATGCGCCTTTGTCTATCTGAATGAGGGCATAGGCCATCACTTTGAACGATCCGGAACGCTGGCACTCTCAACGCTGCTAGAGCCCGGAAACTACTGGAAAGCTCTGCGACCAACACAACACGGCCTGCGACTTCTGGGGCATTCTGAGCGTCGCAGCGACGGGCTCATAGACTCGCTCAAGCCCACCGGCGACGCAGACCGGCCGTGGAAAGTACCGGAACAAGGCAACGTGGTGTTCCCTGCGAGCATCAGCAATTAACGCTCTGCGGGCCGTCGTCGGGCGTAGGGCATCGCTGACAGGTCCACGGGCGGCTGAAGCTCAGGCTGAGGGGGTGGCGTTGAAACAGGAAACAAGGGGAACAGAAACAAGCCCAAACGAAACTCAGCTATGTAGGTGGACAGCGGCTCGTCGCGTGAGGGCAAGACACTTAGGGTTCAAGCTGTACTGTACATCTTTGTACAAAGGTGCATAGATTGGGTCCGTGTGCGTTGAAGATGTCGTCGACGGTATTCCATGGTTTCGAAACAGACACTGGGTCCAAGGGTCCCAGCACCGATGACGTTGTCCAATCGCCCAGTCGCCCAGTGTGTGTCGACGGTGGATGCCCCCCGGCCTCTCCACCTTCACCACTCACCGTCTGCCGCCGTTGCATCCAGAGAGCAGGCTGTGGCTGGAGTTGTCTCCATCCACCATCCCTCACCGGTGAAGCTCCCACCACCACCACCGCAACCTCGTCTTCAGCATCCATCGCGCCAATCCTCCGCTCCGAGCAGGACCAAACATCATCCCTCACAACTGCTGCGGCCGCCGTCATCGTACAACCCTTTGTATATATTGCAGCCTCTGCCGGTTTGCGCGCATCGTTCGCCTCCACCTTAGCTGCATACCGTCCTGCAGGCCGTCGACCGGCGAGCTGTCACACTATCTCGACCCACCAGCCAACCGCGCCCGCTACCAAACGTCCATCGCCAACCAGATCTGCAAACCGCCTCTGTCTGTCCTTTACACCCAAAAGCCAGTTGATGCAATAGCCCCGTCCCCATGGCCTACGACGGCTACCGCGGGCCTCTGAACCCGCCGGACCAGCACTCGTCGCAATACGCCTACGACACCGCCTACGACACCACCTACGATCCGCGGTCCTATCAGACTAATCCTGCCTCACACCACCAGAACAATGCTCCAGCGTACTACCCTCCTGAGCCGCAAAGCCCACGATCGCGCGCCTCGTCCAACACCCGCTCCGATGGCTCCCAGCAACCCCTCTATGATGCACTCAACAACGCCTTTGACAAGTCAGACGCCGCAAGCCGGGTGGATCCAGACCTCATAGCCCAGATCACAGCCCAGGTCAGGAAGCAGGTCTTGGATGACCTCAAATCCAGCGGCGTAGGAGTCAACGCCGCACCTCAGCCTCCTCCGGCCCAGCACTACCCCACACAGTCGCCTACTGCTTCCACGACAGCGTCTTTCCCAACCCGCAACGTGTACACTCCTCCGTCCCCCACCCGCCACGACTTTGAAAGCCACGGGTCCAATTCGCCTGATCCTTTGCGGCACGACCCCATGTTTGACGGCACTGGCGATACTCCGACGCCCAGACAAGAAAGTACCCAGCCCCGACAAGTTTACGAACAGCCTTCTCGATCGAGGCCTGTAACCGCTGCCCGGATTCCAACAGACAATGGAGAGGCTACAACAGTGGAAAAAATATGGCAGCCCCTCTTCGATTCGAGTGGGTATCCAACGGCAAGGCTTGGGCAGTTTCTGAGAGGGCTGGCGAATCACATTGTAAGTTTGAATTGAATGTCGAATTTGCCCTTTCTAACGTGTATCAGATTGACGATTATGAGCCGAAAAAGAGTCTAGTTATTTCTCCGGCCAAAATGCAAAAGTTTTACGGCGACGTCAAACTCAGCGACGAGATCTATCCATGGGGCAGTGAGTATCCTACCATTAATTCACATTCTTGTCTGACTTTTTGTCTAGCTATCTTCGGAAAACTCCCCAATTCGACACTGTCCAAGATGTATCGAGATATGAAATGTCAACACCATCTAATCCAAGACGAAGTCCACCTAGTCCCAAACATTCCAGCCTTGACGCCTGATGGCTTCCAAGAGTGGATGACTGCCATGATTCAAGCCTATCCTGACACTGAGCATGACCGCCTTTCCCGGGCTGTCCTGGATATGCCCATCAGCAACGCCGATGACACGAAGGAACGATTCCCAAAGGAACTACCTCGACGTCTATTCCCAAAACATGAAAACCTACAAGCCCAGCAACGGTGTGCCGCTGCTGTCTCCGCCGAGGGTGCTGTCCCACTGAAAAAACAACCCACCTTCCCACCACCTCCGCCGCTCGCGCCGACTGTGAATGCTAGCTTGGAGCGTGAAAGAAGTCCATATGGTGGTCCAGCCCTCGACTCATCAATCTCTGCCATCGACACAGACGAAGAGGACGAACTTCCTCGCTCAATCCCCATCGAACGGGAACGACAGCCGTACTCAGCCGCACCCAGCGGTGGCCGAGTCTTTGAAGAACCCGCAGCCATGAAGTCAGACACCGAAACACACACCCGCGGCCACCGCTCACAATCATCCGCCAACTTAAACCAATGGCCTTCTACCTCCGCCCGTCCAACCGACTACCCCCCCTCCACTACTCGCCATCATCGAACCAGCTCAATCTTGAACGGCCGACGCCCCCGCAGTCCAAGCTTCTCAAACCCGGGCACTCGCTCCGATACCTTTATTAGCGATGCCCCTCGTTACTCAGCATCTAATATCTATGACGCCGATGAAGAAAACCGCCGCTTCGCCAAAGACGCAGAAGCAAAGCGGGACTGGGCCAGACGACAGGCAGATGATGATGCTGTTCCGAACCGTACCAGGGCTGAGTCGATCACCGGCGGAGTTTCATACGGCGGCCACGACGAATATTATGGAGGAAGAGGGGGTAGCAATGCGTACGATGGAGCTGGGTCTGGGAGGGGTTATGGGGCTTCGTACAACGACCGGCGATACTGAGCCCTATACGAAAACACTGAGCGATTGACGACATTATGGCCGATAAAGCGTGGGCTCTGGAACAACTCTCGCTTGGAAGAGACTTATTACCTTTGTTTTCTATCTCCTTTTTCTTTGCCTATAGGGCTCTATCATGATGGCGTTATACCCTCTTTTTCTCACATTTAGATTTCTGGGCTGGACGGACGGATGGATTGTGTACGGTTTCATCATACCCCTTTGTTTTTGCATTACCTTCTGTATAACTGAAGATTGAGCGGTTCTTGGAGAGAGAGGGCATTGGATGGGTGGGAAAGAGGTCACGGGGTTCACGTGTTGTAAAACACTCCTTCTGAATTGTTGTTTCTAGTTTAGTGGTGCTGCATTTGGAGATACCTTGGAATCGAATCTGGCGTGTGTACTTCATCATGACTATGCGGTGAATGCAACGTGGACAGTGAAACAAGAAGAAGAGCAAAGCAACCAAATCAGCCTACTTCTTATGACTTGATTTCAGCAACACACAAATAGTATAACAGACTCGAGCGCGAATCACACGGACTGGCTTACGTGTGTCCCTTCTTACTACCGCTGTCCTAGTCTCTTTTAACTAGCATGTCAAAATCGAGCACAAATCGGAACGGACTGGCTCCCGCTGACACCGCTGACAACAGCTCGGCATCGCTCAAAAAAACACTGATCCTAAGGTCTTAATTCTTGCTCTCTTCCCAAAACGTGGCAAAAGCGAGTGTTAAATCGCGGGACTGACTCCCATTTGTACTTTTTCAAAAATCCCAAAAAAAATCCCAAAAAAAATCCCAAAAAAAATCAAGCTGAAGCCGAGTTTGGGTTGAGCAAAATTGAATGATTCCGCACACGGCGATGACTGGCACAGACTGCTTCTGAACCTTTGTCCTTCAATTGCACTCCATATAGCCGGATCCTCCGCATGCTACATAGCTTGGAATTGCTGCTATTTCACTTAATCCCACCCCCACCCCAATCTTCGCCCTCCCTTTACCTCTCGCTCATCTCCCCCAATCTCCCTCCCCCCCTCACCTCTATCTCTACCTTCCAAATCATCCCCCAACCCCGCTTCCGCTCCCATACCCCTGCGCCGCCCTCGCGCCCCCGTTCCCGCTCTTTTCGTCCTCCGCCTCTCGCGCCCCGCCGGCGGATGTAGACGTGTTGGAGGCTAACCCGCCCTCCGTCTGCCCGCCCATGCCGCCCTCTTGCAGCGCTTGCCCGTAGCGGATCTTGGCGGCGGGCGTGATGCCGGCGGAGTTGGGGGCGGATTTGTCGGTGGTGGATTGAGTAGTGGAGGTGTCGGTGGGGTCTGGGGAGGGTTAGGAAGTGAACCGCGTTGAGAAGTCGAGATATGGGAACGAGGGTAGAAGGGTGTAGAGGTTAGGCAACGGACTAGGGAATGTAGAACGGAGAATAGCCAAGACGTTCGAGTATGCGTTTTTGGAGGGTGCGGTGGAGTTTATATAGCTGGGGTGTAGATAGGAGTGGGAAGAGATGAGGATGTAGTGAGGATGTAGTGAGGACGGGAGGTAGCTAACCGCCTAATTGCCCGCTCTCTTTCTTATGCGGCTTTGTGAATTCCTTAATTGATTCGTATCTGCGTAGAGTTATTAGAGCGGGAGAGTAGAGTAGGGCGATTGTTGAGCGGTGCAGTACTGCGTGTTTTCCCCGCCGGGCTCTATGTCCATGAGCTTGTCTGCCATTATCGCGTTTCAGTTTTATTGCTTAGAGGAGAGAGATTGGTAGACATTTCAATTGCAGCTGTGCAGTACGCGGTTGTAATGTTGAATCGCGAAGTTCGCGTTGAGACTAAGGGTTCGTTGACCCGATATGACGTCGATGACGCATCGTCGGGTGTCTAAAAAGGTACAGCAACGCCAAAACATGTTGAACCTCGTAAGTAGAGGCACAAGGGGTACATGATATTTCCATAAGACATTTGATCGCCGAAACGCCCGTTTGCTCGTTCTCGTCCATGCAATGTCATGCCGTATGTCAATCGTTCAGTCGAAGTCGACGCCCATGAGATGGCTAGGAGGGAGTTAGCAGAGATCATGTGGAAAGGAGGAATTGAGTTAATGCGATACCTTTCGTACAGCCGCATATACTTCGCGACGAAGGCTTCGAGGTGGAATATCACTTTCTGCGTATCTAATTAGCCCAAAGAAGCTTCACGATCGGAGGATACAAAGGTAGTGGCTTACGCTGCCCATACGAATTCTGTGCTCGTAAAATGCTGCCCATTTGATGACGTCTGGTTTTAAGTCGTCATCGGTTTTTGGAAGAAGTTTCCACGTCAACGTCTAGATAGAAGTCAGCTGCGCAAGTGCGTGAGAGTTGCAAAGAGTACGGACCTTCAAGATGGTAGCAGGTGGTATACAATGTGTCAAAAGATCGTATAGCTTCGCCCTCACTTGCAGCAACCTCGCCGGACTCCTCTCCTGTATGATATCGTCTGCAATCTGCGCGATCAGGGCCTCCCAGTCTGGTGGAGGTATAGGCGTCTTGTCTGTAATAGCTTCGCTGTAGTCCAATATTAGCAGTGCTTTGCGAATTGAAGATACTAGCATCACCCACTTTTGCGCATGCACCGCCTCAAACATCAACAAAGCCCTTCTCAAATTCCTCCCACTCTCCTTCGCAATCCTCCCATTCAAACTCTCCACCTCTTTATACCCCTCCTTCCTCCCCACCGTCTTCAACACCTCGCAAATCTCCCCCTCACTCGGCGCCGCCACCCGCACCAACAGCGTCCGACTCCGAATCGGCGCAATAATATTACTCGTACTATTCGCCAACAGAATCAGTCTCAAATTAGGACTGTACTTTTCCATCGTCCGCCGCAACGCGGCCTGCGCATCCCTCGTCAAATGGTCCGCCTCGTTGATCACCACCACCTTGAACCGCTGCTTCGCGCCCAGGTCCACCTGCTGCGTCTGCGCCACCTCCTTCAACAGATCTTGAACCACCACGCGGTCGTAATTTCCGACGTCTGAGGGCGTGATCTCGAGGTGGTAGACCGAGGAAACAATGTTGAATTCGAGCTTGCGGTTCGACGTGGTTTGGAAGACGCGCGCGTCGATTTTTATCTTTTCGACGCCGGGCCCGTACAGCTCTTTGAGGGTCGCGACGATGCGGGTTTTTTTGCCCGCACCCGAGGGGCCGTAGACGAGGAGGTGGGGGAAATCGCCGCTTTGGGCCTGTGAGTGAGGCATTAGAGTGTTGTCTGGGGGTATAGATGGAGGCGGACGGAGGGGAGAGCTTACGAGGGATTTCAGGCGCGCGGATAGGTCGGGGTGGTATGTCAGGGCCTCGAGGGTCCGAGGACGGTGCTTGTCGACAAGCAATGCCATTTCGTGGGTGGCGTTGTGAGTTTCGGTGGTGTTGAGTGGAAGGAGACGCGTTTTGTCGTCGATGCGCGTAAAGAGGTTTCGTCACGTGATTTACACCAATACAGCACATGTCGACCTCGGGAGGTATATTCCTGTAAGTTAATCATCGGGATCTGTATACTAGACTTTGAGATTGACCTTAGTTCATACGCTGGTATCACGACCATCTGCTTTTTGTACGAGGAAATGGATGCATGAATCTTGAAGCACCACTTTTATTCTAATACAGACGCGAGTTTGGGCAAGCCCTTTTTGATCTCGTCTCGATTTATGATGAAGCGCTGAAAGCACCACAAACAAGGACAAGTAGACCCACTGTCAGCGCACGACATTCCTCCGATTCATGCTCTCAGGGACTTTACATCTTATCAAGACTTTTAGAATGCGCCGAAGCACCTCCAACGGTGGTGAGCAAGTGTACCCAAAATTCAGCAAGGCACTGTCATACTTGAAGCAGGTAAAAGTAGATGATGAAATGGCCACAGAACCACCAAACCGCTATCCATGCCATTCTTCAAACTCCTTTGATCGATACATCCCAACCCTTGCCTTACCCAATCATACCCCTCTCATTTCACATCTTCTCTCCAGCGCTCACTTCCACCCTTTCCTGCCTTTCCTCTCCACCCTTCTCTAGCTCCTCCTCTTTCCCAATGCCCGGTGCCGTAATGTTCAGATCAGTAGAACGATGCCCATCCAAACTCTTCGCATTAAAGAAGTTGGCGTAGACTGGAAACACCCACGCGAGGACGTAGAACGAGGTTGGGATAGCCATAGCGGTGTGGAAGTTGCCAGTATGAGTTGCCACAGCCCCCGTCATTGGCGGGATAGCCGCTCCGCCTGATATCGCGGCGACGAGCATACTGCCGCCGATTTTGGTGTGTCGGCCTAGCCCGCGCAGGGCAAGGGTGAATATTGTCGCGAAGCAGGCCTGATCATGGTCGCGTCAGCATGGGGGAACGAGATTAGGGAGGAGGGAAAGTTCAAGCGAGGTTGGAGAAGGGGATGACTTACGCTCTCAAAGCACAAAACGAGAATCAGCATCGACACGCTGGTCTTCCCATGGGTTAGAACAGCCGCGAGACCGAAGATGAAGCACAGCCCTAGGTAAAGGGCCATGATGAAGCGAGGTTTGAAGGCACGCATAGTCATGAGGGCGGCGGTCACGAAACGCATGAAGGCGTACGTGCCTTGGCCGACGGCGAGAAGGTTGGCTTGAGTGGTGTTAGTACGGGTGATGGTCTGGAAGTGATGGATGTTATGAGCAGGGAAGGGGATGGCCTACATGACATCGCTGGCGTGTATCCGGCTTCTTGGCAGAAGTTGATAAAGTAATTCGCAACTGCCACTTGGGCACCGACCTTTGATACGTTAGAATGCGTTGATGAGGTTTGATAGAGATGGAAGAGACTTACATAGCAAAACTGCGACCACACCCCAAAGAAGAGGTTATACTGCTTCCTGAATGGCCCAACATCCTCGCCCGCAATATCCTCCTCCTGGATATTCATATCCGCATCAGTGACCTCAGGCATCGGCGCAAGATAGAACAGTATAATCAGCAACGCGACAAAGCACGCTACGCCCAAGTACACCCACTGCACGTTCTTGAGCCCCTGCGCCGTGTTTACCGTCTTCGCGAAGAACACACGGGATGCCAGAAGTGGTGCGACGAAGGATCCGACGCCTTGCACGCCTTGTGCAATGTTGAGGCGGATCTCGGAGTAGCGAGGGGGTCCACATATGGAGAGGAAGTTATCGGCGCCGGTTTCGAGGGTTGAGAGGCCCGCGCCGACGACGAACATGCTGCCGCAGAAACCGCCAAAGGAGGCTTTTATGCCTGATGGCCAGAAGAGGAGGCAACCGACTGCTAGGATGGCGAGGCCTGAGGTAGTGTTAGATGGTGGTTTGAGTGGGAGGATTAGGGAAGGTACCAATCATAAAGGTTACGCGGAAACCATAGCGGCGGAGGATCCAACCAGATATTGTCAAGGGGCAAAGGAAGTAGGCACCGAAATAGGCGGCTGAGAGTCCAGAGGCTTTGCTTGCGCTGATGTTGAGGGTGGATTGGAAATGAGAGTTGAGAACGTCGAGAAGACCGTAGGCGAAGCCCCAGAGGAAGAAGAGAATCGTTACTGAGAGCGTACGTGGTCAGTAAATAGAATACGTTTATTGAATAGAAGGGCATACCAAGACCACAAGGTAATAGTGATTGTCTGAGTGTCAGGCCGGATCCTTCAGTGATGGCATTGTCGTCGACGACAATCTTTCGTTTCCAAATGCCCATGTTTGCTGTTTAGAATTGACGAAGCTCACGAAATTTGATGAAGATATTGATGGAAGAATAAGCCTGAAGAATTCTGATATTCAGTGAAGGTAACGCCCTTATACTCCCCAGAGCACTAGCCCGCCTACCCCGTGCTTCGCCCTCGGGACAAAACAGTGCGAAAAGCTGGGGATCGTCTGGGGCTCCGGGGTATTGTGCGGGGGACCACCCGAGCGGCACGAAAGCGCTAACCTGGAATCAATCAAGCGGTTTTGCTTTGACTCTAAATAGCTTGGGTGGTGGGAGAGGCACGAGCAAGCTTGGGAGGGATATAGACGCCGTTATGGGCATGTCGGAGGAGGAAGTTTTTCAGGGTACAAAGGTAGCAACACCGATCCCACGCTCGAAAGGACCTCGGTCCCATTTACTCCAACAGCGATAAGATGTTTGGACATCATGTGCCTGACATGTTCTGACTGCACCATTCCCTCATGACACTGGGCTGATTTGCCGCATATTTCCTGCGGCTGGATGGAGGTAGTGTACAGCACTAGGGCATAAGTTTGTGCACTCACCTTTGCGTTAGATTTCGAGCCCTCTTGCTACATTCTGATAACACGTTGAAGCTCCCCGAGCAACGGCGACGCAGGTTGATGGGAAGCGTTTGGAATCGCTTAAATTCGCACTCTCTAGACTTTTACATCTCATCCAGATATCTTATAATGCGCCAAAGCACCCCAGACAGTGGTGAGCAGGTGTGCACAAACTTGTGTTTAGACACTCATACTAGACCTTGCCCTCTCCTCGTAATCCCTGGTACATCGCCCAAGCTGCCAGGGCCTTCGCGTCCCGTCCACTCTCACGCCACAGGTCTTCCAGCCTCACCAATTTCAGGGTTATCTTCTCTCCTTCGTCACGCAGGCCGGTTAGCTTGCCACGGAACTCGTCAAGTTGGGATCGAGGGATGCGCTTCTGGTGTAAGAAGAGCGCGATGAACTCGTCGCATGCGCCTGGCGAAGGATACATGGCAGTTTGTAGCCTCTCGACACCGTTGGAGCTGGAGGTTGATGCTGAAGCCAGCTCCGTCATATTGACGAGTTCAGATTCTGGGACCTCCAACCCGGTCTCCTCTTGTATTTCCTTAGCAGCAGTTCCAGAGAAGGTGCCGTCGTCTAGCATGCCTGCGGGTAGTTCGATGAGTTCGAGAGATCCGGCTGCGATTCGGGGTTGAACGGTCAAGAGGACGTGTTTGTCTTTCTCGGTGTCGGTGGAAACATCGTCGGGTTGAAGAATGAGCTACGGAGGGAGAGTACCAGATTAGTATTTCATTGGATGGTATAGCGATAGTGGATGGATAGTTGACGATATAGAGCTCCACATGGCGCCACGTACCAGCATAGCTACACTACCTCCCCTCAAGAACACAGCCCCAGGCAGACTCTCGCCCTTGTCATTCTCTACCTTTGCCTGCAGCTTGATAAAGCCTGGTCTCTTCCCAAACCAATCGACGGCCTGAACCTCGATACTCTTGAGGGCGTAGGGATTCGCGTGGAAGGTGTGTGACTTGTTGCTCTGGAGCGATAAGGAATGTTGCAGCGTGGCAAGCCAATTCTTGAAGGCTGGAAACGAGAGGAGGGCTTCTTGTGGTAGGTTCGAAGGCAGTGCCACTGGAATTGGTGGTGTTGCGTTGGGCAGGTTGAAGGTCGACATTCTGGCAGAAGTTGTTCTGATTGTGGAGAATGCTGTATTTGAAGGCCGTCGAGAGAGATGTGCGAGAGTCAGCCGCAGTCGAGGAAGCATGGAGGCTTTGTAGTGTCGAGTGCGTTATGGATGCCTGCCATGGGCTGATGCGGTGGAGCTGTGGGTGGTGAAGGGTGCCACGGGTGCGTGCCGTTTTGGAGGCTGTGGAGCTAGCGGCCTGATGTCCGACGAGCTACAAAGGATCGTCGACTTCACCCCTCCTCCTCTGCATTTCTCAGCAACAACCGCAGTCAATTTCACGAATCATTGACAGCTCGAAAAACGTTGAGCAGTATAGCCTTGGGGCTCATTTTGGAACCCTCTGCTCTATTCTCGATGCTCATCCTTCTCGTAAGACATGATTCACGACTAATCGAACCATGGTGAATAGCGTACGTCTTGCTTAATACAAGCCTTGAATATATAACTCGTCATCCGAACCTATTAAACTGTTCTCGCATCATCCATCGTCGCCATGGGCACCCTCACAGGTGACATGCCACAACTGGCGGAACACTGCCCTCACAAACTAGCCACGTCCTGCCGATTGACATCCACACCGAATTGCTGCGCCTGTGCCGACGAACGACACCACTCGAGTTCTTACTCAGTGTACATAGACGGCGTTGGATTCGTCCAGCGGGGCACGCGATGGCAAAGTTACTGTTGGTTCTGTAAAGGTGGATATGGTCTTCAATCCGAACCATGAATGCACATTGCTGACGCGGGTTAAAATAGAATTCTGGAACAACCGGATCGCTTCTACAGATCCTCCTCTCGCACTTTCTCAAACGCGAATTCCGGAACTCCCAGATCAGTCCGAATTCCTCGATCGATGGAACGAGTTTCACCAGGGCTATCGGATTGTCAAGGCCGCAGATGGGACTGAGTCTCGCATAGCAGTTGTCGGCGAGCCCTTTAGAGACGTCTCCCCAGGATACTTGCCACTCACACTAAACGAGCTCCGGACAGGCCAACAGAACGACGAAACGAGAGCGCTCAACAGGACGACGAGAGCAACGACGTCTACTGAAGCTGCCAGCACCACAGAATCTCAACGCACGATTGAAGAAGAACTGGAACGCCTCCTCGAGGACGAAGAGGACGTTGATATACCGTCTGCTCAACCACAACGGTCACTCGAAATTCAGCAGTTGCGCGAACGCAGGGCGGAGTGGACAGCCGAGCGCACAAGAAGAGTTTGGGGTACTCGCGAAGACATTGAAAGCGACGACTACATGAGTCCAATTACAGGCCTGTTCAATCGTCATCTTGAGTGGAATCGACGGCGAATGGAGGCGCGTCGTGTTGAAGAAGAGCAGCGGCGGCTGGAAGCAGCGCATCGTGAAGCAGACCGGGCCACTGCTACCAGTTTGCCAAATCCGCCAACCTCACCGCATCCTAATGCTTCAAGCGTAACGCCAAACGAGCCTACGCGGCGGCAGCCATCAACTCCAGATATCCTGGAATCTTTCGCATCCTACGCAGCTGAACAATACGCCGCAAACTCGCTTCCCTCTGGCAATGAGAACTTGGTGCCGCAAGAGCCCCTGCAACTGCGCACCGAACAACGACGACAACTAGAGCAACTGCAGCAATTGCAGCAACTGCACAACGAACAACAAGAGCGTTTCTTCTATCAGATGGTTAACGCGGACGCGGGAACAGAAGAGGCTGTACGTCGTCTGACGGCACTGAGATCTGCTCTAGAACATGAGCATAACGGTACTTCCAAGCACCTGGATAACGACAGCAGACCGGAACCGAAGACCGACGCGGAGAAGATGGTCAAGCTAGAGTGCCAGATCTGCTATCAGCAGGTTGCAAATATGGCATGTGTGCCTTGCGGGCATCTTGTTATGTGCGAGTGGTGTGCGGATATTCAGATGCCAGTTAAGCATCGGAACGTCCCAGAGACGCGAGCAAAGTGTCCAATGTGTCGAAAGAAGGTCACCCAGAGAATCAAGATTCATATCGGTTGAACGACGAAGACTGGCGGTTTCGAGGATGAAAGGGCTCAGATATCCGTACGTGGGGCGTCAAATTCGCCAAAGCATAAGAATAGAATTTCTCTGAAAACAATCCAACTTGTTGATCACATTGCAACTTTATTCCACCTACCATGTTAGATTCCGCTACAATGCACTCCGCCGTGCACGGATTGGCATCCTCGGAGCTCAACTTCTGTCATGCTTACATACAATGGTAGGACGTAAGTTTGCGCACACTTGGATTCGCGGTCTAGATTCCCGCGATACATCACCAAGAATCGAGAATGAATCGTCGTAGACACCCTATCGGCTCAGAGAGGCCTTCCTTGATACATACCAGCAGGTTCTGAATCATGTCTGACCGCACGCGCTTGTCACGGTTCAGCGTTTCTTAATACATCTTCGGAGTTCTAGAGGGGATTTGTAATTTCTACATTACCGCCCATGTAGTTTGGCAGCTACAACGCTAGAAAGTACGTCTTTCCTTTTCTTTCTGTCTTCTAGCGCTCGTTATTTGCTTCTTATAGAAGTAACTAATTGTACTATTTAAGTACCATCATCCCCAAAGCTTCAATGTTGCTAACTTCAAGCTTCCAACACCAGAATACGGGAAACACGTAGCTCACCATGAACCGCGACTCCACCGGCCGCTTTCGCATTAGCCCGTATCGATTCATCAACGGACACGACGGTACCCAACGGCATCATGAAACTGACACACCTGGCCTACCCAACCACAGATTTCAGAGCCAGGCTGCATTCCCAAGCACGGAACGCTGGGGATCTATTCCAACAAGAGGAGCACCCCATGTTACTCAGCAGGCCGCGGATGCTAGTCGAAGGCGTCGACATGATGTCCCTCAGTCTCCGCCTCTGCCTCCTAGAAACCCTAATCCCACCCCTCAGCCCCGTTTGGGCCCGTTTGACCACCCACTCCGACCACCACCCCAATCACCTGCTCGACACCCAAACCATCGCTCACCTCCTTTTGACCGGCCGCTCCGGCGACAGCTACCTATTCCGGATCCCTATCAGCGCAATGGCCTTCCGCCCTTTAGACATTTTGATCTAAACCCCCCTTTAACTCCATTCGACCTATCTAGCTCTGATCCCTCCTTCTATTCATCAGAGGAAGAGGATAGAGTCGCTCAGCGGCAGGAGGGCCTAAGACAGCGAGCAGCGTTTCTGGCGCAGCGCGAACGGAATATGACAGCTTGGGGTGATGAGCTTTGCAGACAGCATAGGGAGGTAATTAGGCGGGAGAAGGAAGCGACTGTCAGGGAGCAGAATCTGAATAGGCGGGAAGAGCATATTCAGGCTAGGGAAGCGATGCTGCCGAGGGCGAGGAGTAACGCGGTCCTTGGGCGGATGGGGATGGCGATGGGAAGTTAGAGGACAGCTTCCTTATGCCATTGCATCGCCATAGGGATGTGTATAGACCTGCGTACGCTTCTGTACCACTGTAGGCTACCCAGGCGACGGTATCCGCGAGTGTTATATTTTGTAGGTCGTAGCCATACCAAACCAGAAGCCCCTACCAAGAACTCCCCGCGCGGTATCAGGGGATGAGGCTAGAACATTCCAAAGCACTATCTCTGAATCACTTCTATCGCTATCTCGACTCACATTCACCGCTTGCCGATCTGACCATTTCACTTATCTAGACTAGTCTATATAAAGACCGCAACAAACTCCATTTCCTCCGCCTCTCCACCTCTTCTCCGCATGACAGCATCTGTACATTGCAATCACTCAATCTGTGTACACTCATCTGCCGCTGTCGGGAGTCCTTCAAAACACTCTCCCAAATCCACGTCCAGAGGTTCTCAACACCTAACACGCCACGATGAGCCTTCACTGTGACCAAAAGCGTCATCTCGCCGCAGCTACCGACGCACCGTACGTCCCGCTCCAACGCCCTACTTCCGATTCTTCCGATTCTTCCGAGCTCGAAGCTGGAGAAATTCGGGATACTCCTCCGGAAAGACTTGAAGTCAAACCACCCTGGCAATACGGCAAAGCTGACAGTTGGCCCCATCGTAGTGCTGATACATTTCGCCCGAGCAGTCTCATGGAGAGGAGGATGGAGGCAGGTGGAATGGATGGTGCACGACTCTCCCGTGCCCCCACCACCGGACGGAGTGATGAACTGAACAGTCCACCGCTAGCAAGCCGATTTCTCGATCGCGTAGATCTTAAAGGCCTCACTTCCCCCTCTAAGATTAGAGTACCGCGCTCTGAACATGGTCGAGCCCACCTCTTCAATGCAACCACCCGCCATGACCAAGTAAACCTTGAAGGCCTCACCTCTCACTCTAGGGACAAAGTCCCACCACGATCATACGCCGAACTAGACGACGTGCCGCCAACCAAGCGCCCACGTCTCACTTTCTCCTCGCAGCCCGAACACGAAGCCATCACGCTTGGTGAGAACCCACAGACCGGCCGACCGCTTCTCTATCGCAGGGACGTGCCTCTGACATGCTTCTACTTCATGCAAGGGAGCTGTTTTCGTGCGGAAGAGAATTGCAAGTACGCGCATTGGGATACGGGAGTCTACTCCGAAGAGCCGTATACGGAGCAGTGGAAGAACCAGATGAAGCATGTGAGGACGGCGCATATGAAGACTAAGAGGGATAATGGTGAGTGGTACTTTTCTAGTTTGTTGGATCAGAGGTTTGTGTACACCTCTTTGACGCTGTTTGAGGGGCTGCAAGGTGGTAAAAGAGTGTACACAGACCGATGGCCAGGCAGTTTATGGTTTCAGGCTTGGATGCTAACAGACATTATAGAAGCTTCTCCTTTCCGGTTTTCTTCGGATCGCCACTCCCACAAAGCACTCCCGTCTAATCCGAACACTAAACTTTTATCTACGGTGCGCCGCTCAGGTACCACTAGTCGCACTCACCGCGGTCGCGGCCACCGCCATATCGAGGACTCCCCTCCACCTCTCGGGCCGCCGCTCAAAGCGACCCCAGAAGCCTCACGTAGCCAGCGCCAGAATCACCAAGTCGAGCTCATTCATCTCGATAACCTCCTAGCCGAGCGCAAAACCGCCCTCCGCGCCCTCGATGCTGCAAACTGCCCCCAATCAGCATCAATTTTGCGACTTCAGATACCCGTCGGTACCGCCCCTGAACATGGCTTGACGAACACGGAGGATGCGGGAGACGGGAAGCAGAAAGAGGAGTTGCGGAAGTGGGAGCAGAGGCTTAGAAACTGGGAGAAGGTTCTCGGTGGCCGCGAAGAGGCGGTGATTGCGGAGGAGGAGAGGCTTGGAGACTGGGAGGGGCTTCTGGGGTGCCGAGAGGAGAGATTAAGGGGTCGGGGCTAGTGGAGGTGAGCACTGTGTGGAGCGTCCTGGCTGAGTATCATTTGATCGAGCATTGGAAGTTTGGAAACATATAGGCATGTGTAAATGCCTTCAAAAGTTTGCAAACGAGCTTGCGGCAGATTAGTCGCGTAGAGGCTTAACTAGACTCTAAAATAACTACATGGGGTAGGTATTCTGGCAAAGCCAATTCTGTACACCTAGCGGTGGCTGTCTGGGGTAGCTTAAGGCATTATCAAAAATTCAAATCAAGTATACCAATGCTCCTACTGTGTAGTGGTAGATGACGTCGTTGGAGGTGCCCTGGCGAGTTTTTAGGTGATCCAAAACGGCAAATTTACCTCTCCCTCAGACTTTTGAAGGACTCCAGAGAGTGGAAGACAGGTGTATGCAAGCTGACTAGATAGCTGGGGAAGTTGGAATACTTACCTCCGCTTCCTGGTATATACAGAATTACTAAACTGATTACAAGTAGATTGAAACGTTGAATATCGTTGCGAAGGATGAGTATAGAGATGGAGGTGGGACCATCAGTATGAAGACGTGCTGGATGACGTGTCTGGCAGATTTGCAGGTCATTCAGCATGATCCGTTTACTTCCTGAATAGATTCTTGCAAAGGCGCCGAAGGACTTCAAGGAGTGGCAGACAGGTGTATATAGATGATCTCTTAGTACTACAAACCTTCCGCTCAAATTGATGATATTTCCCGCGTTTCTAAAATCGTCGTTTGCTTACTCGTGAGCACATGTGCATTTCTTTGCTACGCCCCATCCATTCACCTTCGTCTTTTGCCTTCCCACATAACGCCGTAACACGAACGACCCACTAGCCAATTCAGGCTTCCCCAATTTCGACTCCTCTTTTCCCTATCCTTCTCTTATTCCTAACACCACAAACAAACGCCACCATGTCCTCCCCTCGCGGCACCAAACGCCGCGCAGACGACCCCGATCCTCATACTCCATACACCGGCTTCTCTTGCCCGCTCAGCGCTGAAAACACGGTAGCCGAGTTCGAAAAGCTCAGGGAATCGATACGACTGCGGAACCAGAACTGGAACAACAGCCGATTATTGAGTCCTCCCCCTCCCCCTCGTCACCCTCCTGGTAGTCGTACAGAGAGACCGATGGCTTCGGGTTCGAATGCAGCAGGATCTGGGCTTCAATATGAATCTCGCGATGGAGCCTGTGGCAGCGCCAACGGCCCAGCACGCGATGATGCGGCGCAACGACGGGGCAGTTTAGAAGAAGGAGAGATCGAGGGAGATGAACAACCAATGGGACCAACTCCTCCTTCTTGCTTTCTTCTCTCAGATAGGCATGCGAATACGGCTACGATAGGGTCATCACCCCCTCTACGCAGCTCAGCGCAAGACGAATTCGAGGATCGAACGGGCCCTACCCGCTCGTTTCCCGCAGGAAGGCCTACTGTCACCACTACGGGGCCGCCACCCCCTCTACGCGGCTCAGCGTACGACGAAGACGAGGATCGAATGGGACCCCCAGTCCAACAAATCCGACCCGCCCTCAAGACCGTGGTTGTAAACGGCGCATCCATCCCCATAACCTGCCGCTGGTGGAAGTTCGGCGCCGGCCGCGGCGGCTGCCACAACACCGCCGAAACCTGCCAGTACGCGCACTTTGACACGGGACTGTACGCGGAGGACGGGCCGAGGAGCCAGGTGTCGGGCTCGCGGAAGAGAGCGAAGAAGAAGAGGGTGGCTGATGCGGATCCTGGTAAGCCAAGACGTATGGAAGGGTTTGGGAGGACTGAGGTGTTAATGTGATTATACAGAAGAGTCGAGGCGCCTCGAAGGTGCGGCGTTGGAGCCGGATCCTAATCAAGTGACTGCTCCGCCGAGGAGAACGTTCTCGGGGGCGCAGGAAGACCCGTATTTGCGGTTTCGAGAGCGAGTTCGTCCTAGGCCGGTAACGCAGCAACTAGAACCGTCCCAGGCGGGCGGTCAGACGTGTGGGAACGAGGGATATCGTGACGATGAAGACGAAAAGCCGTCTCATTTCTATGGAAGGAGCGGAGGGGCTGGAGTCAATGAGGGATATCGCGATGACGATGAGGATGAGTTACCCCCATCTTACGGAAGAAGCGGCGGAGCTGGAGTCAATGAGGGATATCGCGATGACGATGAAGACGAGCCATCTTTCGACCGTAGAGCCAACTATGGATACCGTGAGGATGATGACGAAGCACCACCTTATTATGGCAGAGAGAATGAAGATTACCGCGACGGGGACCACGTAGACGCGCCTGGCCAAGGAAGACGAGCCTCAAATTCACGTCCCCAGAACTTCAGACAACAGGCACAGAACCTGCTGAACGAGAGGCAGAAGAATCTGGATGAGTGGGAGAAGAGGCTCCGTTGGCAGGCTACGGATCTGGAGCAGCAAAAACGAGGGGTGGACAACGAGGTGAGGAAGAAGAGAGATGAATTGGAGAAGAAGGAAGCCGAGTTCAGGAAGAAGGAAGATGACATGCAGAAGCTTGTGGATGACCTACGAAATCGAGAAAATGGACTAAGACGCCAGGTCACAGAGCTCAAGACGGAGCACGAAGCATGGAAGGCGGATCTCGGGAAGAAGGAAGAGGACTTGCGGAAAGGATGGAAGGCCTTTGGCAAGCGGGAGACGCAGGTGACCAAGCGAGAGGAAGAACTTCATAAGCGGGAGGAAATCCATCGAGCGAGAGAGCAGACAGTGAGGGACAGGGAGAGGGTTCTTGATATGCGTGATGAAGGGGCTGTGAGAGGTTAGAGAAGGACACCGAGTGCTTATTCTGCGCCTGACAATGGCATGTGTCTTGGAGCATTCATATTGCCTTGTAGTATTCCCTAACTAGGCACGGAGTCCAATCATAATAGAAGAACGGGTGTTGGAAGAATGTTTGACCGGAAGGAAGAGACGCCTCATTGAAGGTGCAACAATCCGAGTGGAACCCTTGCAGGTGCCTGCAGACGGCCCCGCGGGCAGAGCTAGCTACCTTGAGACAGCTCATGAATGTTGAATTCTGCTGTAACGTGTCGGATACGATGCTTCAGTGTAAAGCCTCCTTTCTATAGCTCTCGGAACCCAACCGCTCTGACGCCCAAGCCGCACCTTCGTTATCAGTCCTTCCATTCCTCCCTTACAAACTATCTATCAAATGCTTAAACAGGCTAGCGCACCCACATGACATTCAAGGCGCAATGCGAGGGGCTCCCCCTGCCAGCACAGCCTGATGGCCTTGCAGCACCCTGCAGCCACCCACGGCGCGCCCAGCAAATCCCACGCCTTTCTTATCCGCTAAAAGTGCACTTTGTGCTGCGGGGAGTGGCTCAACCGTTTGCATCCTGCAGGAGACAGGACCATGCCAGCTGAAGACCTGCCCGGAGTCACCTCATAGCCGGATGAGTCCCGACATCATTTTCCCCATTCTGTGTCGCTCATATCCAAGGTTGAGGCTTTGAGGTGTCGTTGCAGCTGAGCTTTGGAGAATCATAAAGGTCGTGAGAGCTCGCTCTTGACCAACACCGAGAGCGAGTGGCTTACCGAACCGCATCTGAAGCTATCGGCGATATTTTGTTTTTGGTTTGGTCTCTTTCATATTGTACCGTCGTTTCGATAATTGTTCGTGCTACTTCTTTGCTCTGCTGTCGACATACTCCTGGAGAGTACTTTTCACTTCTCCCATCCCATTCTCGAAAGCCCTACCCCGCGATCAGCGTTGGAAAGTGTCTGCACAGCCACATATCGATATCACCCAGCCACACAATTTTGGATGACATTCGAGATAAGCAAAGATGACGAAGAACTGGACAGCCGTGAGGGGCTACATCGAGGAGTACTCCTTCAAGCAGAAGAGGCCATTGGAGCAAGTCATGGCTTTGATGCAGAGGAAGCATTCGTTCGGAGCATCGTAAGTGTCACGTGATGTCAAGCTCACTCATACGACTCTTCTGCAGAATATGCTGACGTCCGACGCCAGGAAGAGAGCATATCGACTGAAAATCAAAGAATGGGGTTTGATGAGGCATAAACCACATAGACCTCGACAAGGGAGCCCGCCAGCTCGGAGGAGCGTGACGAACGATGGATCTGTGTCCGATACCACGTACGTTTGTGCCACCACTCAAGTCCTACCTTATCGTTCATTCCTGATTACTATGTAATTCTTTTCTAACAATGTACAGATTAGTGGGCGATCCTGTCAGCGGTAACGAGAAGCACGTTGACTCGAACCTTTCTACCGCCCTTCGACCTGACGAAGAACGTTCTAAACAAATCATCTTGAACGCCATATGCAATGGCAATGAATTTGAGGTCGAGACCCAGCTCCGAAAGCCCGAAAGTATGGCATGCTTGAACCACCCACTAGGAGTCGGATTGGAGTCGAGAGATACGCACTGCTCCATTGGTTGGGGCTGGGCACCAAAGCCTCTAAATATCTTACCCGACGGTTGTGTGCTTCTCCAGCCTAACTCCCAGACCCTTCTTGACGTGGCATCTGCCCTTCCAAATACAGCTGTCGTACAAAAGTTGTTGCAAGCTGGAGCGATATCTTCTGTCCACAGCCAAGGTACCCAAGTATCTATGTCTAATGCCATCAGGAATGGACGGGTCGAAAATGTGAGAGCACTATTGGAAAGCGGAGTTTGCAAGGCTTCTGGACTGCGTCAATGTACTTGGGTACCCCTCCGACAAGCGGCGTTCTGGCTCTACCCTTCTATCATCCAGTTACTCTTCGATCACGGTGCAGACGTGAACCCTTCCCTCGATGTCGGCCCATCCAAGACGCCCATCCAACTAGCTGTTGAGCGGCGCAGTTCAGAGTTAAGCAACGAGAATATCCGCTCCGAGGCTGAAAAGACCATAAAGATGCTCCTTGATGCCGGCGCCGATGTATTGACGGACAAGCAACACGACCTGGACGGAAGAACGCCATTCGAATCCTTCCTTGCGCCATGGCAATCAGATCCCTTGTGGAGCAGCCATCTCAGCCCTGTCGAATACTCGGTCCTCCAATCGTTTATCACCAGCGGTGCTGACATCCACTCCCGTTTCACCGCATTCTCTTGCACTAGCCCCTCTAGCGAAACATTCTCCCACCAGCTTCTCTACCACGCACCGTCCCACTTAACCCGCCTCCTAATTGATCACACCAACGTCCGCCTGGGTGGAAATGGCTGCCACATTCTCCATGAGTTAGCTGGTGGATCATGCCCGAACGGAAAAGGCCATCCCGCCGAAACGTTGCGGGACATCGAAGTGCTGCTCAAACGCGGAGCAGACCCTAATTGTCTCGACAAAAAAGGTCGCACTGCTCTAACAGCCTGCCTGGGCCTATGCCCATCCATTGACGTTTTCGATCGTGTGCAGTTGCTCCTCCGAGGTGGCGCAGACCCTGAAGAGCGAGACGCTAAACATTTCGACCCGGTCCTAATGGCCATCAAGGGCTTCCAGGACCCTTTGCGTTTCCGCCTTACGGAGACGCTGCTCTATAGCTACCCTACAACCACAGGGCCCTTACGCGGAGAGCACAGTTGGCTCGAGTCTCACTTTAACTTCAACGAAGACCAAGCCTTCAACTTCCACGCTCTGATGCAGAAATACGGACTCGTTCGAGGGTTTCCTGTGGTGAACTTGCCACTGCACCTTTGTTCAAACATGCGAGACGTAATCAATAGAGCAACGTTCAGCGTAGCAACGACGCGAATTCTGGATGCGGCGGTGAAACAGCAGACTAGAGGTGGTGTTTTGCGAAGCGACGATATTCTGAGAGTGATTCGGATGCGCGAAGATGCAGGACTGCCAAAATATGAGTTCGATCAAGCGTTTGTCCTGGAACTACTGTCGGCTACGATACCTGCACCGTTGGCGCCTTCGGTCGGGATATACACGCAAGCACTCGATGTTGTTCCGATTGGTGTTACGGCTGCAGGGCACTCTTGGGCTTTCGGACAGATGACGATTCGATGAAGCAGTGCCTTCGAGGAGACGACGAATATACTTAGCCTCTGAGAACGGGAAACAGTTTGCCAACGAGAGCCACGAGGTTGGTGACTTGATGCAGATGCCGGCTACGAATAAATTCCTATGCAAACCGAGTCCCGCAGAAAATTCTACGATTCCCTGGATAAACACAACCTACATCACTTAACTCAAACTCTCGATCCTAGTGTCTGCAAAAGCGACAGGGATACGAGCCCTGTCAGGCTTCATGAGCATAAAGCGGCAGTAACGTGTTCTACATGCATGTGGTGGTTACAAGCGAGTGGTGGCGCTTAATTTTTGGTGCGATTTGGACGTTTTGACACCCTAGCAATCTCAACAACTATAAAGTATTAAATAAGATTATATGAATGCATATAGTATTTAGCTCATTTCAATGGCTAGGCAATAGTTT